TGAGCTCGGCGACATCGCTCTTGTGCTGGTCTACTAATCGGCGGCGCTCAACATCGAATTCTTCCTTCATCAAACGAAGCTAAAAAAGACACTTATTGTTGCCGTTGGTCGTCTTATAATAGCAGCGAAAGAATTCAGTTGAATACGATGTATTATCCCTTTTACCTGTCGCTGGAACTTATCGTCCTCAGCTCGCAGTTTCCTCTTGAATATTTCTATCAGCGTGTCCATATCGGCGAAGACAGACCTTACCGCGATCTGATGCTGCTCCTCCGCTGAACAGTTTTTGACCAAGACGACGAGCCTTTCCTGCTTACCCTCATCCAAGTCACGATCAAGCATCTGCATGACCGCATCCTTCCTATCAACATCTCGTTCATGGTTGTACGATATGACGCCGATATCACGTCGAAGTTGTTGAGTTTTATACGACCTACAACGTGTGGTGATACACAGTATAAAAAGGCGCTCATCTACGGACCTCATAATTCTTATCCAACTCTCGTTTATTTTGCTAGCATTGTGTTTAGAATACTTGCTTTCTCTGGCAGCAGCCCTCTTCAACTCTGCCTTCTTCAAAGCGGTAGCCCTAGCCGCCTTAGTACCGAGGTCGGGTATCATTCGCAATCAATGAGCACTGAAATTTGAACTGTAATGCTCGAACGAATTCAGGGCTGGTGCGTTGAGGAAATGCGAGAATTACTAAGATTGCAAGATGTATAATTTTATCCTCATCATACAGGTATGGGAAGCTGTCCTAGTGCTCGACAGAATTTCCTTCGATACCTCTGACTCTTCCACATTCCTCGTTATCTGTATTGGGTATAATTCTGAGCTTGAAAGGGTTTCGATGGGGTGAACTGAGACTTTTGTCAGGTGATCAGCGAAAACATGCTTTTGAGTCAATCCGATCAGTTGCTTCTTTCCCATCGTGGTGAAGTTTAATCATCGGTTGTCTTTGCTCTGCCTCGCCGTCCTCTCCCTTGGACTGGTCCTGGTAGTGTGAGTATAGTTGAACGCAGATCGATAGTGGCATCATCTCAGGCGAACTCTGTGAAGCCTGAGTACTTCCGTACGGCTTTACAAGGGGAAGATATCCCCCATAGAGCGTATCTTGATTCTCGCATGCCCGAGGACCAAGTGACGATTCAGTATTAACCCCACTTTGCCGAACAGGTTTTTACAGCGGTCTCGCCAGGTTCTGCCAGAGCTGATCCTTCCGTGGTGCGTTCCAACAAGTAGCTCAACTCTTAGACCAGAAGGCCACTTCTATGCTCGACATAAAGGGAACAGAGTAATCATCATCTCAAGCCTTCTCACTACCCTTACATTAGCAGTCGAGCATTTACTCTCAAATAGGTATCCTATTCCGGAGTCGGTGAAGCACATGTCGCAACTCGTGGGCATGCTGCAATTGCTGATGTTGGCCATGGTGTTCTTCGGAGGTAGGCCCAAGCCCCTCCCCTGCCCTCTCAAGCTTGCCGCCCTCAGACACCATGTGCGGATTTATTGGTATTCCTACGCCCGACCTCGTCAAGAACATGCAAGACAATAAGTTCACAGCTTTCTTCGCGGTCTACTTCATCGGCTCCACATTGCAAGGCGTCCTCATGAATACTGGTACTTGAGTTACCCGGACCCTAAGGGGCTTCATACCGCTCTCTTAGGGGCCTTTGAGATCTACAAAGGAAACACCTTGATCTGGTCCACGCTCCAGGCTGGCCGTTTGCCAAAGTTGAACGACATCGTTGCGGTACGTATCAGATCATTATCCCTTCGCACGCATGCCCTTACTCGTCCACTCAGGCGTTTGAGCGGCAGGGTGTCGAGTTTGCGTTCTAATGCAAGTGCCTCCTCCTCCTCGCATACTGGGTGTCTCAGTGTTGGTTGTTGTGGGCAGTATCACAGAGAAATGGGGAGACAGGTAGTATCAGAATCACCGTGATAATCAGCCCTACTAGGAAGAAGGGTTTTAGGTTCTGAGCTACTTCCTGATCTCTCATGTTGACTCTGCTATTACTATGAGGACGAATGATTACAGGACTCAAAATCATCTCGGATGAGTTCGGTATGATATGCTCCTCCCCCAAAGCGACCATCTCGAGATCCTACTGCGGCCACATCAGGCATACTTACTCTGCACCACTCACCTCTGTCGTGTTGATATACTCAATTCTCCTCTGTCGGGTTAGGGTTGTCCTTATCGAGAAGTACTATGGGAGGTACTGAGAAGTCCGATGCTTCGTCGGCATCGTTATGTCAAGTGTGCAAAAACAACGACTTCAAGTAGTACCCTTCTATTAGCCTCATCACTCATCTGCCAGGTACACTTGCCCTGCATGCAGTATGAGGACTTGTAGTCTCGAATGTGTCAATGCCCACAAGGCCAAGACCAACTGCACAGGCAAGAGGTAGCTGCGTGAGTGCAGGGCATCCTATTCGAAGTCAGGCAAGCGACCATTGGTGGAACATGTAGCTATCAATCAGTTCGATGAGAAGGTCCTGAGGCGTGGTAGGACTGGAGGGGTCTCGATTATAGATGGGCAGAATTACGTTACGGCTCACTTTTACGGTTACGCTTCAAGCCTCGTACCGTAAAACAACGGCACCGTAACGTAAACTGTAAAAAAACATTACGCTGCCCATCTATAGTCTCGATATGGTTTTTCTGACTCGGACCAACTTCAGATATCTCCCTCCTTGAGGATGCATCGTGTAAGGCACACACTGCCCAGACACACTCTCTGGAGACTCGGAATGATAATGTAGTGCAAGGGGGTCTCGAGATGACGGCATGGGGCATGTGTAGGTGAATCGCAATACTCGGTCGAAGCAACGACACGCAGCTCGCTACACGTAAGTGCTCCATAAAGAATATTTGTCCATCTTCCTCAGGTTGCGCGATCACTTGTCCAAGCGATCACCATGGACTACCTTACATCTAGTGCCTGACCTATTCCAGCTCGCTAAACGCAATAGTTCCTGCCTGAAGTACCCGGGAGGAAAGCCGATCAAGTCGAAACATCACCAGCAAACAGTTGAAGTCGGTTTAGTATTCATATGCGTTTTGAAATGGAATGATGCAGGCCAATCTTAACGAGGCTAATGCTGAGCCGACTGCTCCTGAGGACGCTTCGGCGGCCCCAGTAGCCACTACGTCACCGAATGAGTGCGCGGAGGGGACTGCTGAAACTTCGAACCAAGCCGTGAAGGAGCCGGCGCCGGCACAAGAGCCTGTGGTGCAGTGGAAGATAGAATGGCGGTTCCAAGCAGCAAAGGAAGGGACGGATGAAGTGGTCCTCAATGAAGTGTAGTAGCATCCAACACGCATCATCCTTATCGAGAGCAGGAATCTCAGATCTTCGGAAGAGACTAAAGTCGGTGATCTGCTGGAGGCGTTGGTCACCAACAAGTGGCGACGTAGGTGCTGGCCGTAATAGTCTTTTCTTATAGTAAATCTCAGGCGACTTGTCCAACACCGTACCAGAGTACATCGAGGCTGGTCCGGGAAAGGTATCGGTCTTTATGAAGGTGTGTCGGTGCCGAAGGGGACGTGTTTGGGGTATAGTCCGTATAGGTGCTAATGGCTCACAAGCCCCACACGTATCACGATGAGAGTCCCTACAACAACACCGAACAAGATCTTAGTCGCTGCAATAAGTATACCGGGCTGATGCCTGGGGTACTCCATGTGAATGTATAGGTTCTGGCCTGTGGATGTGAACAAATCTATCAAAGAGAATTTGTACTACCGTGTTGTGGTGGAGCACCCTGTATTTATCGTCACTCTCGAGCCAGCTAAGTTCCCAGTTTTGGTAGAGGACGAACAACCAATTTTGGAAGTCCAGAAAGAGGAGGCAGTGGGTTGATCATGTGATGTCGTTCGTACCTTAGTCCTTGTTATTAGCCCGCCCCCGAACCGAGCAAGCCGGAGATCAGTCTAGCAGAGGATTTGCCCCCACCGGCTCCCTCCTCTGGCAAGGGTGGTTGGCAACAGCATAGCAGCCGTAAGGGGGGGAAGGGCTTCTCTGGGAAAGGGCAGTGGACTGGTCAATACAAGGGTAAGGTGAGATGAACTCGGAGTACTGTCATCAACCACCTTAGGAGGCGGTCGCGAGTGGCAGAACAACAGCGGTAACGATGGTTGGTGGAACGCCGGGAAGGGCGGAGGTAAGACCACTTGATTGCTAGCTTCTCCATTGAGAGGTTCTCTTACAGGCAAGGGGTCAGAGTCGTGGTATTGGGGGCCTCAATATCCACCACAACCGAACGAATGGCAAGGTAGGTGTCGTCTTCACTGCCCACTCCTGTCTGGCTTATGCGACCTTTGTTATTAGGAGGCAACTGGAACGCTGGGTGGAATGCCAGTGGTGATAGCTGGGGCCCTGGTGGTAAGGGTTCCTCCAAGGGCGGCGACTGGGGCCAAGGTAAAGGCGCTTACTACAATAGCAGTAAGGGAGGTAGGGCACTGAATATTCCACGGTATAACCAGTGTTAGTTGATGTAGGTTGGTGAACTTCATTTGTGTGATAACTCTTCATCCGAGCAAGTGCTCAAACGTCTGTTCCTTACCATTTAACAACACTTGTATGTTACTTCTGCTTCTGTTCATCCATCCACTGCCTCTTGGGATTGGGTTCAAGTATCACTTACCATTCAATTCCGGAAACACGCCTCTCGAGCGATCGAGATGTTAAAGTGATATTGATTGCAATGCGAAATTGATGATATTGTAACTGGTGTAGATGGAGGTCTACATGTTCGCCGAAATCCTCAGGGCTCCTATCGTTCTGCTCAACGCGTACTCGAAACACATGGGCTCCGGCGATTTGGTTTTCACTGGACTCAACACCACCAATCAATTCCGTGCAACGAATTACAACCATCATGCTCCGGTGGTCTCATGACGGTCGGTGGCAGGGAAGACGTTCCAGACCATCAGACAATGGTCAGCTCCAGCAGAGATAAGCTGCTTACCATCAGGACTAAAGCTGAGGTCGTTGATGCATGCACTGTGACGAGGCTCCTCGGAATGGCTGCAGACCAGGCGGCCTGAGCCCATCTCCCACAGCTTTACAACGCAGCCCGTTCCGCCTGAGGGAGGGGGTTGCGTGTTAGTAGCCAACTGAAGACTAACCTGAGGCCAGCAGTCCTCCCTTCCCATCATCATGATAACACAGACATCTGAGTTCGTCCCCAGGGCCAGCCGAGACAACCCTGATGGGCTCAGGCTGCCTTAGGTCCCAGAACGTCAAATGCTTCTCCTTGCCGCCTGTGACGACTACGTTCTCATCGACACCAACAGCTAAGCAGTCGATGCCACCATGTCTCTCCCTATGGCATGTGATGCGCTTCTCGGCCCTTAGGTCGAACGTGAGCAAACACCTATCCCTGCTACCAGTGACACAGTATTGATCGTTCGAAAACAGCTTCAAGGCGTTCACCCGAGAGGTGTGTTCCTTCAACCCGCATACCATTTCCTTCGACTTCATTTCCCACACCCTCACTTCCCCTTCACCGCCTCCAGTGACGACAAAGCGACCATTGCTAGAGACAGCAAGAGAGCCGATGTCGCTAGCCCTGTTGGTCCTCCCTCGAGTCGTGGTCGTATCGATAGTCCACAGCAACGCTCCACTGTCATCATCATCAGCACAGTTCCAACTCCGCAATAGTCCGTCACGATGCCCAACTACGACGAGTCCAGCGCGACTCAAATACCCGAGGCAAGTAACTCCAGCCAAGGGGCTACTAAAAGTGGGCCGGGGTGTGAGGCGCATGATGACACTATATGAGGTCCCATCGCAACTCCAAAGAGTGACGACCCCCGAAGCGTCACCAACAGCAAATTCAGTGCTGACATCAGGCATAGGGAATGCCACAGCGTCCAGGGGAGCTACTGTGTTCTCTTGGACCAGTGCATGGGCCATATCCTTCGCTGGCCATAGCAGCCACGTACTACCCGTTGTTGAGGCACACAAGACCTGTCCCCTCCGTCCCACTGACAAGCTCACCACCGCTCCAGAGTCTATTACCACCCTCTTCAGTTGTCGCAATTCGGTCAACACACAGGAGAGAAGTGTGATACTGCCATCACCGCTGGCAGCAAGGACAACGGGAGAGTCTCCTCCAAGACCAACGTATGCCAAGGAGTGAACCCCGCCAGCACCGACCGGTCCTGAAAAGCCCTGCACGACTCTACTGCGCATCTTGACAACTGCGATGTCGCTCGAGGAGGTACCAACAAACAGGAGGTCGTAGTCTGTCGAGAAGCACAAGCACTCGAAAGATCTAGTATGTTTCCCACTAGGCGAGATGGATACCGGAGAGATGCTTTCGGCCTCATCGTTCAGTTCCCATATGGTCACATTGCCCCCACCACAGCTGGCCAGCTGATAAAGGCTTGTGTCTCGTCGTTTCACATCCTTCACGAAACCCCCTTGCACGATCGTTTTCACGGGCACTAAGGCTGCCAGAGAGCGACAAACTATTGCAAGCCCCTCCTCACAGTCCCAGACGAAGAGCCTTTGGTCCCCCATCCCACCACTACTGACCACAAACTTGTCATCACATGTGAAGGCCACAGCCGTGACCGCCTCGTCGTGCTCCTCCAGACGCAACACCAATTCCCCATCGCGCCATACAAGCACGTCTGCCCGATCACCAACGAAGCCCGCGGCAACCAGGCCACTCCCCTCTCTATTGCCAACTGCTAAACAGCTACACTTCATAGTGAAGGCCCCTGGTAGGAACACCTGAGGCTTGCCCGGTTCATCAGCAGCTTGTACATATACCGCCCCTCCCATCACACTGATGTACTCCTCCTCGCTAAACCAGGCACATAGGCTTCGACACTCATCCGAGTGGTTGGCGCCGAGTGCCCTATCGAGCTCTATATTAGACATATATGGGAGCTGAACTGACAGCTCCAGACCTCCCCTGGTCAGTCACCAACACGACAGTGACGAAAAGGGTCTAGAAAATACAGTGATGGCAACTCGAACAGAGGTATCTCCCGTAATCACAGTGAATGCTAACATGAGATCACCTAGCTACTATTCTACTTGGGAAAATTGGCTGAGGCAACTACTACTAGCTTTTATAAGTGTACAGTAATAATATTTTACCAATTTATCATCATCAAGTCAGCCCTGCTGCCTGTAACAGTATAAGCAATCTACGTTCGAACAGAAGTGACGGCCTGCTGCGAATCCGGAGCAGGGAGGGTGGCCACACACGTCATGGCAACCGTCCGGAAAAGCCTCTCAATGTCAGCGTTTTGCATCTGCGAAACATATCCAAGGTCGCCGCGAGAAAGATTCAAAACAGGTCGACTTACGAAAGGATGTTCCCAGAAACGATACCGAGGATTCTTGACCAGCTCTATGAAAGTGATCAGGAGGCCCCACGGATGCGGACGTCGGACAATCAGCCTGACCATAACCAATGAGCAGGCCGAACCGGGGAAGCACAACTCACCGCTCGAGGAGAATCCTGGCAATCTGCTCCCGTACCGATGCAACTGGGGCATCACCAAACAAGTTCCTGAGGAGGACCACCCAGTAGTAGTACTAGCAAAACCTTGACACCTTCCCAGGCCTACAGGATGAGACAGCTGAAGTAGTGAGTGTGGGAGTTGGGGAAACGCAAAAAGTTCACGATAGTTGAGAGGAACACGTATCTGCCACCACAAGCAAAGAGTCCCGCCAGCAGCCGCAGAGCAAAGGAGCCGACCTTCCCTCTGGATCTAGATGACAAGCCAAAAACATCAACATCTCCACTTGGACGTTGCCGCCCACTTTAACGGCTTGCTCATACGTCGGGCATACAATAGGTAGGCGAATGCCAATGTACCTTTCCAACGTGAGTGATACCAATCGTGGAGCTACACTATCCGCTATTACTCCACAAGGGCCGTCATCACTGTGTGGTTGTACCCTACCGGACCTTGCAAGCGCTTCTTTAGCGCCTCTAAAATCGATCGATCGCGGACCTCTACGTACTCGTCGATGATCTGCAGAAGGCCCGCTCGCTCCAACACGGTGGTCTCCGGCAAGAGGATCTACGTAGCACGCATGCCCAACTAAGAGATAGCTGCGAGTGATGGCCTTACCCTGGGTGTTATCCGGACGTCCGGGAGAGTATCCACTTGGAGGTCCAAGGAGAAGGGGTCAGGCAGCTTCATCCCTCTAGGGAATGCACACAGTATCATATTCTTGGCTTGAACCTGAAGTTACTCTCGCGGTGCAGAGTAGCACAGGAGGGAGTCCACTTACGCAGTTATCAGGAAGCTCACTGACGAGACCAAACTGGAAGTCTGAGAGGAACTCAGGATAGTCTTCCTGGATCGCAGTCATCCATATCTTCAGTAGACCAGTGTAGAGGACCTTTACCGGCTCTGGCACCTACCACACCTTTGTCAAATCCCAATAATGTCCCCCTTGTCCCCTCATCACCTTTAGAGCAAGACCATCCTCAAGCGGCCTCTCCTTGCTATTAGCTAGATAGGGTTCTATAAACCGAAGTAGCTGCTGAATGAGTCGGGATGCGGCCAACCAACCTCGCTGACCACGGACATGCATCTGACCATTGCCAATGTGGGCATGCGTGCTAGAGGGAATAACCACATACCAGACGAGGAAAGAACTTGTCATCAGTCAGAAGAGCTGCCCAACCGAAAACGAACTGTGGTATCTGCCCTGGGCCGACCCAAGAGAGGGTCTTCGCGAAGGCGGATAAAATAGCACACAAGTATCTGGCAGCAGAAGAAAGGCATCCCATAGTTCAGCAGCTCGAACCGAGAGCATAGCTGTGTGCTAGGGAAGGGTGACCTACTTCTCACTAAGAGGGTCGATGGGCTGAGGACCACGCAAGGCTTCCTTGTACTGTACTTCTCGAGACACTCGTGCATCCAAACAGCCCTGAACTCCACGTGTTGAAGCATGCTATGCAGGGCTGACCTCACCTGGAGGAGCTCAGAGACAATCCTCGTGTAAAAGCGCTGGTTAAACCTATCGCCACTGGCGTTCGCATCGGTCCATATGTGTCGAGATACCATCTGAAACCACGGCGTCAAAATGGGCGGAGCGAAGCGATTCATGTTGCGGAGAATAATCGATATGCACCAGTACCTCCAGAGCCTTGTGGAGCATCCTGATAGCATTGTACTCCACCATGGTAGACACTGCCGCAGGGCCATCCTCTTCCTCCGAAGGCCGGGTGGGATCCAGAGTGAGAAGAACCTGACATTCTCATCGATCGTCGTCTGGGGAAAAATACTTACCACTAGCGAAGCGAAGCAGTCTATTGCATCGAACTTCAACGCACTATCATGAGTGGGTTTCCTGAACAAAATAGTAGACTACCATTCCACGCTCAAATCTTACTCAGGATGTTCACTATCCATATTGGCCTCGACGGTCTCCTTGGAAGCCAGATCGATGACATGCTCAATCACCACAGCCAGGAAGCTCGAAAACCAGCTGGGCTGATCGTTGCTCCCAACAGGGCGCCCCTGATACCAAGAATAACCAATCACGTCACTATTGACGCCTAGTACCTTCGAGATGAAGTACTCATTGAGGTAGTCGATTTTCAGGCGCGCCAGCGCGTCCTTAGTGGTGGGCAGCTCACAGGGAAGATTGAGCTCCTTAGAGGTCTTCTTTCTCCACACGTCGAATGCCTCAACATACGATGCCTTGGTACTCTCAGGCACCTGACCACAACATCGATACGCCTGAGCTGACATGACCAACTGCACATACATTCTCCACCAGTGGCTTGGTACTACTAGGGGGCTGTAACTGTGATGACGGTGGCACCTACATCAAAGGTCTCAGAGCTGGGGTCAGGACGGAACGCCTACGTGTATCGCGAGGTAGTGAATGGCCTCTGGCGGTACAGCATTCTGTGGTGCCTTGTTCAACGTCAGTGCCTGTAGGGGGGTAGAACCCAAGCAATGACCCTTCTTAAGAAAAGCAGGACCAGAACACTACCTTTCTATATTGTAGTACCCTCTCCGGGTATAGAACCTGGGCCGAATGCTTGCACGCCTCCACGAACTGTGCCGTCGCCATAGCCAACTGCTTCTCCAACGTACTCTGCCCACCATACAGTACGCAGACCCTCAGCCCCCTCCCGCCCCTCCTACCAAGTGCGATCCAGGCTGCTGCATCTGCTCTCTAAGGCGAAGACCAATCCTCTGAATGACCTCTATGGAATGCACCCAGCTCTGTACTGTCGATATGCGCATCTTATTCAGGACCAGCTGGAGGAAGGTAACCTGCCAATCACAGCGGCGCAGTCCTCAACAAGCCTTCTCAAGCTGCCCTCGGTACATTACCACAAACATAGTGTTCTCTGGGGTATTGTACTCCGTCAGAAGCCTTTGGAGGATCGTATCAACTTCCGACTCCTTCACCAAGGAGTAGCGGATCACACCGCAGAGGGCCAGCTGGAGGGCCTGCCTCTGAGCCTCCGTCGTTGGGACATGCGTTTGCCCACTGAACACAGAAAAACAAGGCAATTTCGTGGCGAGTGACAGATTCCACATTATTACTCTATAGTGTGGCCCAGCAACTTCCTATGCAATAGCTCTACACAGAAGGCCAACAGTGGCGTCTGCACTACCCGCAATGCCGTGTCCTCATTCGAGGCCCCAACAGTTTGCAATACCACACCTGGACCAACAGTGACTGATCGAGATGGTGGGGGGGATAAACTCTACCAAGCATGGCCAAGTGGAGCTCCAGACGGACATGTGCTTCCGTGACGTGACTCTGAGACCACTGGAGTTGTTGTTTGATCGCTACTGCCGCTGCCGCCTAATACGATGATAGCATGCGCCCAGCGTGGAGGGGCCCACTCTCTCCACCTACATCAGTCTTGGTCTTTTCGGCCAGCACGTTTACTCCAACGTACATGGCAGCCAACTGCTCAAACTTGCGGTTCATCTCCTTCAACACGTGAGACACCACCACTGTTGCCAGGGCCGGGTCGTGCTTGAGGATCTCATCGAGGTTCCTCAACAACAACTACATTCAAGACAAACGATTCCCTCACACGGTAGGCTGCTGCTCTACACGGCCAACTACCTGCCATCCAGTGAGACCAGCATTCAAGGTACCAGCCTCTTCTGAGGGCGTGTTGAGGCTGCAGAGCCCGACCAAGGCATAGAAGCTGTCCAGTTGTGGTCGTTGCGTATCGCTTATCTCTGGCATGGTCAAGACCTACAGTGTGATGACGCTCAGGTGTCATCGAGTGGGGGCCATAACATGCCACTACTCTCTCATTAGTAGCCGCGCGACCGATGACCTCCTCTAGACCAGTGGTAAGCAGGATCCTAGTGAACCGCCAAACTTTCCCTTGAGGTCCCTCTGCGGGTGATGACTCAAGCTGATGGACCGCGCCCGAAGCCTGAGGGGAAGCCTGTACGACAGTACATCGAGTTACTCTACCTGTGCATGTAGTTGCTTCACGATGCTCTGGACTTGAACCAGTGATGGTAGGGCTGGTGGCTGAGGACCGCTGGGCTGCATCTACCACATACAAGCTCACATACTAGGCATGCGGTGCCTGCCCTACTCCTGGTGGTGCTCCTACGATTCTGCGTTGCATATTATCCGCCGGCATCGCTCCGCTCATCGGAGGGGGCACACCGCCCATGGCCGGGGGCTTCACTTTTGTCAAGAAGTCGCGATAAACCTGAACAGCATCCAGCCACTCTCGGCGAGCCGTGTACACGCATTCGCGCCCCACATACCCTCAGCTCTCTAGCCGGCAATGGTCCGGCTCCTGGTCGCAAGCTGCTGGGAAGCGACTCAGGCCAGGTCCCACTAACATCGTAGAACTCTGAGTCCACGAACTGCGGACCACTAGTGCCATACTTCTCCCTGTGCATACGCCGAGCCTCATAGGCCTACCACACCAACAGCCCATCGTCTCTCCAGCAAGAAGCCCTAGACTCACCGGCTGGAAAACTAAGTCTATCTCCTTGACCGCCCTCTCACACACAATCTTCTCTATCAGCTGGCAGCCCAGGTCCAAGTTGTCCGCAGTGACCGTAGATATAACCTGCGTATCATAAGCCTGTACCCTTCCCATGGGTCGCCCTAAGATTCCCACCTGCTCGATGAGAGCGTTCTCCTGATAGTCCTGCGGCGGAGCAGCATTTCCAGGATTGAGGAGAGCCTTGAGGTGATTGGTCAGTGACAGGCCAAGAGGCTCCCTAACATCAACAGTCTTCGACGCCCCCCCCCAGGATGAGCTCAGTACTACCGGCAAGTGACCAGCGCCAGTGACCCAGCCAAGTTGGAGACCATCAGCTGGCCTGCCTTCCTCACCACGTCCTCCTCTGGCTCCATCGCCAAGTCCTTCAACACGACCTGCTTGGTCGTTAGAGTCGCTATTGATACACTGCGCTCGACCACTGATCAACGTTAAGTGAGTACCACCCTACACCACAGCGGCGAGCCTACCTGCGTTGACGATATCCCTGATGGCACGGTCCATAGCTAGAGGCACGATTGGCTTCAGCTTGGGCTGCAGACGGAAGAGCTCCACACTGGGGTCTATGATCACCAAACTCGGCAGGCTAGGGAGGATGAACCCTTCATTCTCTCCAGCCACCTGGGCCACAGAGCCCGGCCCTTGTGCCACGAAGGAGTTCGCGGGCTGCAAGGACGCCACTGAGGGTACAGGTATTGGATGCATGCCAATGGGTCGCTGAGCCGCTGAGGGTGGTGGGGCCATCCTTGGCTGGGGGAACGTGGGAACTGCCTGCGCTGATGCTGCTGCCTGTTGGCGTAGATTAGCCATATTCATAGCATCAGCAATGCGTTGGGAGAAGTCAACTTGGGGTGTGGGGCCTCCGGGATGTCCTGTTGCTGGGGGCACGCCAACTCCTGGCCGCGGAACCGGCTCTGAACGACCCAGTGCAACGGCAGCGATCGGATGGGGGGCCTTCGAGATATCCGACGAATCTAGCAGCGACCGAATCTTGTCACGCGCCACGAAATTATCATAAGCCCGACCTTTAGGCATACTCCTCCCTGCCAAGAGTTCCGTCTTTTTATACTCTCGGAAGGACGGAGACAACTCCAACTTCTTCGCCAGAAGCTCTATCTCGAACACCAAGTTGGTGCGAAGATTCGGTATCTACCACAATGGCCCTTCCCTCTGCATGCCCCCCATCACCACTGTTACATCGTGGATCTCCGCAAGCAGGCTAAGCTGGGCATTACTCCAAGGGTTCGGCGGCCTGTATGTCCGTGAGTCCTTGAGAGACTCCAAAATTTTACACGCCAGGGGAAGAGTGGCCGTGAGCCGTCCGCTAGAGTAGGAGTCCAACAACAACTGCTTCAGATCGAGATCCCTGACCTTCAGGGCCCGGTTCCGACCGATGGTAATCTGAAGAGGGGCCCCTCAGGGTGAGGCAAAGTACTTCATAAGAACACCTACGCAGCCCAGCCAGTGGCCTAGGTTCTTAAGGGCCGTCCTATGAGCTGGCGATACCACCGCCATGTCTAGAGCATCATCCGCAAGAAGCAAATGTAACAGTGTGAATGTGCTCTGTGTGACCAAGTCAATCAGCTTGTTCTGGCCTAGGGCGTCCAAGAACTGAGGGAAGGCTCATTGATACAGTACTACAGCAAGGCTGCGCTACCCGCAAAAACAAAGGCTGCAGGTTGACCTCTTTCGCTACACGGCTCTTCACCATATACATCGAGAGCCACTGCAGGTACTCAGGCTTGAGACTCTGAGAAAATCAACATCCCTTGCAGGGGTTGAGATGCTGCTCCGTTGGCACCTCTCTGAGCTCAGCCGCCTTCTCCCCAAGATTCAGCGGAGTGAGAGCGTTGAAAGTCTGCATAGTGAGATCACAAAACCAGTCGGGAGGAATGGATATACCAGCCATTGCCTAAACGGGCCGCTGTCCCAGCACGACACATGATTCACTTCATCACCTTTTCGTCGGAGAGTAGCCGATCAACGGGGACTATAACAGGCTGCGGCGACGCCGGTCGCTGCTGAGGAGCACTAGTCTCAGGCGCGCCACTGTTGCTTTTGGGAAGAGCAGCAGCAGGCTGAGAAGTGATGATGAACTCGCGACCGTTCCGTAGTATACTACCATTTCTCTACGAGGTGGAGGCATAGGCTTGCCAGCCTTGAACGCAGCAACTCTAGCAGCATGGAGCTCCCTCTCCTCCTTTTCCTGCAGTGGTGGGGGGTAGAGCTCAGGAGTAGGAACTAGGAATACACCCTGCAACATGGAGTAGTCAAACACTGGCTTGTCCCGGGCCCCAGGGGGCATGGCGTTGAGCAGCTTAACCAGATACCTGAGTTGAAGTGATGAGGGGCTCGGAAGCCCAGAGGGGTAGTACTCGTAGTAATCTGGGTAGCAGCTCTTGAACTGAGGCCCTACTCCTCGCTCAGCCACCAAGGCAGCACAGAGCTGCGGCCAACGAGCTATACGGTCCAGGAACTGCTCTATGATAAGCACCTAGAGGGGGGGAGATGTAGCTGAGAAATGTAAGAAGTGTGGTAGTACACCAAAGCGGAATAACCGAGAGTACGGCGGCCTCTTGAGAGAATCTAGGATGACTCTCATGCAGATCTGCAAGGGCGTGTACCTACGACACGAGTTACCCCTCGCTACTCCCCCTGCTACTACTACTCTTTCGTGTCTAAAATGACCTTTTTGTGGACCTGCGAGACCAAATCAAACCGTAGCAGTTGTCCGATCAACTCCGCAGTGATCCGAAGCTCGTTCGAGGGGTACCTAGTGAAAGATATCTTTTTCACCCGTGAGGCACGCGCTCAACCTCAAGATACTCCCTAGTACCTCGTGATGAACCTAAGCTCATCGCACAGATTCACAATAGTGTGCTCAAAGATCTGACGGTTCGTCGGGCGCTTCCCAACATCAGGTTCGCGTGAGAATTCCAACATCATCTGAATGCAACCAATTCGTCCCCTTTGCCTATCTTTCGCCTTCCCTACGTTGACCAAGTCTTGTGTACTCATCTCTCCGTTGTAAAGCCGATTAAACAGCTTATTAACGGTGTCCTCGAGAAGGTTCGAAGAGCTCTGGTCCGACGGTGGATCCGACATGACGATGATGCTGATGCTTCCACTGAGGGGTAGTAGTACAGCCGCAAAAATGCTGTTTTCACTCTCCCATCACCACCGCCCGCTCCCCAAAATGAGTAGAGCACACTCGGAAGAACTGTGGTCTCCAGTCTGAACTCAAAAAATGTTGACAAAAAAAGCCAAATGCATGCATTTAGGTCAAAAAGAATTTTAGTGCAAATTTCAGATGTGCGAGAAACAACCACAGTGCTCCGAAACAGTCTATTGAGGTCGACTCCGTCAATGGTAAAAGTCTTCAAGGTGTAGGCCGATTCGTGTTCACTCACGAAGGGCACTAGTCGGGCATCTTGCTGAGGTAATCACAGAAGTTCACGTGGATTCATGTACAAGATAAATCTGCTCTCGCGGGCTAAGGAGGCAGGCTCGATCATATTCCCTCGAGAAGCTGTTCTTCCTTGTTGGCAAGTTCGACACATTACAATTCTGCTAGTCGCAGATGTTGTATCTATTGCTAGGAATCTAGTTGGTTGATTGCACATGGACTACAAGTAAAGCTGAAGCAGCGGGCCTAACTCTTCTGAGGCCTGGAGTAACTGCCGAATTGCACATTGGGGAAGTCACTAAGGATGAGTGTGCTTCTGTTTCGTCTGCCCTGCTATTTCCCAGTAGCAGTTCGAATGCCGTTGGCTCCGTGGACTAGCAAGAGACGGTCAACGAAGGGGGTACGTGTAGTGGTGGCTTGGGGAGGAAGCTGTTGCTAGCGCTGTGTTGAGGTTGGAGACGCCCAACCCTACTGCGTGCCGTTCCTTGAATCTAGTTCCCGACCATGGAGGCATTGGTCTTCATGTTGTGACTTATGTCAGGAGGATGGCCTTGCAGTTGGGCCACCATCAGATTGAGAAGCGGCAAGCCGTAGTCTTGTGAAGGGCTCCATCACAGTATTTAGCGCTGATGCAGCTCCGGTTAATACGGCTGATGCGGAGTTGAATACTGCTGTGAATATACGGGCGAGTTCACGTGCGGGCTCAGGTCGTGGAGGGGAGGTTATTGGAAAGTCGCTGGGCGCCGTTGGGGGTTCAGTGATACGTCCTTGAACCTTGATGTGGGAGTGAACAAGTTCTTTGTGGGGGATAGGAGGGGGGGAGAATTCGAGGCGATTAGAGTTCCTGTCGAACTGCCAAATTCAAATCGAAGGTCAGATGTGGTCCTCTTGAGAGGACATTATGTGGGCACAATGAAATTCCGTACTGCTGGTTACTTGTTTACCGTCCTTTTCCCGCATCGGGAGTGGGAGTGGGACCTGGAGCTTCCATCAAACTAGGAAGGGAATACGTATGATGATCGTCGTCCTTATTACGGTTGATTTCACAAACACTTCGTAGTTGCCTAGTGTTCGAGTGGTTCAATTCGAGGAATTTCAATGCTATTCTCAGTCGCCCATCATGAGTGAGGAAGCGGCTACTGAATTGGCGTCGCGAGTCGAAGGTTACGTTAGTCTTAGTGAGGACGAGGCTGACCCCGAGGCTGCCTTGCTGGCCCCACCAGAGACGGACTACGGCGTTGAGGAAGAGCAAGATGAGCAAGATGTCATCAGTCCTGGGGTAGAGGGAGAACTGGAGGAGGCCCCTGCTGAGGTGGATAGTGGGGTAGTACAGCCCTTGAAGAAGGCTCCCACTCGAGCTCGACGGAAGAGGAATCGAACTCGGAATAGGAATGGGGATGGCGTCTCATCATTACAGCCGCCTCCACCACCGCCACCGCCTCCTCCGCCCCCACCGCCACCACCGCCGCCGCCTCCTCCTCCGCCACCACCGCCACCCCCGGGCTCAGCTGAGGCTTTACAGACTGATGAAGCACTTACTGCGATGGCTGGTGGTTACTCGCCCTTCCGTTATAGAGGAGCCGGTCAGCCGTTGTCAGTGGCGTTGGTGAAAAGCATCAAGTATCGTGTTCTGGTAATGAGATGTGAGACTTCGATGACGGTCATCTGCCCAGTGAGGATGCATATAGAGGTCTCCTTACCGAGGAAGCCCGCCGGCTCATCGGTACCATTGGACCATGCCGCTGTCTGTCGCCAAGCGGTGTCTTTTTTCCGGGCCCATCTAGGTCCAGAGAGAACCCTCTGTGCTCATTGGATCCCCAAGGGCCCGGCTGCTGGGGTCATTGAAGTGGCAATACAACTCATCCAACCAACAGACGGTAGCCTCTTCCCGAAGGATGAAATCTTAGCGGAGCGAAACATCGGCATTGACCCCGAGCAGCTACTGGTCACTGGTATTGCTAGATTGGACTCCTTCGACCGCTCAGTTCAGTCGTCGCCGCGGTCCTGGGGTTCCCTTGGTGCTGTCGATTCAGTAGTATTCGCGGTGCCGTTGTCCTGGGAGCCCGAACTACGCACGGTCCCCCCTGGGCATCAGGTCGACACGAGGAGCGTATGGTGGCGAGGGCTACTGGGAGGAGGTTGTCGCGGTCGTATCAAGACCGTTTACCTGCATGGTTATCTGCCTCAACCACAGCACACTATAACGTTTAATAAAATATGGTCCACTGAGGTGGCCGTCCTCATCTGCTGTACTACCACCCCAGTTGACGCCCTTAATCTGGCCAACGTCTTGGACGGCCGCCTTCTATCGGGGTGGGGGCCCAACCGTCAGAGGCAGATGTTCCCTATGAAGGCCCAGCCAGTGGACTTCGCTGCCTTCACTAAGCATCAAGGGAAACTGCCAGACTGGATGGTAGCAATGTATTGCTTCGCTTCACATAGTCGTCGTCTTCCAGGCCCTTCCACTTTCCCCGACGCCTCCCGATCTGTCTCCACCCCCTGCCTTGGCCCATCCTGAGCCACCGCCACCCCCAGGGTATCAAGCCTCGATGGTCCCTCCAGCAGGTGAGCGGGAGGAGCAGACCATGTGATCTGCATTGTGGAGAGTCAGGTTCTCTCGGGGCCGCCAAGAGTAAGAGCGCATGGGCGGTGCCAGCAGCTGTTGTCCATGCCCATGAACACCAACAACAGAGCAAACAACAGAAGGTGTCCTTCTCAGTGCGGCCTCATGTGCTCTCATCATCGTGTCAGCCATCATCCGAGCCAAGGGCTGTGGCGGCTCCGACCAAGGTGGACCCCGACGAGGGTCTTCCTGAGCCCCACTGGCCATATACTAAGCCCGTCTGGGCTGGCTTTGCGATAGAGTGGGTTAACGAGGAAAGATGGTCACGAGATTTCTTCCCTGTCAGGCCCGTAGATCTGTCGGCCCATTCCACGGTCCTCAAGTCCTTAGGGTTCCGCGCGCCCCCGCCTCGGCAACAGCAGAATCCCGCCCCCTCGGCCCCGACAGCAGCACACAAGCGACGGAAACGATGAAGATGATGATGATGATGATGATGATGATGATGATTGAATATTGGTCTTAGTGATGACGACGGTGTGCTCTTTCTCATCCCCCTCACTAACATATTGGAGTTTCATAACTAGAAGGCTATATATTTTTCTTCCTATGCCTCGCCACGCGGTTCTGTTTCGTTGGTTCCTCCTTCCTCCTCCTCCCCCTCCTCCTGCTCCTACTGGGGTGTCTGTGCAAGTCCGGTCTTCGTGCCTTTGATTGAATGAGAGTAGTAATACTGATGAGTAGTAGTAGGATTACGCTTCACCTAAGAGATGCCCCTGCATCATCAGCCCCACTGCCCATCACCACCATCAACTCGGAGGCTTCCTCTCCGACCAACCGTCTCATGCAGTATATCCTCATCAGTTGTTGTGCTGTAGTTAGTCAATTTGGGAGTAGGTTGGCTTAGATGAGGCCCCTCTTCTTACGGCACCGGCCCGGTGGGATGTTGTATCGCCATGCGCCCCCTCTGTGGGTGGCAGCGGCTCATACACCAACTCTCGCGCCTATTTCCTGCAAGCTGAAGAGGAGTTTCACCACTGGGAAGGAGACCTTCGATGCTGTACTGGAGGATGTGGCAAGGCGGAAGGCGACTAACACAGGGGTTGGGGACACACCAGAGGACGTGCCTGATTGTGAGGAGCCTCCAGCAGAGGAGGAGGAAGGTGGGAAGGTTTGTGTCGGTTGACCAGCTCAGTTTCTTGCCTTGTTATTAGAGGTTATGCAAGTGCTGGATATCGATGACGATGAGATGCGGCAAATTGCCAAGAAGATGCCCCTCTCTGATCGAACTGTCCAAGACGTCCGTGCAGAGCTGCAAGCCAGGCTGGACGGCCAAGTCTCGAGCTCAGCGGGAGCTGAGCTCGTGCCTGACGATGATGACGCTGGTCGGTGGGTTGGGGCTTAGGGAATAGGCAGGTTTTTGGTCAGGCAGCGAGGACGACGTCAGTCCGGAGGAGTTGGTGGAGGATGAGGAGGAAGAGCTGACGCCGGCACAGCGATTTTACTTGGAGAACAAGGACAGGCTTCTTGAGAGGGCCACTAGCTACTATATGGACAAGGCCAAGCAGGAGGAAGAGGAGGACCCTGTAGGGAGGGGGGGGGGGAGGGGGTGTGTGACGTGTCACCGCTCAGCTGGATGTCAGGATGGGGTGGTGGACTCCTGGAGGTTCTATAGGGACCCGGTGGTCCGACCACCGAAGGGCCACATGTGGAACTATAAAGACTCTGGTCGGGACAGTCTTCCTGCGGAGGAGTACGAGCCTATCCAGTTCACCGTACGTAGGCTTATTGGACACACGGAGAGGCATCGATGGTTGTTAGGAAGGGGAGATGCCCACAGTTGAGCAGATCACTCGACTGCTCCAGGATGAACAGGTACGAAGGCCCCTCTCATAACATCGTCACTTCGGTTTCTCTAGGCCCTTGATATCACTGTTGTCGATCTCGATCTGGTTGGTCGTCGAGACGTGGGCCTGTGGGCAATCATAGCCACTGTCCAGTCGGGAGGTCATGGGCGTCGATTGGCTTCTCTCTGTACTCGAACGGTCGACGAGTTGAAGGTAGTAATGGGCACGGGTCTCGGAGCTAGCCATGGATCAGATACCAGGAGTGATGACATCGATGAACGGGCGGAAAGCGGACGATTGGGTCATAGCTCGAATGGGGGCCATCGTCATCCATCTCATGACCAAGACTAGAAGGGAAACAGTGAGTGTCTAGTCCATCGCGATGACTCGCCCCTCTAGCGTCTTCCAGATGAATCTTGAAGCCCTTCTTATGAGGCCCCACGACTGGATGGGACCAGAGGACTTCCCGCAGTATCAAGACTTCTGGGATGGTGAATCGTTTCGATCGGTGGTAGTTGGCTACTCTTTGGCAGGTTCGGAGCCGCCTGACTTCGTACTCCGCTCCCCCAAGGGCGTTACGGCAACAGTAGAGGATCAGGAAAAACTCTTGGAGGCTTTCGACGACAAGACAGATTATGATGTGGAACGGAGATTGGAGATCGGTCGCTTAGGAGGTGACAGTGAAGATGAAGAAGTGTCACCATGCAAAAAAAAGAGTTGACGTTTCGGTCTGGACCTACTGTGCTGTGTTCCTGAGAGGTATTGACTGATATTATTCAACCAAAAGAAACTCAAATGTTCAGTTGGAGGATAGAAGTAGGGGATGTTTATAGAACGAATCTGATATCGAGGAGTCGATGAAAGCAATGCTCAAGTCCTATCTTCGAGCGAGGGTCAGAAATGATAACTCGAATGATGCAACATGGTGCAGTGATGAGATGATGGCACGTAATTATGGTAGTGGATAATATACACTGTGCGCGTATAATATGGGAAAATGGTCTTGTGCGGTGACAGAGTTGTCAAATCTGAGCACGCTTGTTCTGTACAAATTGAATTTGATAATCATTAAAATCAACCCCCTTCTTGATTACTTGTAGTACGATTTCATTATTGCGTTACAGTTTGCTCTGATCCTGCGGTACAGGTAATCACCATCTTTGAGAATGGTCAACCACAACACAAATAGCAAATGATCATCTTGCATCTTTCTCCCCAACACCTCGTACACGGAGGCCTGATAGGCCGGGACCAGGCTAGTGTCCGAATGGGAATTAGCTCAGTACTGGTCTTCAGGATGGAAGCTAGTCATTTTCCGAAAGACGCCCACTCTCTCAATACAATCATTCCAATGAATAGGGAGCCCGATGAGAATTTCTCGTGTAAAAGTGTCCTTACTGCATAACGCAATAGGAAAGAGTAGCAGAGACGCGTAGGCAAGAATAAGTCTGTGTACTTTACTCTGATCAATTCCGATAGTTCGCAAAATCCAGCTGGTTAGAAGGGCTGGGAACATCGAATGATAGAGAACTTGCGCCTACCGCTGAGACGGCTGTTGTTGTAGTAATAATAATGTTGCAGTAGAGAAGAATTAGCATATTCAACAGAACAGTTTTGAGATCGGGCACTACTGCGACCGTAGTATGACATCGAAACAGATATCAAAACGTCAACAATCGACAACATTTTGATGTGTGCTCCCATGCAGCAACGTCAACAACAGCAGCCTTACTCCTCAAAACTGTATAAGCGTCCAGTAGACATCAGCCAGCCGAGGCGGCGGTAGCAGTCGAAACAAAAGTGCGAAAGATATGATGCAGTGGTGATAATAGTACAGGGCGAAAAACATGATAATAGCAGCAAGAGCGGGTTAACCATCTTCAACCGTATGAACGACGGTGCACAAACGACGACCAAAAAGTCAGAGGTCTACGTGAACCAGTGAGTAGTCGCACACCAGACTTTCAAAAGCGATCGCCATCATATTGCATATCCTGAAATCGAAAGAGTGGCGAGTTTGGTAGGAAAGTTATTGCACTCACCGTTCGTCCTAAAATCCTCAATTAAATCATCCACCCGATGCAGTTTGGAAACTGCATAGATACTTCACAAGTCAACGTTGTCGTACGACCGTTGACTTCAACATCCCAGACAATCAGTGTTTGACCATTCATAAAACTCTCCCGTATAAGCGACTCCTCGATTCATTCACTGTGAATGGCGATACACAAAGCAACGGACACGACAGACCAGCAGCTGACTGTATATTAGCAGAAGCATGAGATCCAAGACGGCCAGCAATAACAAACGTGTCCGAGGCTAAGTAAGACGCTTAATAATAAGGAGTGGGAAAACCCCTCGAAAGCTGGGTAGAAGACGATAACTATGCAGTAGGCAAAGACTGGACTTTTGCAACGGTATTGTCCGCGTCGTTACCGAACAGTAAAAGATACTCATCTGATGATCTCCCTTAAGGGACTATTGAGCAAAGCGCCTTGCTTCACAAGCAGTAGTGGGAGACTACGAGACGGGTCGGTCTTGGGACGCAGTTACAGGATCGAGACCAGTAAGACCGAAGACCAGGACCGCCATACGTAATGCGAGGACGAAGATATCGAAGACACACTCCCACTGCAGTAACGGCAACCCGACTAAGGTTCCTCCCAAAGATACTGGTCACCGCCAATACCTTTGGTTGATGCAGTGATGATGGAGTATTGAAGTATACTATAGACTAGACTGGATAGTAGAACATGTTCAAGTAGCGATACTTTACTACTGTACCAACTAGTTTACGCGTCACCAGTGGTGGTAGTAATAGACATATCAATGATGATGATGATCGCAACAACAAGAATACAGCCATCAGCAGTCCTTCCACAGGGCGGCGCTGCTGTACCTCCTCCCCCACTACATAATATAGAACGCCTTCTTTAATGAAAGTAGCGATGGCGCCCACAACGACGAGCAAGAGAGGACTTCTTAGGCAGCTTGTGGAGGCTGGTTGATCTAGTCGTATAAAGGTAGTCCACGTCAATGTTATGATCAATCTCAACCTCCTGGTCGCCGATCGCCGCTCCAACAGCGCGCATAAAACTAACATCATAATATGCACAAGCACGATATATCTAAACTTACGTTGAAACATGGTGACAGCCGCTGGGGGTGTTACACTGTAGATCAAAACACAGCGCACGATTGCCAACCTCGACTGCCCAACTTTCAGAGTCTGCGAATGCTGTAACCTTCGTATTTCTATTCAGCTCGAGTATCTAGACCGACACGAGTTACCAAAGGAGTGGTATGGTAAGAGGCAACCTCTGATGGATTTCGATCGCCCTTCCGGACATAGCAAAGAATCGCTGCCTTGTCCGCAGGAATAACACACCAACGCAGACTCCACCGCTTCAAATGCAAACTCTCTTTCCACAACAAACCTGATGAAGTCCCATCAAGTAGATGCCCTGAACGAATCACTACTACCTTCAAAGAGTGGGGGGTCACCACCAGGGCAGTTGATGACCGTGTCCAAGTCACTGGCCCAGCTGACAGTACGAGCCTTGCGGGCCGTGATTTCAACTGGGGTACGCTCGCGGCAGCCCCCACAGCAAGCTTGACAGCCTACTTGAAATGATACGAATTGGAAATGTGATGGTATTAGTAGTACTATTTTCAGAAGGAGTTGTGGTCGAATTCGAAAGCCAGCTTTGGGAGCGAAACATGGTGCGATTCGGCGGAGGCGGTATTGGACGAAATTTTGAAGGCGGTGAAAACGACGCTGCCAAGACAGAATCCCCCACAGAGAGCGATAAACACGAAACGAATTTATGCAAAAACAATGACAATTTTCTCATAGTCTCAAGCCCAAAGATAAGCATGTTATTCGAAGTCTTTAACGACAGTCGAGTTGAAGCAGCACCATCTAGCGCTCCGTCGACTGATGTGCGGTAGCAGGGCGATGACGATGGACCTGCCAAGGGCCTCAATACGATTCGGGGAGGGAGTAGGCCGACCTAGTCCTCGTCCTCATCCTCGTCAGGTGTATGGGGGTGCCTTACTGGTGGCCTCTCGCGATAACGGGGAGGCTGCAACGACAACGATCAAAATGATCCTTCGAGTAGACCTAGACTTACATTGGGAGGGTTCTTGCTGAGCAGGAATGTCTGGGCAAAACGCTGGCCGCTGAATACCCCAACAAGGCCAGCACCAGTGACCAACACCCATACCTTGGGGCTCAGGGAGTAACGGATGGTCTGCATATTGGTGTGGAAGAGGACGCCAGTCCCGGGGGGCTGAAAAGCGACCACAGCCTTTGGCCCTTCCTCGTCGAGCAGCTGCCTACAGAGCGTGGCACGGCTACTCCCAGACGTGGGGGCCTTGGTCTCGTCCACTTATACACCGCTGCTTCTACCTGGTTACGAACCGCTTGTAGTGCCATGCTATAGTAGAACTGAATGCGGCGGAGAACGCACAACTTTCGACTGTCACTCGAAGTCAACTTGCCTTTCTTGCGAATCTTGACACCTCCCCCCGGTTTCCAAGGATTAACGACGGTGTGAAAATTCACTGCTTTTACTACGAGGGGCTGCGCTGGTCAAGCACTGAAGGATGCGGCCAAGTCTAGGGCCTCCGCGAAACCGGCGGCGCCTTCGAGTAGCAATACGAGAATATATACTATGTATTTTTTCTAGAGCAGCACTAGTCTCAGTAGGCAGTATAGGAGTATGTCTGCGACCTCAGCAGCTTCTCAATGAGCTCTCAAGCTCAGCTTTGTGTACTGAAATCAATTCACGCGTATTTAGGCTCGGCCGGAAAGCCCCCCAGACCTCCAAGAGTCGAGACACATCCATACTACTATATACTATGGAGTACTCGTTATGAAGGGAAGTTCCAATCGATTTTGGGAAGCCAGCCTGTGCTTCGAACCGAATGCCATGCGTTATAGTTCGAGTTTTAACTTTATTTTGGTCACGACGAAGTTGCACAAATTTTTGTCAATTTCCTGACTTTTCCCGACGTCGGAGGAGCTCCCGGCGGCCCCTCCTGAAGATACTCTAGCCTGTCAGTTCAACGCCTTCCGACCACGGCTGCCAGACTATGATTGGGGGCTCGAAGAGGGGACTCAAGCTGGGCCTAGGCGAGGTCAAAAAGAAGGAACGCCTCATCCCACTGAGGGCCAAGGAGGGAGCAGGAAAGAGCTTAAATGCTGATTACCATGAAGTGAAGATGAAGACAACAGAGAAAGTGCAGGCAATCTATGATGGGGTCAACTCCTTGCACTGTGGAGGAGGAGGGGGTTCATGAGGCAGCGCCCCCACCGAAGAAATCGACGCCCTGGAGGGGTGAATGCTTGACTGTTGGCAGTGCCTTGAACGTTGCTGGGGCAAGTCAGTCTTCTATTGCTCAACAGCTGAGGGAGTGAAGCTCCCGTCGGATAAGGGGTGTGAATTTGAACTAGGTGGAGATGACGAGGGGGCCGACCCCAAGGTGATCAGGAAGGCCGAAGGATCTTTAGTAGTGTGGACAGCTGCACAGGTTGCCGGGACTGCCGAGGAGGGCAACAAGACGTCGAAGGTGAACGTTACGAGGAAGAAAACTGAGCAGGCTTTGCAGGAGCAAGTGAGAAGTTAGTTTTAGTATTAAATTAATACTAAAGCTAATTTCTCATTGAATCAATACTATACAGAATATCGATGTTAGTATATGATGGTGGTGATAGTAGGTGAGCTCACGGCCCGTTAGTTTTCCTAGGTATTTTTTAACTTGATAGTTTCATATTTTCATACCACTCCTTGAGCTAATTTAATACTAGGGAGAGTATCTATTGCGACTAGTCCTCGTCCTGTATGGTAACGATCCAGCGTTCGGGGTTCATCTTGGATAACGAAGGGAAGTTGTTATCGGACTCCTACGATGTGGAGAAGAAGACTCTGGGGCGAGGTGAGTTCGATCTTAGTCGCTGCTCTCATCAGCAGGGACGGTCAGGCACGTACGGCTCTGTATCGAGAGCTATGAATAAGTCGACTAAACTGATACGCGCTATCAAAACCATATCGAAGTCGCATTTGAAAAATGTTGTTCGATTTCGTCAAGAGGTGAGGACCATCGTCAAAAGGTTTTTCATGACCTTTTTCAGATTGCTATTATGAAAATGCTCGATCATCCGAACATAGTGAAACTGTTCGAGACCTTTGAGGATGCTAAGAACATCTACTTAGTATTGGAGCTCTGTAGGCCTCCTTCCCCACGTAACTCGCTGCCTTCCCCACGTCTCGTCGCAGAAAATCATCCATTTTTCCCATCTCAGGAGCGAATTTTTTTCTTAGGCGAGTTTGTAAATTTAGGATTTCACGCTAATTAATGAAACTTCAAGAAGGCTTGGATATTGTGAGGAGCTACCATACGCTAGAGTGGAACGGTCATATTCGTGACCGTTATTCATGTATGACTAAAGTTAGATGTCTATCGCCCAGGTACTGGCGGAGAGCTTTTCGATAGGATAATCGATCAAGGGTATTTCACCGAAAGGGGCGCGGCGAGTCTGATGAAGCAAGCGATATCAGCGGTGTACTATTGTCACAAGAATAACATCGTGAGTGGCATTTCATCATCGTCGTCTACAGGGATGAGTTTCTCAGTAGGTTCATCGAGATTTGAAACCAGAGAATTTTTTATTTTTGAATAAGACGAAAAACTCTCCCTTGAAGATCATCGATTTCGGCCTGGCCGCGAAATTTGGCGACAATGTTCATTTGAAAACGAAGGCTGGCACCCCGTGAGCTCAGTGTAGTGTTTTTTCTGTAGAAGTTTCGGTCTAGGTATTATGTTTCCCCTCAAGTTTTACAAGGTGATTACAATGAGTCTTGCGATTTGTGGAGCTGCGGAGTTATAATGTGATAGCACGCTGGTCGTTATTATGACGTAGCAGTATTTTAGGTATATTCTTCTGTGTGGCTATCCGCCGTTCCATGGTGACACTGATGCGCAAATTCTGGCTCGGGTGAGGTCTGGGAAGTACAATTTTCCTGACGAGGACTGGAAGACTGTCAGCAGCGACGCGAAGGACCTTATACGCAAACTATTGACCTTCGACCAAGCGCTGAGGTAAGAGATAGTAGTATTGTGATTGACAACGGTGGTGTGTTTCCAGATGGACTGCGGAACAGGCCCTTAACCATAAATGGATTAAGAACTTGGCGAAGACGGCCGATGATGATGTCGATGAGCATCGCAATGTAGTTTCTAGGTTGAGGAATTTCCGAGCACAGAACAAGATGAAAAAGGTAGTATCCGAATTTCGCTGTCTACCTGCCATGCTGAGAATTCGTAGAGTGTTGGGAATGCTGTCAGGTCGCGTTAACGGTCATAGCTCAGCAGCTGGGCGATGCGGACATAGAGCGTTTGAAGAAGACCTTCCAGGCTTTGGATGAAAATGGTGATGGTACTTTGACAATGCAGGAGATTAAGGAAGGTGGGCTGTCTCATCGTAGTAGCCCACACGCATCACATAGGGATGAAATCGCTTGATGTGTCGCTGCCTGCGGATCTAGAGGAGATCATGATGGACGTGGATTCCGACGGTTCTGGTGCGATTGATTATACAGAGTTCATCGCAGCCACCATCGATAAGAAGACGTAAAAGGACGGAGCGCTCTACGAGAATCTATTCTGTGATAGGTATATTCAAGAGGATGTTTGTTGGGCTGCGTTTCGGCTCTTTGACCTCGATGGAAATGGGAAGATAACGCAAGAGGAGCTGCAGAAGGTCCTCAGCAATGATGACGTCAAGACTGCCCTTGGTCAAGACACTGTGAGCAAGATGATCAGCGAGGTCGATCTCGATGGCGATGGAGAAATAGACTTTGATGAGTTTATGACTATGATGCACAGCTCCAACTAGACATGAGTAGCTGTAATTCGGGGCGTCGATGACTCTATCACACATGATTTTAACAGTTATAGGGTTGTATTAGTGCCATTAGTATATTAGTTTCCTACCGTGTTACTTGCTGGTGATTGCGTTGAGTTTTAGTGAGTTGTTGAGCAGGAGGAAACCCTAGTGAAGGTCACCCAGCTGGCCTATTGATGATGGCTCACGCGTGCGGATAGTTAGTCTGTAGGAGTATCTACGATGTTCTTAGATTCTAGTGACGTGTTTGCTTCCGGCGAGTAACACGTCGTAATACCGCGTTGGCTCGATAGTAAATGGATTTTTATGGGGAATATACTTGGATGACCCGTAATTCCTTTGCTTGGTCACACAACATCAGAAGGGCACCTCCCTGGGGGCATTTCCTCCCACTTACTATTCCACAACACAGCACGAAGGGATCGCAGAAACCTTTCTTTTCACGAGCATGACGACAGAGCAAAAGAATTCATTTATTGGCGGCGTTCTGCGCCTCAATCTCACGCTTCTTCCTGTCTACAATTCTTAGCCACTTAGCGAGTTCAATCACATTCCCCTTATTGACGGCGTCTGGTGGCTGGGGGTAGTACGTCGGTTTCACGTGGAAGCCACCTAAGGAGAGCATACTGAGCAACACACGCCACTCAGCGACCTACTTGAGAATCCGCGATACCGCAATTCCTCGATGATCTCTGGCACATTCCATCGCCTAGGATGGACGATTCCAGTCTTGTAGAAGATCTCTATCGCTTTCGCGACAGGAATTAACTCGGCCTTCAGACGATTGGCTAAAGTGCACTGGTGAACCCTGGTGATCGTTCACCTTACCTTCCGCGACGAAGGCAGCTTCTACCCGCTGTCGGAGCTCCTCTGACATCACCTGGTAGGCCGCCTGTTTAGGGGGGTCGGCTTCGGCCTCTCGGATCGCCTCCACCTCGGCGAGCTCCACTGAGCCTGCCGTCGCCTTTTTTTTCCGTGGGTGTCTTTTTCGAGGTGCTGTGGCGGCGGCAAACCTCATCCGAGATGAAATCAGAAGGGCCCGAGCACCGCCAACAATCATGAGAAAGCTGATTCAAACTTCCAACTGGTGTAGGCCTCAAGTGGATACCATCAAAGGGCACTAGGACACAACACGAGGCCTAGAAGGTCGATGCAAGAATTGTTCACATGCGACTGTTCACAAGATTAACTCTCTGAGATTAGCGTTGACCGATACGGCCAAGTCTTCCACCACTGAATAGGAGTGCAGTCCAGTAGTGAGTTTCACAGAGCCCTCCATCCAAGCATCAATGCTGAGGGGACAGGCCATTACACGTCTCTAGCCCACAAGTTCTTCACCTTGGCTCTCCATTCGTCATCAGCAATCGTAGATGCACTAGGCGACGAACCTGCACATGCGCTCAGTAGAGTTTCACCCGTGATATGAAAAACATCTCGCAATTCACACCGCGAAAAATAAATTGTATAATTCACATGGAGTCTTAGGCCACTTCACGTTAAACGAGTGAAGCCGCAGTATTCCCAGCAAACCCCAAGGACTTACCTCTTGAAAGACATCAGCCGTGATGCGCATCTGCCCGTGATGGAGGTAGCGTGCTATCTCCAGCATTCGTTGTAGTGGGAAGGGCCTGAGGGTTGCCCTATCCTGCCCTTAATAAGGGGGGCTGAATGCGCACCTAGGAGGACGGACGGCTATGGAGTCCATCGCCATTTGATTGTTGCGCAGCCTTGTGACAGCCGCTCGACTGTTCCGCCCAGTCTTGATCATGAATAAGCGTCTGTCCATAGAAGGGGGATTGTGAGAGGCGAGGAACCCAGCGAGGACCAACAGCCTAGCGTTATACCTAGAAGCTGTGCATCGAGAGGTCACAGGGCTCGGCACCTACGACAAGTGAGCCTCCCACTTAACGGCGGTCTTGGCCTTGGTCTGTGCTAGGGTATATGATACTGCACATTCTAGCTTCCTCTTCAACTCTATTTGTGACACGCTGATCACCTGGCATGACCGAAGCCATAGACCCCCCCCCAGGAGGCTCGTCCAACAAGCGTCATGCGAATAGCCCAGAAGGTCACCTCGTCGAAGAGCCCTGGGCCAAAGGAGTCGTCCTCATCATCAGAATGCTCCCCACCATCCCGAGTGGCGCTTGACCAAGCCGTGTCAATGATAGCGAGGTACCTGGTCGCTGGTTCTACCGCGGCACTGCCATGACCGACTCACTCAAGGACGTAAGCCTCGATGGCATTCTCGAGTAGGGTTGCCATGTCTACCATTATAAGGGCATCATAGAACAACTTCACATACATCTGCTCCAGAGGTCCCTATGGGGAGATCATAGCCACGACGACACTACCTCACTGAACGCCGTGACCGCCCCTGGGGGGTTGCTAATGGCAGCAGTAGCGTGGCAGAAGGCAGAGACGATCGAAACCGCTTCGGCACTGGTATAGGGTGGGAAGCTGATGACCCCACCGGAGTCGCGCAGTATCGGGGTCGAGCTGACCACGACCGAGCAGGCTCTGGGTAGACACAGCTCCTAAGGATGAGCCTCTGAGGTTGGGAGGGTATAGTAAAATGCCCACATCGTTGATGTTGAGGAGGAACTCCACAAGCCGACATGCCTCTGTTGCCGGCTGCAGCGCCTGGTTAATAGCCGACAGTGTTGTAGCATGCAACTCCCCATGCTCACATGAGCTGCGTCCGGCAAGAGCCTCTCCGCCCTATCTACCACTAGGATGAGGGTCTTCTGAAGGGCATCATGGCGACGAAGTAAATCAATGAGTTTCTTGGCCAGGCCCGTGCCGTCCACCTGAGATCTCATGCGAGCCCAAGGTTAACACCAGCCTTACTCGACGAACGCTGTTCTTTGAGTATCTCCCTATTTGCTCTGTCACGATGGATGGCAGAGCTCTGGGGACCTACTAGGAAGTAGGTCTAGGGGGGCAGCCCGAAGCACATACCGTAAATTCCGCAACTCCACCAGGACCATCAGCCACCGAGTGGAGGAACTCTCGAGCAACACGCTGCATATCCTCAGGGGGGAGCTGAAGCCGTGCCAAGTACGGTCCAAGGGGCACGACACCACCAACCCTGGTAGAGACACCCGAGCCGTCAGCTTCATCCTCGTCATCGTCGTCATCACCACCGACATCACTGATGTCCTCAGCGACAGGCTCTAACCGTCCGCGCAGCCTCGAGGGGATGGGCTCTACTGAGCTGTGGTCCTGCCAAGTGATGCCTCACGAGCAAAGGGTATGCGGTAGGGGTCCTCCGACTTGGGAGCCGTCATCACTCAGAGTGAACCTCTCCCTATCAGCCATCCACATTCGGTCATTCCTCGCAGCTTTCCGTGCCGACCTTCGTACGGGAGTCTCCATCTCAGGGCCTGAGCATAGGGCGATAAACCAAGTGATACCCAACCCTCGTGCCCACCAGTTCCACCCGGCGTGCATACACTCACTGAGCCCATGCGCCCCCGGGTCCTTCTTGCAGGAGTCCCCGACCCTGGCGTGCTTGCGCGGACCTTCCTCCTCCTTGTGGGCGGCGAGGTGGCATCATCAGCTTTCGGAGTGTTCCTAGGGAATCTTCCTTGTGCGCATATCGCGCATGCCACGCTGACAGTAGATGTGACCTACTGCTTTCTGCTCCTGACCGGCGATGCTGATGCGGACTTGAGCTGGATATCAGGCTCTGCTAACACACGGTCTAAGGTCGTTAAGAGGGAGGTCCTGTAAGGGTCGTATTGGCCACCACTACGACGGCAGTACTGTGGCTTTACATGACGTTGTCAACTGATGAGCACAAGCCGCAGTCGACGTAGACGATAATGTTATCACCGACACACCCGCTGCATTGGGGCACGTCGATGGGGATCCTGAGAGCACAACGAGCAACTCATGGTCACGACCGGAGGCCGTACCGGAATAACTCCTGGGTGGTGCTCTCCTCAATGACGCCCTTCTTTGGTCTGCGGGCCTTCCCAACTGCGGGCCGCGCCCCGTTGAACGCTGCCTCGGCGCTCCGATGGACTCGGCTGCTCAGCAACACGCCCGATAGCATTTGGCGGACCACAGAGGATTTCCCTGTGCCCTGAAGGAGACACCAGATGGGACGAGCCGCTGACATTTGTGAGCACCTTTGGGCCGAGGACTAGTATGCTGGGAAGCGGCGTGAGCTGAGCTGGCAGGTCTACTTCCTCACCATCCTGAATGACCATAAGCCTTGCCCTTGGCGACGGACCTACTACGCTCACTGGGATCCCCAGTGCCGAGCACAGGGATGATATCTGCCCATCTCGCAGCCCTCCATGCAGTCTTCGTGCGTAGCCCAGACGATCTCTTAAATTCCCGTAGGAGCTGTGCCATGTCGGCAGTGGGGCATCGTCATCAACGTCGGGGCCAGAGATAGTATCCGAGAAATCGAGGGCGCGGCAGGGGGAGGCCGGGCCCACTGTGGCCGCCGACATCACCGTGTCGTGACGTTGGAGTGTCATGGAGAAATCGGCTATCTGCTCCCCGGCGGTCAGTGGACGAGCCAGCCAAGGAGCTCACTAGAACACAACAAAGAGAGGGAGCACAAGGAAGAACGCCGAACGTCACGTATTGGTGCTTTGCATGGACAGCACGGAACGAGAGCCGCTGAGAGGGATGACGCCCAAGCTCTCCCTCGCTGCCTCCAACACAGCCATGCTTCCTATCCATCGGGCCACCTCGGCATCGAATGGATCCTCTCTCAGGGCACAGGGGACCTCATCGACCTCACCCAACACTCGCGATACGGCCGTGTCCTGAGAGGCAATCCCCTCCTACTACTCCAGATGCTCCACGTACCACATGGGCCCTCCTGCCGTCCAGGACCTGCTGGACCGTGTCGGCTGCTATGAAAGGACCTGCGTCAAGCCCTGGCCACCACGACCAGGCGAGGGCCTAGACCTTCTTGACCGTCAGTTTGCCCAGCGATAGCCCTCCGTATCAGCCTCTCCCCATTACTCTCTACACCAGCTTCGAATGACCGATGCATGTCTCGTTGTAATCGCCCTATCTCTTCGGCATCCAAGTACTCCGCATCCTGATGGCAGTCACTACGTACTGGCTCCACTGCTGACCCCACCTGGGCAGAGATCGTCTCCAATGAGTACTGGACCTGGGCGATGGCTATTTCAACGAGCCGATCCACATCTGCCTCCGCAGCTCTCTTCATGACCGATGTTCGCAGTGTTCCCATCTATCAGGCCAGCAGGAAGGTCCTCCATAACAGCTCCTACTACTTCCATGTATCGCAGGACGGCATCAGAGACTTTCCCTTTGAAGGTCTCCTCCAATTCTCCCTGCTCACTTCCCTCCCTCTCTAGCCCAGCCTCAGCAAAGACCAGGGCGAGCTCTAGTTGCCTATAGCCCACTTCCCACAACATTTCCGATCCGTCCAGTAGCCCACCTCGACAGTGCCGTCACCCACCATCTCAGGGCGGTACCGAACTCCCTAAAAGTCTGATCATCATCACTTGGGCATAATGCGGTCGCCACGGCCCGACCGCGGGGAAAGCCCTCTGGACCCTGGATGGCGTCGAATGCCTCCCGTCCCCACGTGTGCAGCTCCGGTGGACATTCCACTTCCTCAATGCCACGACCGGAGGAAGACATCTGCCGAACCTTGCGGGTCACATCGGGAGAAAGGACTTCAGATCTGCCTAGATCTTGGGTGAAACAGTCCTCAATATACTGCTCTAATGCAGCAATCTTGCAATCTTGCATTTCCTCAACGAGTTCTGTGAGACCTCCCAATAACTCCATGAGCTTCCTCTCGCACAGAGCCTGCAAGAGCTTCGCCTCGCCAGCACGACGACTGACTGACACGGCTTCCAGAGGCCTCCCAAGCCTCTCGTTCTCGAGGAGTGCTGATACGTTGAGAGCCCCCACAAACCACGCCATCTGAGCATGGCGACCACACCGCACCCGGCGAGCAGAGTCGAAGATGACCGTAGGAGAGCCAGCCCCTCTGAAGGGAGGGGGGATAGCAGCAGCTAGTCGAGAATCTGAGTACAGTTAACGGCATCATTGAGACACTGCCCCTACCTGCGATCGGATTCAAGGGCTCGGCAAGCAGGCCAAGGGCAAGCAGCTCGTAGACAACACGGTGGGCACGGCAGAGCCTTCTATGGCAATGCCGCCGAGCGACCACGACTGGATCCTCTCCTGAGTGACCTCTGAGCACATCGACGAGGTCATCAACAATAGCCTTCTTAACATCGGCAGTCTTCGGTGGCCTCCGGCTGAGGCTTTCCAGTACTTCCTCAAAGCCCTCAGAGGACGGCCACCCATTGGCGCATGCAGCCTGCTTGGCCCGTATAGTAAACTTCTTCCCTCTATCGGCATGACCCGGAGCACTTCGGTCTCCATCAAGCTCAAAGGATTTCATCTTAGCAACGGCGTCCTCGAGCCCCAGCCCCGCAAGGCTTTCCATACGAGTCAACATCTCCCTCAATACATCGACCACTTTGAAGGGGTTCATCGAGAAAGCATCCGAGCCGAACCCAAAGGCGCTCGCCGCCGATATGGACAGGGAAGCGGTCGAGGCCTCATCCAACGCCGCGTCGAGAGAGCACTCCGTGAACACAGTCAAGCAGGCCGTCTCTATCTGATCCGACAGTGATGCCAAGAGCCTATTGACTGGGCCAACCTTCTGAGAAAGATGGTCATCACTCTGACCCACGTTGCCTGCTTTGCTCTCCTGTTTCCGCCGCACCTCGTCGCCCAGCACCCTGTGGGGCCCAACTTAGGAATGTCGCCGTAGTAGTAGTGACCAACGTACTTGATTGCAGCTAATACTCCTTCAAGCACAGTCTTCTCATCAGCCCGTAACCTCATGAAGGTCTGCACCACTCGACGACGTACGTTACACTGGTAGCCGCCAGTGTGCGGTGATACAGCTTCTATGTCCGCACGGATCCACCTAACACCAGAAGAGCAACAACAGCTAGGAGCATCCACTACTTGCTCAGGGAAGCCCCGGTCGTATCGTCGGCAACTCGATGGAGGAGGTCCTCGAGCTTGGCAACAGCAAGATCGAGACCACGAGCTCTCGCCTCATCAGCCTCGCGAGTAGGAGTAGACTGCTGCAGTGGAGTATCGACAGCAGCTCTACGGAGAAGGGCCGCGTCGAGGACTGCTCGGGCTGTCTCCACCTGATAAATGTAGGCATACGAATACGTAGGCGAGCTCACCAGTAGCTCGTCGGCACTGGCCTCTTCCGCCACAACCTACAAGTTCATACGTGGTAGCGATGGAGTGCTGATGGTCACCTTGCAAACCTCGACAACACCGCTCAAGAGTAGACTCAGCTTCTTGTTCCTCGCGTGAGCATCTCCCCGATAGGATTCGCTCAGCCGTCGCCATAACGAGGTCGCTTCCTGCGTAAGAATGACGACAGGATGGGCGACTGGGACATCGAGTAGCACAACGGATCCTGGTAGCTTCGTCCTACCTCGGACAAGGTAGCAAGGGCACCACGCAGCAGAGCTACCGCATTTCCCTCTGCCGAGATCACATCCCTCTCGAGTGATCCCAAAACCTCTACGCAGACCTACGGAATGACAGTAGTGGACCCCAGCAGGAGCCATCACTGACCAGCGCAGCCCCAGAAGGGTAATCAACCACGGCATCAAGTTGCTGCTTCAGTGTAGAGATAACAGCCGAGCGATAGAGCCAAGCCAGACGCAGCTGACCCTACCATAGTAATCGAGGGCATCCCAAGACGCCCCCCCCTACCTCAAGGGTAGTCAGAGTATTCACTGCAGTCCTGGAGGTCCGTCCGCCGTCCTCATTCCCATGCGGGGACTGCCGAGCATCTAGGGCATACTGCAGCCAACAGCGTGCAGGTCTCCAAAGTTCCGATCGCCCCAATCTGTGCCACTTCCAGTAGCTATACAAAGACCACCCATCGCTACTCAATTCGCGTTGGCTGATTTTTCGGCAGCTCTGATTTCCTATGCGAAAGCCACTCCTGGAAGAACTCTATCTTCATAGAGGCTTCAGTACTCAGCGTGACCATACTGTGCCTAACAGAGCTCGTACTGGTCGCTATGGCTAAGCCCAGCATACGAGGGTAGCGTGGGTGTCTCCGCACTCACTGCTCCTACTGCGGCCACTTCCTCTCCATCATCGGTAGTCTCAGAGGCATCCTCACGACTGCTGGGGCGGCTCTCAGATATAGAGATCATGTCCAACACCTATGGAGGAGTGAAGGAACATAGGAATGCCAAAGCATGACTACACAGCGGAAACCCTCGAGGTCCTCGCTGATAGCACTGAGTAACTGCTGTGGTGAGCTCGTTGACATCCTTCCCTCTGTTGATGCATGCAGTAGCTCTAGGCATGCCTCCCTTATCTTCGTCGGGGTCGGCAATTCCACCTCCAGCTGGGTAGAGTCTACGAGCAGCCCTTTGGTGATTTTCGCTACCATAGGACCTCCACGAGAGACCAGCTTCCGCATGCCCTTACGGAGAACAGAGATTGTTGTCTGTGCCGTGAGGACCTGCATTGCCCACTTCCCGTAGTCGCGATGCTCCCTACCTCAAACACACCAAGTCAGCTTCGGCGAAGGCCTTCGCATCATCCCAGTCAAAAAGGCTGAGCAGAGTAGTTAACCTGACGGGGCATCATCCCCGCATACGCCCGAGACGGTCTCAACTGGCATTACTTCGAATGCGCATCCAACCTACTGTTAGCTAGGATGCAGAGAGAGGCCACCTCGAGGGTTGATACTGATGGCCCTTTCCCAGCATTCAGCTCGCTATCTTCCCTCAGCAAAGCGAAGATCTGGTCCCACTCTAGTAGATGCTCGGTGCCCAAGAGCTGGAGCATCTGACCACGGGTGGACCCCAGCCCTTCAAGGTCAGTACTGACCTCCCACTTGGTGACCTGGAAGCTGCCATGAGGAGGGTTCTTCACGGAGCTTATCATTGCCATCAGCTGACCTTCCTCCCAGTCTGAGACCTTCCGGGGGACCACTGCTGGTGATTGTAGGAATCGCCTCACGGCCTCAACTGTGGACGGAGCGAGTCCCATCAGGAGTAGAAAAGAAGACAGCAAAACCGGAGGAGTGACTCCAGTGAATAATAACGAAACATGAGAGCGGTGACACCATCATCCTTCCACGACGAACGGGGCGAACCCAATTCCATCAGAGAGGCTCTCACAGAGCCTCCGTGCATGTGGGTTACTCTCCTTGACTACCTAATGCAGCCATCCTGGGGTCCTTGCGCCTGGCGACCACACCCACCTTGAGCTGTTCCCGTAACTTCGATGTTAGCCGCATCGTCTGGATCAAGATCTTACGAATTTCACTCTGGCGGTTCGCCTGCTCAGCCGGGGACAGCCGCGTCTGGACTAGGGCGGATTTATCTGATGAACCCCCTCTTTGCGGCAACAGCAGGAGGAGCTCACCAATGGTTGGGGAGTTTCCAGCTGGTGCTAGGTTAGTATTTGTCTTGGAGCTCATCAGGGCCTTGTACCTGCGTGCGAGCCCCGATGGACCGGCATGTCATGCCGCGGCCTACTTCCTCTCGAAAGCATCCACAGATAGCTTCCCCACCAGTTGAGAGCCAACATAACACCCTATCTTCTCCCCCTGAGAGAGCAATCTGTTCGCCACGTGGGAGGTCCCCGGTTCTATCCCTGCGCCCGTCACTTTCACTGGAGTCTCAAGCATCTTATACACGATCGCTTCCCCTGTATCTCTCTCCGACTGCAGAATTCGGTTGACCTCCGCCATCTTGCGCAGTAGGGCGAACTCTGCTTCGTGATTGGTCTTTTCTATCTACTACGGGCCAGCGCTGTTCAGAAGGGGCCTCATCGCGGCAACCCACCAGCGCAGCCAACCTCAGCTGCTCCTCACGTTGCTTGGCCTCGTACATTCGAATGTACTCTGCAGAGGACTTCGACCTATCGAGAGAGATGCCCGGTCGGATGCCAGGCACCCCCGGACACCTGCGAAGAGCTCCACTTTGAACTCTAGATAGGCTCGTCCCCTCCAGCGACTTGGGCACAGCCGACATGCTGCGGGCTACCCCGAAGACCTTCGAAGAGGCGCTCACTGGCCGACGGAGGCTCTTGGCAGATCCGACTAGGAGGCGGTCAGCGGTGGGGCAGCAGCGATGCGGGTCACCTCTCAGGCACACCGCACTAGCCGGGCGCCGCATCTTCTTAGCGTTAGTCGAGCTAGGAGGCAGCCTCTCTCGAGACGATGCTCGCTTCGCAGAGTTCTGAAGGCGAACGCCCGACTGCCATGCGTCGTCACAAGCACCTCCCCCTAGTGTAGGGGAGTATGCACATGGCCAACTACTGTGTTGGTGACAATATGCAAATGCTGAGGGAATTTTGGGAGATCGTCGTTGGCTCCCGTACGCTCATACCCAAATTCGTACAGAAACTCCAATAATCAATGAGGATATTTCCAAGCTCGGCTGAGGAAAGCGAACATATATGCCAACACTGCCCCCTTACGTAGTAGTCGAGCACATCCTCAAAAGCGTTAGTGCTGGCAGAATGGCAATCCCTCAGAGACTTCTTCGTAGAGGCAGTGTCGGATCGATCATGGTGAGCAGCTGTGGCGGGTCTGTGAGTGATTGTAAACCCCCGGGGGACCATGGGACTCCCCACCGGCTCCTTATGGTACCACTGCTACCACAGCTGGCCGTTGCTGGTCGGCCCCGTCTCCTCGTCTGCCGTTCTATCCGGTCTCGACCTGAGGACCCCATAGCCGCATTCGAAGACACCACGACACCCACCCTCCGCAACAGCATTCTCCAACTGCGTCTCGAACTCGTCCGTGCTCTCAGCGTCGTCTACACATATTGCATCTGACGGGACCTCGCCTGCCTCAAAGGACCCCGATACATCCATGCCGTAAGGTAGCGAGCAAGTGACCACTAATACAAACGCTAACAGGAGGGAGCCCCTAGAAGCTCTCCTTTGAAGCGCATCGCTATAGAGGCTGACTCCTACCCCTCGGTCTACTGAACGCAAAGCTTTGAAAAACGCATAGGATCGGGGCCTATGATAAACACCGTCACGCGGCACGAAACCCAGCCTGCAGTGCTGCTACCTAAATAAAACAGCATGGTGACTCACATCATAGGTCCTGATGGCGACACGCGAGTAGTTAGGCTCACGTCTGAAGCCTGCCGGATCGTCAGCCAGTGCTAGGGAGAAAGTCATTCGGCTGCAACACAAGCCCTTGAACGACCAATCTCAACACAGTGGAGCTTCCCATGTTATAGGTTCCAAAGGGACGACAATTTTGAGACATATCGAAGAGCAAACGCGTGAGAGCTCAGCACTACACACAGCAGAATACTCCATGTCGGTGATTAATAAGGAGCGTCATTTTTCTCTAGAAAAACTCGAAAACTCAGTATTTTACCTACGTAGTGTTCAGACTTGGAATTCCGAAGGTCCATCCCACAAGGCATCTTTGCATATGTTGCTCTCTCGCTCTGAAGGAACTCCCACTGATACGCGTGAGTAACTAGGAGCTATCGTGAAGACAGACGAGCTGCTGCCACGTCAGTGTAGTGTTAATTATACGTCGATGACACTGTCACACCCCAGCAGGAGCCTGTGCCTCGGCAGTCATCGCCATGTTAGACTCCCAAGGGTGCTGCACCTCTAGAGTAGTCTTCCCTCTAGAAAAGCCGCAGAGCCTCATGCGATATGAGCGCCAAAACCAAATGCCGACGGCTCCCAGTACAAGGAGCCCGCCCACGACACAGAGTATTATCCCTACTGGGCTGGGCTCGTCCATAGGGTCCACTATCAGGGTAGGAAAAACCGGGGTGGTTGTCGGACTCAGTGATCGCAGGGACCCCACCACCAGCGCCGACCGCTGCCGTGGCCATAGTGGTATCAACTCAGGAAGTACCAAAGGAGTGGTAGTCGTAGACGTACAAGTAGCAATGACGGAGTTGAATACAGCGGCATAGACTGTAGAGTAGAGAGGAGCACAGACGAGAATGTGAGTGCAGGAAGTGACGAAGTCGGCCACCGCCTTGCCGTCGCAGACCAGGGCCTGGCAGGAGCTCGAGGCAAGGTCGCCATCAACGATACACCCAATATCGGCGAGAACAGAAGGTGGGCAGCCTGCGACCATACAGTCGTTTAAGGACTCCAGTGTTGCGGCGAGGGTAGCGATGTTGGTGAGCAGTAGTGGCATGAGGGAGGCAACTACGATGGGCGCGGCCGAGGTTCTAAAAATCCGGGAAGGCAGACGGTTCTCTAACCGAGGAGAAGCTATCATGTTGTTGAGGGCGGAGCATGCGTCGTCCCCTGCCACTGCTATAACAACACTACTCGGTAGGCAATGTACATAAGGGGTCATTGGGCACAGTCATGGTCACTAGCAGTAAGTCTTGCGAAGTAACTTCATCGGCCGTTAGAGGTCAAGTCCTTGGCTCTAGGGGGCTGGTCGCTGTAATAAGCGAGTAACCATAAGAAGATACTACACGGACCTGGGCCACTGATCAGGCAGAAGTGGAGTCTGAACAAATGGCTGAGGAGCCGGTGGGGAAGGCGTCATGAATTGAAATGGGATGTGGCAAAATCCAGCAGGCTGGGCCAGACAGATGGGCCGTGGACAAGTCGTTGGGGGGGCAATGATGCAGTTACCTTTTTTCGCCGGAGAGGTCCGTCACATCCACCGCCTGCTCTTCCCCGCATGCGCCTGTTGCCCTCGGCCCCTAAGCATGGCCCTTGCTTCCTCCTCCTCCTCAACATCCCGCGTTCGGATCCCATCGTGGGATGTTCTTAGATAGTACGTGCCGTATCAACACAATCAAGTCCATAGCCACTGGAGGGAGACCACTGCACTACCCTACTGCCGACCCCACTCCCACCCCGTCCTCGTCCACACAGTACTGGCCAGCGAGCCGCAGTTGAGGGTCTGTGGGCATGGACCAAGAGACCGAACCCCCTTCACTCCTAGGTCTCGCCGCTGCATCAACCATCGACTCAACGGGTGAGCCTGGTTCAACTTGAAACCGTTTTGGGGTACTAAGGCATTACCCCATCACCCTCAGATTCAACGCGCCGTTCCTCAAGGGCAATCCAACACTACACCTACATAAACTTCACCAGTATCCACCGAGGTAAGAGGAGCTTCCTCCGACTCGGCATGCCCTGTCTGGCAACTCATCTCCGTCGACATGCTCTTCGGGCCGGGTAACCGAGCGACAGTCCACCTCAGCATTTTGCTGGGGGGAAGCCCCTCATGCCTACATCACCAGGACGGCATTTATGGGCGGTCCGAATAGTAGATTCAAGCGACGTTCCGAGAATGTTTTCTAGAAAATCTTACTTTCGACCACCAACAAGGCATTCGTGCAATTTGCACGAAATTTTATATCGCGTTTCTCATGTTAGTGCGCACCATAGGCGGATGGTAGAGTTGAGTTGCAAAATTGGCAATCCTCACGACGCGATCTTCGCGGGCTGTCCCGCTGACTCGGCCGTGCCAAGCTCTTGTCGTTCTGATCGCCATCGGGGACACTTTCCTTGGTTACACTATGCGTGGTAAAAGGAAGGGCGGTCCGTGGTCTGTTTCTATCGTTAGGAAGTCGATCGTGTGATGTTGACAGGTTTTGGTATGGCTATTGATGCCCTACCGACTTCATGCATCTCTGCTCACATTTATGAACATTAAAATAGTCATTGCCGCAGCTCTAGGAGGTCTCCTAGGACCTCGCTCTCGTGCTGATCGCTCCCTCATCAACCCGGCAATTGGGGAGAACAGAGTGGTAGGGGCTCATCGAAGGTATCAAAGGACCAAGGAGCTCTTTTAGGTGCTTTACAGTGGGAGCTTGCCGCCTGAGGCAGCCGATAAGGACCTGGTTACTTTGCGGTTTGGCGGGGAGTAGGACCTGGCAGCATTAGGACCTTTGGGTTCTCATCAGCATTTCCATTTCTGCTGTTATGAACATCAGACCGCTCTTGTCATGGGGATTCGCTCGTCCGTAATTCTGCATGAGTGTAGACTCACTTGCAGGTCTGATGCCGCTGGTGGTCTGTTTGTATGCACATGGGGCAAGCAGTCGGATGACGATGGTAACGCTCTGCAGCGAAGTGCCGAAGCTCGGCTCTCGGCAGCATACAGCCATCAACCGCTGGGTTGGTGCACTGCGATGCCTGGTGGTGGGGAGGTACTAATGACCCCGTCCCCTCTCATTGTTTTCATTGTCATTGCCTTAGTTCTGTCCTGGCCAGTCGGTGACTGTAGACTTCCTCAGAGCGGAACCTGTTGGGAAAGTTGACCTACTAAGGGACGGGAGCGTCCAGAGGGAATACAATACCCCTGGGATGAACGTCAAAGAGCTTTGCCGATGTGATCGGAATGTGACTTCTATCGCTAAGGAGAACTTTGACGTAGAAAGTCTATGTGTGCCTGGTCGGAGGGAACAACTCGGCGATGGTACGCTTCTCACAATTGTGGAAACCAACCCCGAGAAGGACCGATATGAAGTCGCCGAGGAAACAGAGGATGGCGAGAAGAGACGACATACTCTGAGCTACAGGGAGCTCAGCAGCATACTCGGAGTTCAATGCTCTGGGAATGGCGTCCCAGGGCAGTACTTTAGACTAGCCGACGTTGCATTGAGGGAAGGGACCACTGAGGTCACGACCGAGTCCGTCGCCTGTTGTCCGACCTCAGAGCTTGGTCCGCCTGATGAGGCTCTGATGACCCTCTTGGCCCCCCTTGCTGGGACATGCCTGCACTACGCCTCGGGTGAGCAGGTATGGGAGTACTGTCACCCTCTGAGTCTACGGATCATGCTTGGTCTTACTCCTGACACGGCACGGGCGGTGGACTTGCTGGGTTCTGTTGATGGCATCGAGTACAGCCCTGATAATCGGGAGGTTGTAGTGGAGGGAGTTGGTGAGGCTCTCAGCGCGATACAGATGGACATGTTGGTGAGGTTACCGGGCAGTAGGCAGCCCTTGAAGGGGGTGGGAGGCATCTTCAACCCTCCTTGGTTTTTTAACATCTCTGCGGCACCCGTTGCCGTTCCTGATGAATCGGACAGCGGCTGTAAGCCTTTCGAGGCCCCTGTGGCTGCTAGGATCGCTGAGAAAAGGGTAGTATTACATTTACAGTGTGACAGTGCCAAGCTGTCACCACCTCAGGGCATTCCATGGATAGCAGTTGCCCGACGGGGGGTTTGCTTTTTCCAGAACAAGACAGTGAACGCTGAGGCTGCTGGGGCCTCTGGCATCATCGTTGTGAATTCCAAGTCGTCCATGATGGTTAGATGGATGGACGGCATGCCCGACGCTGAGATGCCTTTGATACCGACAGCTCTAGTGGGGTAGGAAAGGAGGAAAGCAGTGGTGGAGAATATGCTCGCTCTCCTCAGCTGAGCTTGGGAATTTAATTATAGACGTTTGCATACGAATTCGGGTAGAAGTGTACAGAAACCAATAAGTACTTTACAAAATTTTATCAGGATTTTCATACTGTCATCATCATGGGTAGTTGACATATGTATATTTCCCCACACAGGCGTCCTATAGGTACGAAGGCGAACTGCTGATGACCATGAACGACCCGACTACCAACGATTTCTCTGTCAATGACCCGGAACAGATTGTCCTCACTAAAGTGGGCTCAGCCGAGGAGAAGATACGAACCCGTGTCTCCTTTGTGTGTGACGACGACTTTCGCAGTGTAGATGTGAAGGCGACTTCAACGTGTCGGCCTGGGGATGGGGTAATGCAGTTGATGTGGAAGGGTGGTGGGAGCTGCCATAGTAGGTGACGCTGAATAGGCCGGCAGAGGCACCTAGGCCGGCTATTGTGAAGGAAGTTATGGGAGGAGGTATGCTGAAGGTTGACACTATTGAGGACGATGGAGTGACGCCAAGGAGAGGTCGCCTTATACACAGTGGATATGCCTACAAGTAAGGATGGTGGTCGCGTAGGGAGTCATCCAGGAATCTATAATGTTCCCGGGTGGGAACTCGTTTTGAATTTCTTATATGGCTAGAAATACATCCTTCAAGCGGTCTCTCAAGTAACTGCTACACTAGGGGCATTTTTTACTGTTAGCAGAGCCTGGGCAACGTTGATTCTCGAAGTCGTTTGAGTCTCGAACGGGTCTTCTGCGTGAAAACGCGACGGAATATCTAGACGGTCGATTACTACATATTTCCCCTATTCCGACTGAGGCTTAAACTTATCATTCACTCTCTATTCAGGGATTAAACATGTATTTCTTATGCCAGCTCACGAACACTCTGCCAATTTGTCGACTGAATTCCTCATGGGAGGCTCATTCGTGGTCTCAGGTCCCCTGGTCGGCCCTGCGTGGCTGTCGGTGGCAATGCTATTATCGATGCTAAAGTGGGCGAACAGGGTGTTGCCGATGTGCGGATACACTCCGAGTTGCTATGCAGTCACCCTGCAATGCTGAAGCCTTGGCGCATGGAGTACTGACTGGAGGAAGCTGGTTGAGCCTGGTGGACCCTCCTTCTCATCCTTAGGTATGCGTGGAAGTGCTATGCTCATGGCCCCACTGTGGCCTCTCCTATAAGGGTTCCGAAGGGCCAATCTGAAGTCGACTGATATTTGGTCTACTGCATCGTTACTGTATTACTACTAGTGTATGCATTATGAATTGTTTCTTCACCGTATCGATTTTCACTTTGGTTATAAAAGTGAGTTCGCCAATGGCATCCTTAGTAACAAGATTTCATGTCGGGTCCAGGAGGACTGATACCACAAATTGGCGAAGTGGTCTACGTGGACGAGGCGTCGGTCGTCCCTATGACCAGTGCTGCTCTGAACACCGGGGTGAGAATCTCGAGTTGCTCCTTGTGATTTCCGGAAAATTCTGTCTAGGTTGAATCCTGCTCTTCCTCCTCGGTCACTAGAGGCTTGGCGTTAAACTCTCAGCAACTGATTCGTCCCACTCGGCAGCACTTTTCCGATACAGAAACTCGTCTCCTAGTCGACATGGCCATTGACAATAGGGAGATCCTACGGTCTCGGGAGGAGGGGAGTGTTGGTAGTAACCGCGGCAAGCACTTCGTTGAAGGTCTATGCCTCCTCTCTTCAGCGCTGCGCGACCAGCTGTACCAGAACATTGCAGCTGCGATGTCTGGATTGAACCCCAAGGCGATCCCGAAGACTGCAGGGCAGATACGTAAGAAGTTGGACCAAATGATATCGAAGGCCAGGAAGCTCCTGGACGAGCACCAGGAGGTCGGCTTCATCCGGCAGAAGGTCCCACCACCGCTGATGAAACTCGCCAACGAATACGTGCTGTGGTCGCAAAAGCACTGGCCTCGGTATTCAGAGTTCCTCCCATGGCAGGATCATGATAACACTGTGCAAGGTGAGGAAGGTTTGCAAGGTCGACATCGTATGTGAACTGATAGGTCCGAATGGAGCCTACAACCTGTCTCCAACGGCTCTGGTTCACCCCACTTTTAAGGACACACAAGCTCCTGGTACTGGCCCTCGAGGGTGAGTGCTCGATAGAGATATTTTGGGAACTCCTACCTGCGTTTCAGTCCGACTATCAACACTCCTGGTGATGGTATGGAGGCCACAGTGACGGCTCTTCAGAAAGAGCTGGTTCGTCTGGACTGCGAGTTGCTGTCCGAGAAGGTAGACGACTGTTTTCTGAAGTATCGTCGTGTTTTTCCGAACTACTGTAGATTCTTCTGGTCAACGCGGAAGTGGTGAACTTGAAGAGTCAAATAGCCAGGCGACGTCGACTGGGGATTCCCGAGGCTCCAGAGTGAGTAGGAGCGGTGCCATTCTGTAGCATAATGTTCCTCGTCAGCCCTGCGTTGGAGTTCGCGAATACCTTTGGTGAGTGCCCCGAGTCCGCGTCAGTACTGACGGAAAGCGCTATGGCGAAAGCTGTGCAATTGGCGGCCAAAGCCGTGGAGGAGCTGCAAGAGCAGCAGGCTAAGATGAATGCTGCTGCCATCGCTGCTGCTACCCAGGCGAGGTGACTTTACGTACCCTAACCCTTCGGATATCATTTTAAGAGTTACCTTAGCAACTTATACTGCTACTTGTTCTGCAACTGTTGCGTACGTCAATGACCCCGGAAGGTCGTGAGGATCCGATTTCCCAGGAAGCCTGGGGTCGGATCGGTCACTGATTGTATCCTACGACTCGTCAGAATGAAGAGCTCGGTGTAGCTACAGTTGCTCATAGTGGATGGATCTCAGCCCGGCTGATGGGAAATCTGAGAATGGGGACTCTTGTGGACCAGAAGTTACTGTGAGTTGTTCAACTGAAAGAAAGACTATTCTCAATAGAGTTATACGAGAGTGCCACGTGCGTCTCAGGAAGAGCATGAGAGGACCAGCAATACGATGACGCTACAAGGAACTGTCCAAGGAGTGGTAGGAGGCTGAAGCATGCTAATCCACCCTATAGCTGGGCTCATAGATCCTTCCATGTATGGCTAACATCCTAGGGGTCCTCCTCTTCTTACGACTACCATGGATAGTTGGTCTAGCCGGTATATGGCAGAGCTTCGGGGCTGTCCTCTTGGGCTGCACCTGTGAGTCTCTCCTCGTGGATGCCTCCTACCACTCCTTTGGTAATTCCCCCAAGAATAAAGCAGGTACCTTCATTACAAGCCTGTCCCTGTCGGCAGTAGCGACCAACGGCACGGTCAAAGCTGGCGGCAGTTACTATCTAATCTCGTGAGTCTATCGGGAGGTCGTCACTACTCAGTGTGGTCAAATAGTCGCTCACTTGGACCAGCTATTGGTTCGGCAGTCGGCCTCAACTTTTTCTTGGCCAACGGCATCGGCGCGGCCATGTACATCATCGGTACAGTAGAGGCATTCGAGACGGGAGCTCCCGGGGCTCAGCCGGCAGCCGTAGGTAAGTGGATGAGGTTAGCAACAGTATCTTGTCATCCCTAGTCGCAGGTTCAGTTGCCAACGTTAGAATCGCTGGCCTGATAGTCCTGGCAGTTGCCGCGTTGGTTGTTGGTGCTGGTCTGAAGTATGTCTCCAAGTAAGCGCATGAGCACCCTTGCTTGATTCGCCACCACCTGGCCTTTCTCAGGGCGGCAACGCTATTTCTGGCCATGGTCCTTCTCGTCATACTGTGTATGTGTTCCACTCACTCCCTCCGGGTTGTTTTTTCTCGTGTTAGGTATGGCACTCGGGTGCTTTATTGGTCCCACCGGTCTCACCCGCGAAATCGACTTTGCCTATCTACAAGACCCGGCCAACGCTGCAGCGGTGACTCCTGAACTTAAAAGTGGGATTCCTTATCTACTTTCGAGACGGCGGATCCCTCTTGCAATTCTATCCTTGAAGATCTCTGGGGTTTGCCTATAATCGCACCAACAGCAATGGTGACACGACCACTCAGTGTCACCGCGATATTAGTAGCAGTGATATTCTCTCCCTCTCTCACCAGGCACAGTCCTGAATCATACCTGGGTAATCGAGCAGGGCTTCACAGGTGTGTCTAGCAGGTCGGCTCGTAATGTGCAATTCGAACCTCTTCGAGACACCAGTTCTGCCAGGCACTATAGTGACAATGCTGGCTCCGAATATGATGCTTTCCAGACTGCCTTTCCACTGGACGCCGGGACTTCCTGGAGCTTCTTCGCTATGGTAGCTCTTTGGTTCCCAGCATGTACGGACCCTGTTGGGGATCTCTATAACGTTATACAGAATGACAGGTACCGGGATCATGGCTGGCAGTAACCGCAGTAGCGAGCTGAAGGACCCGAAAAAGTCTATCCCCACTGGCACTCTATTTGCGCAGCTGAGTGACTTGCCTAAAACATCAATCCCGATTTCATAACTTCTGGCCAGGCACGTCCGTTATCTACCTCGTCTTCTGCTTCCTGTACGGGGCATCGGCCGATCGGAAGCTCCTCTTGCACGATCGCTTCTTCGCGAGTCGGTCACTCATGGGAGGCCTCCGGGATCAGCTTTTCTGCCAGGCACTAGTGCGTGGCCCGTGCGGGAGGTTGTCGTCTATGGTGTTCTGTTCAGTATGTGGCTCTATTGATGGTGTGAAATTCCTTCTCACTAGGCACACTAGGGGCGGCCCTGCAGTCTCTCACGTCAGCGACGAGGCTCCTCACCGCGATCGCTACCGATGGTGAGCCGCTTGAGGAATGCCCAGCTATCATCGTGTGGGCCATTATAGGTATGCTGGCACCGTTCTTGAACATCTTCTGTCAACGCGATGGGAAGGAGCCCTACCCTTCCCTCGCACTCGCCACTGTGATCTGTAGACGATCGATACACCAGCATGCTGCTGCTGTGGTTGTTCTCTCTCAGGCATGTGTGCGATACTGATAGGCGAGATCAATGCCATAGCGCCCATTCTCACCATGTGCTTCCTCATGTGTTACCTCTGTGTCAACATAAGTCAGCTGTCGCTCCGTCTCTATTGATAGTAGTGCTAATCATCAGGTTGCTGCCTACTGCACCTACTCGGTGATCCAGACTGGCGGCCTTCATTCCGCTACTATCACTGGACTGTTTCCCTCATTGGCGCAGTACCGGAATGGGCATCATCGGCGTGACCATCGCTTCAACGGTCCTCTCGCAGATACAGTGTGTGGTGTTGATGGTGGCGATCTCCTGGTTGGCTGCTATCATCGCCTTTGCATTCGCTGGATGCGTTTACATGTGAGTATGATTTCAGTTCGTCTCTGGTGTCTTCTTTGTTATTAGGTTGGCTCATCATAATGCTCGAAACTCTAGCGGCGGGGACATCCTTCAGGGACTTCGATACCGTATCGCACGGAACACCTTGAGTTGGATGAACAGTGACACTTCGAATGCCGAGGCCTGGAGGCCCCAGGTGCGTCGTCGGGTTGCGTCGGCTACGTTAGACGTGCCAACGTGAAATGTGCATTCCCGGCTATAAATTCAGCCATGCGGTCACGATTCCGAGTAGAGCACCCGAGCCTTCCCTCGAGTTGTTAACTTCATCAGCAGAGCTTCACATCCTCTTGCTCAGCTTCTCGTCCTTACCGGTGTCACCGTGGACCATCCCGAGGCAGGCTCTGAGGGATCCGGCGTGGAGCTGCATCACATTCACTTAGTCCACCTCGCCAACCAAGTACACCTTTGCTCTCTCACCCATCACATCTCTTCCCATCTACTAGTTGAAGTATGGTCGTGGGCTCTTTATCGTCGGAGCCGTGGTTGAGTCACCCCAACTGGCGTACGGGGTCCGCCCGAATAATAGCAACTACACGCCGCTACCGTAAGTCGAATCGCTGGAAACTCCCATCAAGTGTTCCTCCATGACGTAGTGATTGGAGTGGGATAGTCCAAAAAGGCCTTAATGAGATCGGCATCCACGGCTTCGCTCAAGTGGGTGTCAATGGCATCCCCTCACTTATTGATATCGGCTAGTAGGTGCTCCATTGCAGTCCAGGATCACGTTCCCTAGCCTTACAGTGTTTACTGCAGACCTCAGGTCTTGGCGCATTCGAGCCTAATGCCGTGCTCGCTAGCTGGCCTCTCCTCTGGCTGGCCGATACTGAGATCAGGTGTGTGCTGGCGTGAGCGCTGTGATCGGCATCAGGAGGCCGCAGATACACCTTCATGCAGTTCATGCTCAACTGCGAGGTCCTCAAGAAGACTGTTATTCTGGCTAAGAACTTCGAGGGCCTACAGCTCAACGATAAGCAGGTAGCAAGCCCCATCGGCCGATGGCCCGGTATGGCCACTCAGCCCTCAGGGACTACCATGGACGTTTGGTGGAACATCGGCGACGGCGGCTGGGGTGTCATGCTCGCCTACCTATTCCGTAAACACCCGGTATGGCGTGATTGCAGAATACGGTGAGGAAAGGTCAATCGAGGCCAGGCTTGCATGATTGCTCGTATGCAGGGTATTCCACATAGTCGACAGTCTCACCGAGCAGGAGGCTGAAGCCGACTTGGGCGCAGTTAGATTGACGATTCAGGAGTGGCTCAAACATAACAGGCTTGACAATTTCATTTCTGACGTTCAAGTTATCAATGTGCGCCGTCGCCGGCATGAATGGCGTGGACCGTTGAGCAGGTCGAATTTGGAGGCGCAGAATGGTCCTCCCAAGCCACCGTGAAGATCTCACACTCTGTAGGTTGATCACGCCATCAACGATAGCTACCGTCGTGCCTCAGGGGGACACGTTGAGACGTGCCTTCAGCTTTGCTGACTCCACCAACAAATCCTCCGTGTCATCTTTCAATGTGAGTTAGAGTAACTGCTGGGGAAGTGAGGTGTCTGTAGAGGAGCCACTCGGAGGATTTCTCTATCACAATGGAGGACTCACGTCGTCTATTGAGTGCTCAGTTCTCCATGATCAGTTTTCGAAGTTTTCCCAAAGGCTTCGTCCAAGAAGTCGTCTGGTGCTGGAAGATATTGAATTCGACGATGATGCCTCGAACGCTCCCCCTGAGGCTACGGACGACCACAGCGAGCTTTTCCTATCATCGCAGCACGTGGTGGACATCGTGGGTTGGCTGAACACTCTGGTATCGTTCTCGACACTCTGCTCATCAGGCGATCGATGGTGCCGAGGAGGAACACTCCCCCAAATCTGGAAGGACTCGTAGCGCCTGTTTCGGCCCGTTGTATTCGGCCGATCTCTTCCATCAGGGTTCGGAGCGTCGCCTAGCGTTCTTCGCAGGTCCACCAAGGTAGGTCCATTCGTACAGTGTGTTTTAACGGAAACGTGCATTTTCGAATATTTCTTTATCGAACGCTCTACACACCATTGGAAAGCTCTTCCGAATGGCTAGCAGATGAAATGAAACGCCGAAATTAGCTTTGAATTTCACGATGGTCAAGAAATCAATTATAATGAAGGAACTCGTCCGAAGTGAAACGCACTCTGAGGATTCGTCTCCCAACGAGAAATGCACTCTACTATTAGCATTGCTGACTCAGCAACAAGTTCGACCAAGAAGTCTTTCGAAAAAGTACATTTTTTGTAACACCGTGTAGATAGCTGTCGGTTCGTTGAACTCATGACTCTCAGGTAGACAGACCATCGCTGGCCATGATCCTGCCGCTGCTGTCTATCGTTACCACTTCCTCCCTCTTCAGGCTATCGGTACGCCAAGGGCAGTGGCGAACATGCACCGTAGGTTCATGCTTATCGTTTCGACTTGCCACTAAGTGATTATCTTATGCTCTGATAATAGCCGATGAGGGATACTCACGCCGTTCTCATGCACTAGGTTCGTTGATACGAGGGTCGGCTGGGAAAGTGGGAAACGGCTAAGTGGGGGCGATGTTCGCGGCATCCACCACAGGGTTCCGAGTCCCACCCCACACAGTCACGCAACGGTACCATATATGCACTGGGCAGGGAACGACTCGAAAGTACTTCGATGGTCCTTGACAATTCCATCACTGTACTGGCTCAGGCAAAGCACCTGCTGGCTCTGAGAATATATCCAGGATTAGAATCGTGAACGAACAGATGGTGCGCTACAGTGCGGCTGCCGGAGTCGTCATCACCAACCTTTTCGATGTTCCCGAGGGTGAGTCCTTGTCCATCAGTCGTCGCTATATGGAGTGACTCCAGGGGAGAGCTCCCTTGCCTATATGCAGCTCGTAGAGCTCTTCTGTGCTGATCTGAGGCGCGTACTGCTCATCCGAGGTAACATTGTGGAGGACGTTATTCCACCCTGTTGACTCTTGTGCATGCGATACATGATTGCCACATCAATTTCAGCAACAGCCATTGTTGAGTTGCGCATAATTCTTCTGTCGATGGTTTAGTATCCTTCTTGGCGAATGGGCGCACACGCCAGCATAGCGGACTCTCCTGTCGCCCAGTAAGACATGGTCAACACCTTGTTCGTTGAGAGATGGTCTCTAACTAGATACATACTAGAGGAATTTCAACGGGTTAAGACTGATTCGAATATCCATACGAGTGTCAAAACTCCCGAACTTGAGGAGGTGGTCAAAAATAATCCCCTGCGGCGATGATGTCATGCGCTCAGGACGTCGGCACGAGGAGCATAAGTAGCGATAAATCAGCAGATAGACATTTCCTCTATCTCAATGAGATACGCAATCTACGAGCACCTCAGGACGTAACTATCGACCTGAGTCACATGGCGGTAGGAGGCCGGCAGGGGGGGGGGGCGTGAGGATGCCAATGGTTGGTGGTAGATACTGTGGAAAATGGATGCCGCACGAGATGGCGTCGTTGACTCAGAGGAGCTCATGGGCTTCGCCGAGTAAGACACCAAGGCTCCTGATCCACTTGGACAGCAAATCGCGCTCACTGCGAAGAACGCCAGTCGAATGATTCTATTTCCAGATATTGCAATGAGCTGTTCAAAACTTATGGCAGCTACGATTTCAAGGAGTACCTTCAAGCACACTGCGTGATGGATATGTACACTGACGTAGTGCTGCTCAACCATACCCTTTTACGGCGAGTCTCCTCTTTCCTGAGGTCTTTGCTGACAACAACTACACCCTCTTCTCTGATTGGATATGTCACTTGGTAGCTCAAGGGGAACGAACGACAACATTTCCATCCTATCCGGGGGTTAAGTGAGGATTCACTCTGTCGTTTTTTCTCTACTCTGTTGAGTGTGGTCCAACGGTAGATTCATGTCCCGTGACGCTGTGTATCATCTACACACATTTCTGCAGCAATACCATATATCTGATTTCCGAGACCAACAAGGTGGTGCTGGGATATCGACGGTGGCTGAGTGTGAGTCCCTCAGGATTCCTCGACCTACTACAGGAAGTGTCCGAGGGGATGGAACTCATGACGCTTGACGATGAGCATTTGGACGACTACGTTCCTGTGGCTACGGTTCAACTATTCCTCGTCAACTTCGCTAGAAGCTATGTGTCTTTGCTGAGAGAACAAATGATTTTATAGAATTTCCACTGAAAAGATACCGATTTGCTTGAGTTTACAAAGCAGTGCTCGCCACTTAAATTCATTCGATAGACGAGAGCGTACTAGAAAAGTAAACACGACGCTATACTGAACGAAGCTGATCATAAAATATTATTGAGTTGGCATTGGCGAACTGTTTGTTGCTTTCTTGTGCCACTTAGTAGACGGTCAGTGAGAGGGCGCGTTTACTCAGCCAATTTGCTGGTCAGTTTCTCACCACCTTCAGCTTTTCGACTCGTCGAATGTCCAGGATGTGGCTTTGAATTTGTATAACACGGGTAACAGTCTTATGACTATTCCCCCGAGGTTACTCCCGAATTCCGTCAATATATAGTACACAGTTCACATGTGAGCACAACTCATCACCACGTCCCAGACAGAAAGCCAATGCGACAAAGTATAACGGTAACGACAAAGGTGTTAACACATAGTAACACTAACTACGACTGTACAGCGAGTTTAATCAAACATTCGATGAACTTCTGCAAGCTCACATCGTCGGTGAGGACCTGTGGAAAGTATACAAGTCTAGTCCCGGCAACGCATTCGTTATATGTCTTACCACAGAGCCATCATAGTTGCCGTCTCCGAATCCTCCGGACGCCGAGTTTTGGGTGACTGAAGGGTTAACCTTGGATGTAAGAAAACGTGCCTGGGAACCTCCCTGGCTCGTCTGGACAAATTTAGGTACCTGAACGATGACGACTATAGAACCCGACAGATGCTGACACGGGCATCTACCGGGAACCTATCGTTCAAAATAGCCTTGGCGTCCTGCTCGGGAGCGGCTAAAAGTTGTCGGAAATTGGCATATTCCTCCTTGTCCTGGTAGCCTGCCTCGAACCAAGCTTGAATGGTCTCTCCTCTCCAAATGACCACGTGGAAGTAACTGACATCTACCGTAAGGAAGAGTACGCCAGGTGCTCCACGACTTACGAGTCGAGAAGTAGGATAACATTCGGCTTCAAAGAGGTAGAGTCCAGAAGGACTGGTTGTGGTGGACCCTCCTCAAATGAGTACCTGGGATGTGGTCAAGCAGCTAAGAACTACGTTAACTTACTGTAAGAGTGCAGGTTGGATCATCACCAAGGAGTTGTTGGTATTCTCACGCGTGAGGATGGTACGGTAATACCTAGGGGATCCTACGGAATCAGGGGCCAAGCGATAATGTATAGACCTTGAGCTTACGCGGTCTCATCGGGTGAAGCATTGAAGGTTTGGAGGAAAGAAGACCTCCTCAGATGATAAATCAATTGAGGGTAGATGGTGAACTCCTTCGCCAATCGGAAGGAATTAGGCTCGTCCTAAACAAGAAGAGCTCCATCATCACTACTACTCTCGAGAATCATCATCACACCCACAACGCGAAGCCTCACCTTCCTGTAGTCCGCGAATCGTGCGATAAGACGAATGAGCATACGATCCACCCATCGCATGACATCCAATGGATCCTCCATCTCGCACTTGGTCACCGCAAACCTACGAGATAACCCACCGATCGGCAGTCTCGCCAGACCTTAATTACCTCGTCATGAGGACCGCGGCCGCCTCCTGGTCAAAGCCCGTAGCGATATCCGAAATTTGCTCGGCATAACGCGTCGACACCGTGGTAATTCTGAAGAAACTCATGACGGCGTGTCCAAATGCTCCTTCATCATCACCGTAGACGCCTCCGTCCACTGGGATGATTATACAGCGTTTGGAACTGGAGGTAGCTCTGACGCGGTCCGCCACCTGATGCCGCTTGCGTTGCTGTTGGTTCGAAATAGAATGCATAGGTAGTATTCCTATCGATCCCTCCCATTGTCCACTGAGTCGTCCCTATCAGAGAACAACATATAGGCCGTAGTAGCTCAAAGGTGCTGCCGACCTGATTCACCAATCTCGGTGTCCGCCACCGATGCTGTCTTCTTTCCCGCACCGGAGCACGCGCCAATACAGCCGCAACACTTGAACTCCCTCGATGTTAGGACCTGCAATATGAACAACTCCACAACGTGTCACTCGAGGCGTTATCGAAACCCGACGGGCGTCGTGACAGCTCAATGCCAGGCGAGGAGGCATTACATCTATCTTAGAGTTGAACCCCATTTGTAGGTACCCGTCTTGGTCGAGCTCGAACATCTTCTGGAACGACGCTTTGAAAACCTGATGGAAGCACAGTTGACCAAAGGCCATACCTTTACCAGATTTATCACATGCATCGAAAAACTATCGCTGAGGATCACGGCACCACCGGTCTTCTCGCTCACGCCCTTCATCTCGTACAACCCGACTTGGTCCAAATTACAGGCCAGAATATCAACGGCCATACCCGCGTGAGCAGCTCGAGTGGCAATGCTGTTGTAGTACTTCATCGCCGCCTTCGTATATCTGACCATTCCCCTCTATTGAACCTTTCGTCGAGCCAGCAATTACCTCGCGTTCTTCTCTTCCCGTTGGAGATCCACATGTGATCGGATCGGCTCCGACATATCAGTTCCAACAACCATGCCGGGTCCAATCGTACTGAGGGAGAACGCCCCATGAGGAAAGAGGTCCGAGCATTGTAGCCCTACCAGGGGCCACCAGTGAAGAGCATCACTCGAGCCGACTGCTGCATATGGGTAGTCTCCATCAAACCCACAGCGACCGACAGCGCGACGCCTGTGCACTTCTGTGGCCGCTTGCCTGATGCTACCGGCCATGGGTCCTTCTGTAGATCATCGAGCACATTGTTGATCGCATACTCGCACTCCTCAATCGGAAGGAGAAACCTGACCATGACCAGATCACTTAAGAATAGAACCCTGGCCTAACCTTCTCGAACTCTGACCACCGGTATTGCCCCGGGGGTCGTTACGTACGGCAAAACCTAGCTGCTGGGCCACCTGCTGGGCGGTGATCTCCTTGGTGCCTCGGAAGGCATATGCCTTAGGCATATCTTGGTTGCCTGAGTACATACTACCACGTACCACGCTCATCGCTAAACCAAGCCTACCGAGCTCATGGACGTAGCACATGGTCCCAAATGTGATGAGGCCAACAAGAGCATCTGGGGGCATCATAGAGAGGCACTGCTGTAAGGAGTCCTTCAACTGCTCCAATTCCTCTTCGTAGATGGACGTGTCCACAGTAAAAATAAACACCTACCAACACTAGTAGTGAGAAACAAGTGAATCAATCAATAAGGCTACTGGCGGTTGGGCAACTTGGTTAGGAAGGATGTACTCGATCGTAGTGTACTGGGGTTGAAGCTCAGCAGGCAGCATCTGAAATCGAGTACATGCAGTGCGGCTCGTGATAAGCCCTTTATCACCGTCTCAGAGATAACCTGGGCATACATCTGTGGGAAGGAGTTACGCTGCAGACAGAAGGGGCATGCCCACGTCTTGGACCTCAGATCGACCACACTGAAAGACACCTGGTGAACGAGAAAGGATCGTCAAGCAGTACCAATAAGGATTCAGTATAGCGTTACAGTCGCGGGTTCGGCACTGCACAGGCTCGTATTCGAAAAAGTTGAGGTTGCTAGTCTGTTTCAATGGAGTGTATCTAATATCATTTCACACTGCGCATATGGAAAGCAGTCTCTCGGCAATACAGGGCTCCCATAGGCACGACGATCCTGGTGTGGTCGAGCTTGTTGGTCGGCCAGACGTTCCAGCTGAAACGAATGCCGTTGAGATTATCCTGCTCTGAGTAATCCATGATGGAATGACTCAAACTGGGATTATAAAATTATGACGCTGGCCCCGTAGAACGCCGGACTAGAAAGCAACCGACACAGTGATGAGAAGATTTTTTTCGTTTTTTTCTCTCACTTGAAAATCGCCTGGAGAGATCCGCGCAGTTTCCACCCACTGCCAGTTCACCACTCTCCCTCTAGCCACCCTGAGCCTGCGATACAACGAAAAGAGTGTAATCTCGAAATAGACCGCGTCCGCACAAGTAATCGAAATTCAGCGCAACAATGTCAAGTACCGGCTACATTGTGTTCGTGGGTTGATAGAACTTAAATTCCCACATCTCAGATCCTTGAAGATCTCAATAGTATTAATTAGTGATGACTCGTCAGCAGGCTGCTAATAGCAGCCGTTTCATTATCATCATGGGCGTGTGGTACGATAGATACTTAAACGATTTGAGGGCAGGTTTCTTTCTTTCCTGGAAACAAAGTGATAGTTTTTTCCTTCCCATTTCTTCCCATCCCTTTCCGGAAAGAAAAAGAAAGAATGAAAAGAATATTGTTCACGTCATGCCGTTCGCAGTTGATGGAGGTTCTGTGATGTGAGTTTTGGCAATATGTCACGGACGAGGGTGAATCTCACAAACCCATGTGGGATGCAGTACACGTCCGTGAGTCACGGACCGTGACGCATTCAGTGCCCGGGATCAAACACGGCTATATCAATCAGCCGCCCTGCAGATCCCGAGTGAATGCCCCCATCTCGGAAAGGAAAAGAAGATAATCGGGGTGTTCAGAGAATTCCGCTGGAATCCATTCCAGAAAGTATTCTTAGAATCGATTCTCAGAATCGATTCCCGGATCGTGTTCAGAGGATTCCATTCCCAAATATTCCGGAATGTATTCTGGAATCGATTCCGAAACGCGTTCAACGAATCCCGCTCCCAGAATGAGTTCTCAGAATCTATTCTGGAATGGAAACTTTAGTTTTTCGTAACGTGCAACTCTTCGCTCCGCCCACAGCGCACTCTGAACTTCCACGTATTTCTGAAGTACTTGAATTATGCTGCTTGAATTATGAGTTCAAGCAAACGACCGATATGGACCACAGAGGAAGTCCAGTTAGACGTCCGTCCGAGAAGCAGTCGAGAGAGACGTTTTGCGGGACGATCCAGCGACATTACAGAACGCGAGGACGGCTGCGGGCTTCAAGCAGCTTGCCCGCAAGCGAAGACAGGACTTAGCTATCTGGTTGGACCTCGTCAGGCAAGCTGAGCAAGGTAGATGAAGGGATTAAGATTAAGTTGATTAGCATGCATTTTAAATAGCGTATTCATTTTTCTAGTGCCATCGAGGCTTGAGTACAAGTTTGTTCGAGGAAAATCACGGGAACTTGTACAAAACGAGTTCCACGACTTCTGCAAATCCCTTGATTTGTTGTCGAACGTGGTAGCTTCCCGCGCGCCACAAAATTCTCGGAAAGGAGTTTTCGCATTCTGAAATTTCGCTTTCTGGAACGTGTTTCAGGATGCATTCTCAAGTTTTCTGAACACGTTCGGAATCTATTCTGGAACTCTTTCCAGAATGAGTTTGGGGGGCTGTTCTCTGAACGCGATTTTGGTGTTTTGCATTCTGGAATGTGTTCTGAGTTTCGGAATGGGTTCTCTGAACACCCCGAATATAGTATCCTCGCTGAGGATCACAGATGGCTCAGGAGGAGCTTCGTATTCCCTTGAGACAAGCGTATACTTAATATACTATGTTACTCATTGCTTATTGTACTCGATGGTTGGCAATCATTCTCTGCCGATCTGGCAACGGTAACACTTATCAAAAAAGGAGGGAACTCCGTAGGATAAAACTCTCATCCACCGGATTAGTAACTATGGAATTTGCCACTTGATCGCCTAATTCAATCTCTCAGGAAGAAAGACACATTAATCCCAGGAGGAAACCAAGCAGTGTTCCTTTCTTTTCTTCCCGGGAAAAAAGAATTGGAAAGCTTGGATTTCCGTGTGGTCAACCCTGGGAGCACCAATCTAAGATTATGCGCTTCCGCGAGGGTCTGGACTGTTGCCCATGCAATCCAAATCGTAAGCGGAGTTCCCAAGACCTTTTACCCAGACCAGACTCTAGCGGTAATTGGTCTGCCCCAGGTAACAAGTGGAAATCTGAGCTGGACGGAACTAACCTAAGTTTCTACTGGTTTTTTGGGCTTGGGATTGTTATGACATGCTTTGGTCGCAAGCTGTACTTGTTAGGTTAAGATTATTGCTGATTTATCTTACACTTTGCCATAAGCTTACCTGATAAACTGTTAACCTTGCTCCTTCGATTTTAACTCGGAAACAACATTTTGTGAATTGCTGCCAAGAGTCCAGAGACGAGCCGCCTGTGAACCACAATATACGCCTCGGATACTTTATACTGTTGGGAACGCAAAATTGAGGTTCAATAGGACATTTGCATAGGACGAAGAGGACGAATAGGACGAATAGCAAGTTCAACCTACACATACTCCAAGTGAGACACTTACGCATCAGTGACGCGGCGTCACTGTGATGTTGACGCGTGCTGCCGGGAGGTTCTCGGCAGCCAGCCTTCCCGGCGGGAAGGACAGCGTTTGGATTGGATTCCACAGTGGACGACGGAACTCAGATAATTGTCTCGATATCACAAATTGGCAATCGTGGCAATACTTATTGAACTCAATATCTGTCAGTTGACAAATACCGTCAGCTATTGAATCAATATTATTGATGAAAGCGTTGCCACTAGCGGGTATACAATAATAAAATCGTAAACCTTAGACCCTGTGCCTAAGTCCAGGCTCCAAGGATAAATTCAGAGAATCAACTTCGGAACCAATCCTAAAACTGTTGAGTGCCTAAGCTGACTCCCAACTAAAGCTTAACCAAGGTGCAGAAAAGCCTTTGTGTATGCGTGCAACTGTGTAAGGGCATAGCTAATGGCTTAAGGGCTCAAATAACTTCAAGAGTGCAAAGATAACCATTCTCAGTTACTTATACTAAATAGATGAAGAGAAATGCTAAGATCACAATGGTGCACACAGAGTGATTCAGCTACAGAGACATAATGCTCAACTAACGCCTGATTACAGTATATAACAAAACCTAACGTGCGTCACACGCCCTCGTTCACGCAGGAATAATAGACTGTCTATTATAGACAACACGCATGCACAGACCATGATTCGCACAAAGTAATATAACAGCCATAACACAGTAGAACCGTAACGAAATGTTATCATACCAACAGTGTAGCATGATCACACGTGCTGCGAGCTGTTTTATGCAACGAATAATCGGCGATTTGTGCGCGAACAAGAATGCACGAACCTCACGTTATCGTACGAATCTAACGGAGTGTCCCCACATCGTTATCGTACGCCGTCCCCACAAGTCAGATCATCTGACACTATCTCCGCATCTGACTCAGATGCGGAAATAGTGTTACACTGTTCGATGCATAGGAATATGTTCGCTCACTCATTGTCTGTCCTGCTCCTCTTTGCGGCCGCGAGAGCTCATCCGCAGCAAGTGGTGCCCTATTTATCACCGGAAGAACCCGCGGCGCGTTGGCTCAATGACGTGGACTATCGCGCTTACCAACCTGGTGATGACTTGAAACTTGTACAGGAGGTGGAGGCCGTAACCTGCCGTCAAACCTTATGCGCGGTCGCCGTTGAAAGTGGAACTCGGGTAGGGCCCTACCGTAGGACTGGTCTCAAATTCTGACTCTCAAGCGCCTCGGTTGGTGAGAAGGATAGATTTGGATTCAACTGTCAACTTGGACGTTTGACCGTTTGGACCACTCTCCGAGCCGCATTTATTTGCTTTTGGCGTCCGCCGCGGAAGATACGTCTTTCAGTGACTGGGATTCCGTCACCTATATCTTATGCTTGCGTACTCGAGTGGAAGAGCACTTTGACCAGCTGAACCATGTTGCGGATGTTACTTAGAAGTCATTTTCATCATGGGATTCCTTTAGAGAGTGCTCTAGGTGTCACCAAAAGCTTTGAAAAAAGGTCGCGACCTCCTCTCAAAGACGTCTTAAATCCTAACCATATGGGGCCCATTGTCGAATAGGCCCCAGGTATCCTGCGCCAGAGTTTTGGACTTGGGAACCACTCGAGATTGTCAAGTCTATAACATGATGTTATTAACATCAGTCATTCAAGTATAATCTTTCTTTCAGACTGTAGTCGGCGTAGTGGAGATGACCATACCCAAGAGAAACATTGAGGAAAGGGTTAAAACAGCCATCGAAGCCAAGATGTGAGTAGAACTCGTCGTGTTGGAACTACTCATTTTCTCTGTCGTTCCTTTGATACTATCTCACAGGCCGGAGCCGAGCAAGAAGAAACCTAACGGAATCATCGGTTACATAGATCACGTAGGCTTGACAACTTTTTCACTCGACATTGTCGAGTCGACAGCGGCGAAGAGTTGACGTCAAGATTTTCAGGTTGCAGTCGCCAAGGATTGGCGTAGAAGAGGAATTGCGAGAGCGCTCCTATCGAAGACTTTCATACAAGTAAGTCACCCATAACATTATTCATCAACTTGAGTGGGTAAAAGATATAGAAATCCCTCATTTACTCGGGTTTTCTGAATACCACTGAAGCAGCATGGGAATTTTAGCGTCGTATATTTCGAGCCAAGGTTTGGGAGCTCCTTGCCAAGGAACCTTTCTCACATTAATTCAGTTTGATCCTTTTGTATCCTCTCAGATCGGTATAACTTCGCCGAACGTGGTCGCCATGTATCTGTGGACGTTTTCATTCAATGTGGAGGCGGTTGGACTCTATGAGACCTCCAAGTTCGTTAAAATCTTGAGTAAGCTCATTCAGCGCTCGCGAGCTATGGGGTGTTCTGAACACCGTGTTCAATATATGGGCCCGGTTGAACGCGCTCCTAGGATGTTTCCCCCGGAATTTTGTTCAATCAGTAAGTTGCTGGAAGATCTCAGGAATATTACGGAGCTTGAACTTCAGGGACGTTCACTGAGCGCGTTTATTCAGGGCTAAAATCTGGAACGCTCAGCTGAGAGTGCGCACTTTCGGCAACTTCGTAGGTGATCTTTTCTGGCAAATGAATAGAGAGGCTCTATTCATGTACCCCGTGTGCGTCTCTATTAGAGACGTTCCTGCCGTCTCGATGCCGATGTCGTTTTTGGGATCGACAGTCTCATCCAGCTTTCGTTCTTAGGCCCAGGACCTGGTGAGCAAGGCATGATCTACTTCGCCCGATACGACATGACCTAGCAATCCTACACACCATTGCAGCCGAGTTGTTCTTATCTACCGTTATCTACTAGGAAGATAAGAATCTCTAAGATTGTCACGTGAAGAAGATTATTTTTCGCGATCGGCGTGCGGTCAACGGCCCGTTGACAACGGCTGCCGCCTCCCATCTCATCATGCTTAACCACCAAGTACAGTTAGCTTCGTGCTTGGGAAACTTTTCCTATATTTGCCGCTGTTATTGAGTATCTTCTTCCTAGAGAAAGATAACGGTTGTAGTTCTCTCCCCTTCGGGAGAAGCCCTTCCCATTATTATCACCAATGATTCCATACTAGGTTGTGTTGGGTTATATTTGTCACGAAATGCTGTGAGTCACCACCCTGTACCTGGTGAGGATGATATGGGACTGTGGCCAGGATCGGATCCTGAGCATCCACTTGCAAAGCTCGATGGTTGCTCATGAAACTACACTAGGGCCTACTGTAGTGTACCTAGTGACTCGGAAACTACTTGACCGGGTCAAGTTGACTCTGATGATCAGAGTCTGATCGTTACAGTACCATATATATGAGTCATATATATGGTAGTACTATAATGGTACTGTAACGTTACGTTACTATGGTACGTTACTAACGTACCATATACATGATGGCACTCGACTAGACGAGGCATGCTGGTATGTCATATAATATGCCATGGACTAACCCATCCTGTGAGCTAGCGTGTCTATACTCGCGCTAGCAGTCTCCTAGATTTGACAGAGAGACTATCACTATCACGTGAATGACGGAAGACACGTCCGAAATTGACGTTAGGAACGTCGGCACTTCCAATTTGGAAGTCTCCCATGAGTGAACGGTTCAGTGTGAACCTAGGCTGTCCTGCACCTCGACGAATCGCTGCTCTTCCTCCCAGATTGGCACCTGCGGTAGGCCGTTCCTACATCACTCTCTAAGACAACAATGTCCTCAGGACATACCCTAAGGAAGGGCAATACCCGGTATTATCCTTCCTCGTATTCAAGGCACGCTCCACCGTATCGCATTAGTTATTTGGGAGTGTTGGGTGAGACTGAGTGTTAACCAACTAGGTAGCAGAGGGCGGTGATAATACTGCTTAGGGAAAGCATAGCTTCTCCGCGGTTGAAACCGTGCCAGACTCTGGCAGCCAGAGAGCTGTCTTCCGCCGAAGCCTGGTTTGGGACAGACACACTTGCTGCCGGCACAAGGGGACAACCTGAGTCCTTCAAGCTGCCAAGCTAGCCACACAAGCCAGACTGTCTTGACAATCTGAAGTAGCATATGTGTCAAGCGTGATATTTTTTAACCGAGGTTTCCGATGTAGGTCCTAGGGTCACTGCAGGTTGCAGGCTTCAGTGGCTTACGACAGAAGTTTACTATTCTGAGTGTCCCTAGTGTACCTTGTGTGTCATCCTCCGCAGTGCCGAGATGGCACTCGTAAGTCGACACGCGCCTTGCCACAACTCGGAGGCTAGAGGTTTCACGAACCTCACAACACGCCGTGTATTGGCTTAACACCACAGTCACATTGCCTAGCACGCAGGCACATAGGCAATGTCCCCCAAACAACTAGTAAAGGCAAAAAAAATCCCCGGGTAGAACCGGCTCGAGATGCTCCTGGACAGCCAGATTGCTATCACTTCAGTCTGCACCACTTTCTGGTTCGGGTTGATACTTGTTACGCTTGCTTGAATTTGCCCCATGCAAGCCTGGCCCTTCACTTGAGCATAGTCATTAGGTTCTCATAGCCTGGGACCACATTGGTCTCGCTCGTAGACACCGATCTCATCTGGTTCCCGGAACCAGATCAGCGGAGCGCTGATATTTCGGAAATACCAGCGGAACCAGAAGAGCTGTACCAAAACTTTTGGTACAGGCTTGAAAGTTCATGTTTCCAATGCGAAACTCGCGGGTACGAATAGTCGGAGGGGTATACTTTGGTTGTATCGCGCATCTCCCTATCGGATTCTGCCTCAACATCCCACTTTTAACCAAGTTTCAAATCACGTCTTCATGGGTCGCGAATCGTGACAATTTATCAATTCTTATTCGTCGTCACCATCTCGCTTGTTGGGGGGAGCCGCAGTAGTAGCATTGATACACATAGTTGGAACTTCCAACTTCGAAGCTTTGGATAATTATTATCCGATAATAACAGGATTGCTCTGATTCGCAACTTGTTAAGGTGTTATCTGTCGTGCTCGTACTACGAACTTCGTAGGTGGCCGTTGCCTCGACCACGCTTTCCGTGTGCGACTTTTCGCAAGACGTGCTCCGGAGGAGCACTCTTCCACCATTCCGGATGATTACCGTGAGATATTACGTCGGGTGAACCGACTCGGGTCCCATGCGTCTCATGCGAGTCGCTGTTGAAGTTTGCGAAATGATAGGCACCGCGCTACAACTGCGGCCCGCTTCTGGGCCTACCACCTAGTGGGCCGCTGCATTCCAGGGTGAGACTTTCAGCACAGAAGGACGCTACGACCTAGAGATCGAAGAAACTTCATTAACATTAATTCACTCACTTAACAGCCGGCCTTCCTCCTTTTTCTTACCGGATAGTTTCCATAACCAAAACGAGCATCTGTGAAGATGTCAACAGGTTGCGGTAGACATCTCTATGACTGAACAATCGTTCTCGTGCTCCGGGTCAATGGTGAACGCGAGTTCGTCGGTAGGAGTAGAATGAACGGTGACGGACTTGATCCAAAATCCCGAGTGGGCAAGTGAATCAGAGGAAGGAAGAATCACTGAGGAGGATACAGCTCCATGTAGAATATCTTCGTGCATTATATACTCTCACTCTGCGGAGAATGACGTGCAAGGTTAAATAAAGACAGATCGGCAATCCACTACATTGCCAAGAGGCCGAGACCCAGCAAGATTAATAAGGGTGAAACTCAGTGAAATGAATTACAGGACAGTGAGTACGATGAAGAAAGCAATATATGACACGGCATATGCGAGGTCTAGTGTGTCGGACGTACCGTCCGAGATAGGCCCATCACCGGCCAATGAGGAGCAGATGGATGATCTAGTTCTATTTGATACCCCCTTCTTGATCGACTATTCAGCAGCCCAAGCGTGGTTTTGCTGGTTTCGCTTGGATAACATGCAATTAGTGCATTCCTATACTGATATGGCTGAAACGGCTGACCGTTCGGTACTGTAACTCGAACTTCGGATGATTCTTTTATGAGTTGATTCTTTTTTTGAGTTGATTCGTGAGGACGCGTCACATTGTTCCCCCCTCAAGCCTTCAACAGCTCACAGGTACATCCTTGGCCTACCTCTAGGCTTAATCTCGTCGGACGGTCCGACTACTGTGTGTGATTTACATTCACTAGAACCACAGCCTTCGAGAACCTGTTGTTGTTGTTGAGAAGAGGTTGTGACATATCGGACTATGTGACATAGTATTCGACGCACCAAATGTCATCCTCCCAGAAACGAACCCACTGCCTTTGGGTTGAGCAGCACGAATCCAAACCACCATACCATATATATTATTAAAAACATATCTACATTTTCCACCCAAACGTTACACTAGAAAAGATTGGATAAAACAGGCATCAGGTGAATAAATGACATTTATTTATTAGAGGTGGGGACCGGACAGGCGGACCGGATCGTCCTGCTACCCGGATTCCGGGTAGCCACTCTAGATATAGACCGCTCACGCCCAATTGAATCACTTGAAGTGATCGATATTCAGCGCAACATTGTCAAGTAATGGCTACATCACATCTTACATGAATTACTCATGGTGCAGCAGCATGTATGAATACCTTAGCCAGAGTGAGCTGACTTCCAAGCTCCCTTCTCTGTTGCCGCCCCGCTCCGCTTCGCTGACTCGCACATCCTAATGTAGTCGACCCACCCATCACCTCTACCAAAGGCTTGAGCCAAGGCCTGTACGTCTGACAGGCTGGCGCGGATATTGGCATGCGCCAGGATGTTAGGAAGGTCCCAGACTCTCACGCAGCCTGACCTGTTACTGTCAAAGGCCCTACAGTGCGGCATGAGCTTCACGTCAGAAGCCTTCATCAGGACAGATGCCGGGTCGAGGGCATCCAGTTCGGTCTGAGGCACTTGGGTCAGGACGCCTGCTGTTGCCGTACAGAGACGCCTATAGGATGGTGCGAAGTGCGCAGTGAGGCAATCGACATCAGCCTGCGTTAAAGGAGTATCCTGGGTCAGAGCGCTGAGCAGGTTAGAGAGACCACGATGAAAGATATCGATCGTCGCGGTCTCCCCACGCATGCGGTCGACGGCTGACGGGACATTAAATTCGAAATAGTCGGCTAGAGCCGCTGGAGATATCATGTATGCGGTCATGTGCTGCTTGAGCCGAGTCAAAGCCTCCTCTACTCCCTCAGTGTTCTTAATATGCACATTCAGAGGTTGAGATATCCAGTCTTGGACCGCTGACTCGCTCAGTGGCTTGGTGATTCTGAAGTCGTTGTGTGAGAAATTCCATACGAATCTCTTGTAAGCCTCGTGTAGTCGATAAGGATCCATAGTGAAGCCCTGGCCAGCAATCGGGAGTCCAAACGTGTCCATCATTGTTTTGGCGTCTTCTGGTGATAAATGCACATTCAGTCGTTGAGCAATCCTCCATGGATTTCCATCAGCATCAACGCAGAGTTCTCGTAAATCCACACGCTGGTCGAAGGCCGCACGAAATAGTATACGAACTGCTTCCGGGATGTCAGACGATCGACACGCCCAAACTTGCTTAGGCCTCTCGCCCTTCAGGGCATCAACGTCACATTGGAAGTTCCAATAGTTGACCTTCTCTGGATGAGACACTGATTTGTATCGCTCCGCTAGAGCCTCTATTTGAGCTGTACTCAAGACCGGGAATTCGTCAGTGAGCTTGCGGATAAAGATCTCCTTGAAGCACTTGGTCCTTTGCTGGCACGACTTCAGAGTGTGTTGGAAGATGTCACGAAGGTCCTTCGCGCCAGTGCCGTCACACTTGCTGGCTATCAAATGCAGGGCGCTCGCACATTCATCGTCGGCCCGACTGTTATCAAGACATTTGTTCACCATAGAGAAAAGTGACTGAAGGAAAGACCCAAACCAGCGACTGGAAGCCAGCACGAAATACTGAGTGATCCACTTGAACCTCGGATCAGATGCAGATCTCGGATCTCATCCTATTCCGATCCGGACCAAAACTCTATCACAGCAACTGTTAGAAACATTCCATTTGAGCCACAAATTGAAAAATAAGAGTCGAAGTCGGCCGCGTCACCCTTCCTTTTCCTTCTTAACCTCATCGTACTGTGGGGCCCACATGTAGGCCAGAGAGCCAGAGAGTAGAGCTAGTGCTCCCAAGGCCATAGTCTTCGGTGGATAAGGCGGAGCGTGGAAGACGTAGGCCGACAGAAGCAGACAGGCGAATCGCTGTATGGTGGCCATGAGCTCGCAAGTAACGTGTTGCGCAGTGCTCGACAGCTTCAGTAGATACCTCCTGCACAGCTGGGCTAGGATCATGTTACCTGAACCGATCACGCTGAACGAGGCGTGAGTGACAGGACTCACGGAGAAGTCTTACCGGACAGATAGACCACAGTAGTTAACCCCGCTCGGGCTGAACTATGGAAGAGCAGCACCCGACGCACCGATTCGGCCCCTCTGGGTGAAACTAACAGTAGTGGAAGGCCGATGAGATGCTGTAGGAGTAATTGTTCCTCGACTTGAGGGCCGTATATCGTAAAACAACGATTCACTAGGAAGGTCTGTAAGGTGCCACACAGAACCGCGGTGAACATCAAGACTAAACCAAGGGCCATTTCGTTGCCCTCAGTTGACTGGGTAGATGTGTCAGACGATAGAACAGCGCAAGAGATGATTCCAACTGTTGTGAGAAGTACTGATCCAATCTGGACGGCGGTATACCTAGAATGCTTCAGTGGGTGACCGGAAAACGAAACCACTGTTACTTTTTGTCCAACCATAAGGCGCCTACGATCATCCCAGTTGCCAACTGGAGATTGGATACCACGACCTGAACCAAGGAATGCGACCCTCGAAGGCACTGGGAAGGAATGAGAGTATGATGCCTACCACAGCCGTCATTGGCAGCAAAGTGATCCCGAGTGCCTTGAGATAAGCGTATCCAAAAGACAAGCCGCTGAATACTAGATGCCACTTCACTGGTATTTTGTGATTCCTGATTACGCTTGATATGCTGGAGGCACGCCTTAAGACGATGAAGAGATGAACCTGAGTGATATGGAGGGCAAGCATACAATGGCTGAACGAACTGACCAAGATTGCACAGAGGAAGGCTGCGGACTTGTCCTCGCTGACCAGTAGCTCCATGGGAACATGAGACCCCACGCCGCACAGGAAGTAAAGAAATGCGAAGGAGGCAGCCTGAGCAACGATACGGATACTATCGAGCCACGTAACTTAGAATTCTGACCATCCTCGCCCTGCGTTTCCTGGTGGCTGCTAGCTGGCGATGCCATCGAGTCACAGCTCTGACTTTGGCCCACTTCCCTGACGACTTGGCGACTGCCTCTTCGAAAGACCCCTTATCGGAATCTGCACTGAAAAGCTCCACTACAGTTGGCTCGATCGTTGCTATATATCGATCGTATCAGTTCTTTAGTACAACTAGGAGTCTAATAGAACCTCAAACCCAGGAGCACGAGAGCGATAACGATCCCAGCGGAATGCTCTAAAGGGCAATAGCCTAAGCTAAGTGAAGATGTGGAAACAGTAGCATAAGAATAAACGACAGAAGCTGCAGATGGTTGCCTCGTGATGGCAGGTCATCATCTTCTCCCTCAGAGGCAGTCGGAGTCTCCCCTATCAAATCAGCTTCCACATCCTCAGGTATAGCATCAAAGTCACAGGAGTCGAATATGAAGCTAGGCTCAAAGCATGTCACTGAGGACATGGACCGCGGAACTGCCGAGGCAAACGGCGTTCCAGCCGGTGTGGGAATCCTGAAAATAACCACAGGTCTGCAACAATCTTAGACAGACCCGCACCATCCAGAAGAGGAAAGCCTCCTAAGTCTGTGCTCGGGGTGGGCCAAGCCGTCGAGTGCATGACCAACAGCTGGTAGCTGGTAATCAGTCTTTGCAGCGTCCATTTCCAACGCGGAAGTATCGAGGAAAACACAAGTCGATACTGACAAAACACTGATGGGAGCAACGCCAGATCCCAGGAAAGAGCCTTTTGCTAGAGTAAAACCATAAGTTCCTTCGAAAATGCTGCAAAAGTACATCCTCCACCATGCGTCCTCCTTCATAACACAACACCGACTTGCGAGGACACCGTAAGGACACAGAGGACTAGTCCCAAGATAGCATGTTCCTAATAGACGAGGAGTTGCTCCTATGCTGCCTCATGGCATCGTTGTAGGCTCGACCATCACATGTGCCCTTCGGGGTCGCAGCTCTCTTGATTTCTCCGACCCCAAGAGGGTCCTCAACATCGACGTTCGTGTCGAGGTCCAGCCAGGCACACCTAGCCACTCCAGCGACCTGACTGCTACTCCGACCCTTAGGGACCAGTCTCCACTGGATGATACAATGGCCCCCACCGCCGATGGACACAAGCGTGTTAGTCGAACTGAAGCGCACCTAAGAACGCTGTGCAAGATAAGCTGGGATGAGGAACCTTACGTTGGTCACATGGCTTGCGTGACCACCATAGACAGCCGCTCTAGCGTTCAAGTAGGGCGACGGAAACCTCAAAAGCTTCACTTTACCATTATCGTCACCCAGAGCAAGAAGACTAGTATTGTCCCCGGACGATTGGTGCACTGCATTGACGTCAGTCTGGTCGTACTCAGGATCGGCCCACACTCCTATCACCGGCCAGCCCAGCACGCACGACCAGTTCTCCTGCCATCGAGCATCTCGGAACCTGTAGGGCACGCTCAGCTGAGGAGTAAGCTGTCTCCTACATGCTAGTAGAGGGCATTCGCGCGCCGTCCTTGGTCCGCCAGAATAGAATCTGGGTATCCTTACTGTTACTCATCACTGTCGTACCATCTCTCGTGAACATCACGTTCAATGGAGACGAGGAGTTCCCCTTCAAGGCGGCGTGGAGGGCGACAGTTATCCCTTTTACTGCCTACAAAGGACCAATCCGGCATGGACTCATAGAGCTCACCGAGATGACCCCTCGTATGCAACTCACGATAACGGCGAAACGGCCGAGCAGAATTGTTACCTCGTCATTCACGTCAACCCTCAATGTCACCCCATACTGGACACGGAGGAGATACACCGTTTGGTCCCAACAGGCGGCCGCCAGCCAGTTGCCGTTGTCCGAGAACCGAATATCACAGATGCGCTCTCTGGCTGAAGACAATCGATGAGAATAGACCTAAAAAATTGCTGATACTGAGAACACGCTACCTGAATTCACCTGTGCTAGACTAGGGAAATGCAGAACGGTCAAGAAGCCCGCCGCTTGACCAATGGCGAGAAGGTCCCCCCGGAGGTTGAACGCCAATGCGAACACTGCCTCAGCACAAGAGATGACCTGTTGAAGATTGTTAAGCATTGTGTTGATGGGCGAGCGAACATCAATTAAGATGTCCTTGATGATACGTTGTTCATAGTTAGAGCCATGCGACTTACGGCCCATGCACGACTGTCCCGTTCTCAGCTAGAGTGTATTTGCGCCTACTGGCTCGTGGAGTTAAAGTGATACATCAAATGCATCAGTGAACTTGCCAGTGGGGGTTTGTTCTTACCTTGCCAACTAGAGGCTTCTTTTCGTAGGTATTCCAGAAGCGGACATCGCCACCGGTACCCCCAGTAGCACAGAGCGTGCTTGTGGGGTGGTGGGCCAAGCCCCACATCTCCCCACCATGGGCAACCTAAGTAGACCCTGAAGGATCTCGTATTTGAGAGCCACTGCTTACCTGTACCACTGCAATGACCGACTTTCCACTAACGTCAAAGTGCAGCAAGCTGTGACTAGCGGTGCCGAGTAGCGCAGTAACTCTCCGCCCTGGGCACACAGCTACACTGTTGAATCTTGCCCCTCCGGTCGGACCTGATGTGTGGATAAGCCTAGCCCCTGCCTTTAGCTCCTACCAGGAAGGCCAACGAGCCTGTGCACATCCCCAGCTTGCCCTCTCCCGACAAGATCCTTGATATGATGCTTCCACATCACCTTCAATTTCCCGTTTGCAAGACCACCAACCATCGCGATCTCGCCACCGTATGTTGCAGCTAATACGTTGCCATCTGGGAGACCAGCGGCACAGCCGATTTTGTGGGCGCCCAACGACACAGCCTGAGTCGCCACGCCGTTTTGCAGGAGGTAAAGATATCCGTTACAGCCACAGAGGAACGCGGCCTCGCCAGAAAAGCCGACACACTGGGGCTGCTTGCTAGTCGGAGACTGACCAAAGGTGCCGCGCTTGTATGTCAGCTCACCAGTGTCACGATCCAGCTTCCAGCATCTATAGTGCCGCTCACCCACTGACAACAGGAGTGGCCCGCCGGACGAGGTCAAGGAGTAAGTGGGGCTCCGACCACTACTCATAGTGAACAAAGGCTTGGTCATAATTGGTGGTTTCAGTAGCTGCCCGTCGCTTCCACGACCGGGCGGGCGATGCGGGAAGTGACCCCAAACAGCCACCATGTTCGCATCATCGGTACCAATACTGACCAGCATACTCCCACCATGCATGAAAGCCACCGCACTGACGCTCCTCTGATGATAGTGCAGCTGAGCCACCGTGACGGAAGGCTTGTCGGGCCGCCATAGACACACGAAGGGGCCCTCAATGCCCTTGGGGTCCTGCTGACCACTAGCAGCCAGCTCAGCCTCTTGACAGTAGTCCAGACAAAGGACGTCTGCCGAGTGACCTTCAAAGTATTGTTGCGAGGAATCTTCTAGAGAGTGCATGACCACCATCGACCCCAGAGGGTACATCGCGACACGGCCTTCCTCAATTATCCTCAGCGACCCTCGGACGTCACCATTATAGCCGTAGACAACCTCCTTCTCGAGCTCCCAGTCCGGCACCTGCGCCTGCTTCGGATCGGGTCGCCAGTCAGTTGGAGGGAACACAAGACCGTAGCTACGGCCGAACACGACCCGCATGGCCCCATCAGGGCCCTGCTTGGACAACTCTGGCGTCCAGCCTGGCTCAGTAGATTGTACCGGAGGCTTCGGAGGGAACTTCGGTACTGCGACATGCTGCTTGCCATGAGTGCGCGACCGCCTAGAGAAGGGCGTGTCAAAAGGCAGGCTCATCACTGGCAGGGGCAAGAAGCGTTGTTTCCAGTGTATTGGTAACTCGGGGCCACTTCGAGGCAGACAAAGGAATGAACAGAAGAGAACGAAGTTCCACACAGCATTTTGAATATCACTTCACCAAAGCCTCGTTTTTTCACCAAAACGATGACAGCGGAATCGACCCAAAACTGTTCCTAAACCGCCTGGTCTGCCTCGTTATCACTAGTAAGGCGTTGGGTGTTCGTAAGGCATGGACGAGAGATGCCAATCGGCGCGAATCAGCAAAATGTCCGCCGAATTATCAACCATTTGATCGACATTGACGGTCTTGATATTTCCTCAATTCGACTAAGGATGGTGCGAGAGGCTTGTTGGCCGTAGGTAGATGGTCACTGAAAGATTCGAGTGCCGCACGGACATTCACTGCTGCGGCTTCAAAGGAAGGCGCCTCGAACCCAGTAGGGCTCGCCTGGTCGCAGCCCGATAGGCCTCCCGAAGCAGACATGTTATTCCCCCTAGTGGCGAATGACTTCAGTCTGAACGACATAATCATGCAACACTATTATCAGAAGAATCACCCGTAGTGGATATGCATCTGCCTGGAGCATCTAGCCACCGCAGGACACAACGCTGGTCCTCTACGGTATGGAGCGTCAGCCCATCAGTATTGGAGTATACGTTCGCCTTTCTCAGCTGAAATCAGTAGTTTCCTCACTGGTTATGAAATCGGGGAAAGGTGTACAGAAACCAACAAGAATTTTCCAAAATTTCCTCTGATTTTCCGTACTGTCACCAATACATGTAGTTCACCATGTGCATAATCTCCCACACTGTAACAGCCCATCACCTTCCCTTAACCACCCAACAACAACGAAAATAACAGTCAACGCTACATATGTAGCACTAGGCACGATGTGCATCAAAATTGGAACCATAGTATAGTGCAAACTCATTCAAAGTACACAGAGCTCGTCTAACCCTCCTCGACTCCCCGGGACTTCGGCACTGACGCCTTCCCACTCTCTGCATCGACTCTCCGCTTCTTAGCTTCCTTCTCCTCAACCTCTGCTGGCACATTGCCGCTCCCCTCTGCTGAGGAACTCGATGAGGACACCGGGCCGCCCTGAAGGACAGACAGAATTGAGGACTGACCCAGTAGGGGAGAAGTCTCCACCTCCTTCGTCTGATCATCTTGCTGGGAGTGTGGTTCTTCCTCAGCCCGACGCCTCTCTCTAGCAGCCTCAGCCAAAGCAACGAGCCACCGCTGGTACTGCCGTAGTTGCTCATGGTACTGCAACTCAACCAATTGACGAGCCTCCCTTGGTGTGAGGTTCCGCTTGATATCAGACGGACTCGGCTTATCCACGGGCATGTCAGCCATCAACGGCTGTGCCGAAGGCGGTAGAACCGCAGCTGAATGAAAGGGTCTCCCCACAAGACATAAACGCTATAGCCATACTACCCTGGGGCTGGGAACCGGTGTACTGTGTGAGGCCATCGACTAGGGGCTCATTCGAGTCCTGCTCCTTAGAATCTACGGAATCGGGTACTTTAGGAATAGCAGGGCCTGATAGAGAATATTGACTCTTCTTCGATACTGCCATTGACCAGGGCCCCGGTCAATGGCAGTGTCGAAGAATGTCGCAGGCCCCTAGGGGTATGCAAGGTAGTAACGAGACATAAACTCACCATCTTCCTCATCAGTCACAACTTCAGCTTCTATAATAGTCTCGGGTACCTCCTTCCCCTCCTGCTTGTGGTCAGTCTTGCTGCTATCATGGCTTGGTGGCGGCTCCTCTACCTCAGCCTTCTTCTCCATCACCGCCACCTTGGCGCGAGTCATCACGCCGGCCGTAGAGACGGCTTCAGACATGTATAGACAACGAGGGACACTGGACCGACCTGGGGGGGCACCGAGTGACGTGATAGCCAACACTGCTCCACGCTTCGAGTCAGAAAGTATTCAGCTGCACTGCAGCCAAGATAGCAAAGACATGGGCAACGTACGTTCAAACTAACGATAATGGATTCCAGCTCTATGATAGAGAGCGTATAAAAGATTATCAGACCTTCGAGTGTCACCGAACGGGCGTCAGCAACCACAGTCAATCTCCAACCAAAGACGGCATGTCCCTCATCGAGCATCTCGTGCACCGAGGAAATGCCCTGTAGGTTATCAGCAACCTGGTTAGTAAGAAGGTTCATGACTCCAACCTCATCAAGGCTTTGGCCGGTATCTGTGACGACGGCATAGCCTACAGGCGGGATGGGTCTAGATGGCGTGCTCTCGGGTTCAAATCCCACCACGTCCCCACGACGCCCTCTAGAACTCACCACAAAAATGAACTTGTTTCCCCCGACACCCCAATCAGAGAAACCAGGGAAGGATTTAACTAGGAACGGAACGGTTACCAATACTACTAGTTATTGTCGCGGTCCTCAGAAAACAGCTTGCAGACTATGCCCTCATGATTGTCTCTGCCGTCGGAGATTTTCACGTACACGTCCGCATCGGGACGGAACTTCCCGGAATTGCTACATGAAAAAACTATTCGAAAAAACTGAACGAGACATTGCTGCATGAAAAAAGAACGAGCCCTTCTACCCTCAAACTCCGAGACATTTTCCACAAAGCCAATTTAGGAACCAAAGCAGATGAACTCAAAGAAACGTAGCTACTCTATCCAGACTAAGACTGTTCTCATCCACTACCTACAACATCTACACGACTGCTAGTGTCCCATGGACAACTCATTCCCCTCCATCAAGTCAACTTCTCCGAGTAGCGCCATAGCAGCAGCACAGTGGCCCTCAGGTCTACCGACAACGTTCGCTGTCTATAGGTTTTACACATGGCCTCTTTTATAGGCCCTAGCTTACCATTCCTCTTCGACTTCGGTAAGTTGGAGGTAACGGACTGATGCACCCGACCGAGCAGCTCCACAAGACTCCTCTCCCTCATCTTCCCGATGCGCTCAATACGACAACTGCATACCAGCCTTGCACAAATCCGTGCCAGAGTCCAGTCCTGCTGAGCCTGCTGACGCTGTTCAGGACCAACCTCTGCTAGAGCCTTTTCGATCTCAGGATGGGGACGGTAGTTCGCCGAGACCAAGGACGTTGACCCATGGGCCAGCAAGATCCCAACCAAGGGTGTCGGGCACCTGACTCCAGCAATCCTAGGGCGCTCCTCTGCAGGTTTCTCCTTCCTCTCCCTGAAGGCTCTCTCGTTCTCATACCTCCTTCTGATATCAGCAGCATGACTGCTACCCTGATGCCGGGCCAGTATGTGACTATCCAGGTTCAACGTAAGGATGGTCTCATGGCAGCCCCTCACGGGACACGTCCGTTCTGCCTCATCGGGCATCCCTCCGTCCGTGTGGCCTACCTGGGCATCATTCCACTCCCAGTCTGAGTCTATTCCATTATTGCCCTCCTTAGGCTTGGGCTTTCCCCTTCTTTTCTTCTTCCGCTTTTTCTCAGGTGCGGCGCGTCCACCCCCAGCCTCGTTCGCCACCACGGCATCATCGAACCGCCTTACCATACCGCCCTCTGCCTTCAACGGCTGTGCCCTTCGAGGTTGCCACGGTATGACTATAGCCCTCGTCCCACAGGAACTCTCTGTGGTTGCAGCAGTTGACACAGAGCTGCGAACATCATCAGCGTACTGTCTATCACCAACAGGTTTCACTTTCAGAGGAGTCAACGCTGAGCTCCCAGGCCACTGCTCAGTCTGGGGTGGAGGAAGGGGTAGTGGTGGAGGTTGGCACGGCAGCTCTTCCCTAACGCCATATGGAGTAGTACCAGCCTTGCTAGCTTTTCCGCCGTCACGGCCTGCCCCCGAGTGTCTTCGCGCCCTCTTACAGTGATCAGCCACTGAGGGCCCTGCATCGTTAGAATTTTGCCACTCCCCACCCACCACCCTGTATCGTCGGCCGAGTACCTTATCCTTCTCACTATTCTTTAAGGAGGTTTTCAGCCTATCAGGTGATCCCATGCCTCTGCAGTTCGCTGCATATCGATTGTACGGCCGAGCGGGACGTTCTACACCCCCATTACCACTCCTTCTGCTACTCATGCTGGCCTTTTCCGACGGGGACGCTACCTTCTCCTCAAGGACTCCCTCATCAACAGTCGTCACCGACCGTCGCCGCCGCCGCCGTCTTTTTCTACCCGCCTGAAGGCGTTTAGCCGCTGGGGTCATTTCGTACACATCCTCAACGAGATTCAACGATTCCTCCGAAGAGGAACTCTTCACTTCCACTACATAGGCAGATGACATGAAAAATAGTGACAAGGCTGTAGCAGACCATAGGGCCACATCTCGGACTACCCGGAACTCAACAGGGCTCTTCCTTAAGAAAAAGAATCCACAATTTCGGACATCCAACAGATTAGCACACAGCGCTAACAGGGAAAGAAGTTGTTCCTCCCATTCGGGCTCTTCCGGTCCACTGAGATCCATCCATATGGCAGTAGAAGCTCACTAGGCTAGTGGCTCCATCACAATCAACCGTCACTACTAAGGAAACAACCCGTCTGGGGAACTCATCGTTCCAGTCTGCTCGAGAATCTATGAAGCAGCAAGACCATAGCGCGAGCCTCCGTTGCTTGGACCTTGTCGAACGCCGGCGGCCTATTAAACATCCCTCGTAGAACTTCCCTGGACGTATGCCGACTCTCCCGGCCGCCCTCCAGCCTCCTCATCCCCTCCTTATAGACTGCGTTAACCAGCCGCTCCATGCCCCTCAAAGGCACCCCTCGGATCTTCTGTTCGACCCTCAGTGCTGTTATGAAGGCAGCGCAGATCCTCACTAAACTCCACTTTAATGGACGATGACGAGTAACTTCATCAGCTATAGCCTGCTCAAGCGCTGGATGGAAACTGGTCAGCTGCGCAGTACTGCCCTTGGTGAAGCCCGGACAGTAGTACCGCAGCAACGGTCGGGGACAGCGCACCCCAGCCACCATCATAGTAACACCTTCCTCATCAACCTCTTTGGCAAAGACCCTCGACCTGATCTCGAAGGCCTCCCTACTCTCCTTGTGTAGCAGACCAACATGCTCATCCCTCTCCCGCGCAATGTCGAAGACCTTCAGACAGCCCCTCACAGGACAGCGGAACGTGTGCAGGTCCGGACGGTCTGCGGGAACTACTCCATTATATTGCGCTGCAAGGTTGAGTTCTCCCCAATCAGAATCTATATCATCGTCAGATGCACTATCACTGCTCTCTGAGTCCCCATAGGCTATGAGCTCATGCCGTTGACGATGAGCACCAGATCCCTTTCCTTTACCACCGTGTGGATTTCGAGGAGGATACCCGCGGAGGTTCAATCCCTGGTGCCGTCGTTCTCGCCAATCATGTATCTCTGGAAGTTGTGGTTTATCTTCCTCTTCCTCAAGTTTCTCATTGCAATCTGCTTCCAAGTCGATAACAACAGTTGCGTCAATCCTCCGGCGTCGCTTTCGGCCTGGTGCCAGGATGACTTCAACCTCGGACCCACCACTACTGCTATCGGGAGCAACCATACCGTGAGAAAACAATCAACTGCAAAAGCCCAGATACAACGAGTCCAAAGGAGAGCTCCCCACGAACAAGACTAAGTAGTGCTTGCAACAACAGAAACAGTAAACGACCATGGTGAATGATACCACTAGGTGCAGCCCTTTCATAAGCTATCTTTTCCGCTTAGTACGTTCGATTATCCTATCAACAATGAGGATTCCCTTCTTATTCAGTTTGGGACACACCCTGCGGACTCAGTCTCCGGCCTACTCATCCTTCCTCACTACCCTCTGCTCAGCCCTTTTCGCATCCAGCTTGCTCTCCCGCTACTGCCGCCGATCCTTCCCACTATGACTAGTGCTTCTAAGACTCATCCCTCGCACGTCCACGCCGAATGTTCATAAGTGTCCTCACATAAAGCAGCATATCAGGATAGCATGGACCCTCGAAAAGGTCGAACAGGAATGAGTAGTGGATCTAAGAATGGAATGGAAGGTTACCCGGAGGCAGATCCACATGTACGAAGTGCGGCAACATCTCAATCAGACTCTGGAGAATCGTTCTATTAGGAAAAAGGAACCTCATCGGATGGCCCCGTCTTCCCTATGCGACGCACGTGCCCTCTCCCACGTATTCTGTAGGGCCGAGTCCATGAGTGGGTTGTAGGTGCCCGTAAGGATCCGTGCTTGACGGAACCTCCTCGCGAGTCCATCGGATATCCGAGCCCTCAGGGAGGCTTGAGGATTGGACGTTGGCGAGCTTGAGGACCTGAAGGACGTGGTCCAAGCGCATGATATCTTGCATATATCTCTGTATGTCCAGGATATCACCTCGGTCAAGCACGACTATCTCAACGAAAGAGATAGAAAGCCAATTTTCTGTTAAGTGTTTCCTTCGGCTCCAGTGATGAGCTCAAGGCCTAGCGGGAAGGCTACTATGATGTCCGAGGCGTTGAAGGGGGCATCCTTCGACGGTCGAAGTTCGACCCACTTGGATGCCCACACAAAAGTCGTCATCAGTCATGTGTGTGGACAATGCTATCTGTCACTTATGGTCAAGACGAATATCCGGCGTATACCCGAGTCAACTGCTTGCAAATAAACAATTCGCGAGGGGTCAGCACACGAGTCTATCATATAAATGGTCTTGTTCAGTATAGCTTGGACTAACTCAGCCGGAAATTGTTGATATCGATCTGTCTGGAATGACAAAAATGCTCTTTAACTCTCCGCCGCGCCTGCGTCAACGATTCTGAACCGTGTCTCCGTTACAGTACCAATTCACTTTTGAGCCGAACGATTTTGATTGTGTAAAAATATCCGAATCCGTGAGAAATTCACGCGATTTATCGATCATTCAGGCGTACGCTATATTCGCTTAGCCGTTTCGCCCGCCTATGAGACGGGGTTCCACAGCGCAAGATATTGGTTCTTCTTCCGGAGCATCATCTTAACTAATCATGACCACTGAGATTGACCCTGTCCTCCTCGCGCCCGAGCCGCCATCTACCCTCGATTTTGAGGTCAAGCCCCAGCCTGCTCCCGAGTTCAACAATCTCGACCCAATGCCCAAGTTCAGCGAAACGCCTTTTGTACGGTACTCCTCTTGGTTTGTTCGCCTTCGGTATGGTACCTGGCTTGATTATCGGGCTCAGCCTGTCCCAGCTCGAGCCTCCTAGGCTCGTGGGGCTGCTTGACATTAGTTCAACTGTGTCATTCGATGCAATTCTAAGATGGTAATTTGGTTTCCTTTGCTCAGGCGCCCTGGGCGGCCCAGCCTATCGCTCCTCCACTGCCTTCCGCAAGAGCACTTGCCCCACCCGATTTTCAACAGCAGTTCGTGGATCGCTGCTTGTACTCAGGCCGAAACGTCTTGGATGAGGGAGCTCTTGCGTAAGTTTTCGCGCGCTGTCTATTTCCACTCGTTTGCGGCCTACTAGTGCGGTGATGCTTTTGCGGTCTCTGGTTGCGAGGTGTGCTTTAATGTTGGTGAGTGCTATTTTGACATCAGGTTCTCGGCCCCTGGTATCCCCGATGGCACCGATTTGATGTTCAAAGCCAATGGTGCCGCGCTTGGTGGTTTGGCGTTCACCCCTTTGCTCCAACCACCAGCTCCTCAGCCCGACTACTTTGGCCACCTTCTCGGACATCCTATGAACCCTGCGTTGTACGAAGACGATAGTGTTGTCTCTGCTGAGGAGGAAACTAACGAGCTTGCGCCGAAGGAGAATACTGATGACGCTTTGGAACCTGTAATTGCTAATGACGAGGTAGAGGAGTCCCCAGTTGGTAAGGTCAAGCAGGACAAACCTACTGACCCGAAGAGTGTTCCCACTACGGATGACGAGAGCTCGGATGATTCTGGCGATGACGACTTCGATTACTTTGGACACATCATGGGCCACCCAATGAACCTAGGAAATGGCCGGAAGAAGACTCCAAGGTCGAGGAAGAAGAAAGCAAGGAAGGCTAAGTCAGAGAAGACCGAGCCAGACGAGGCGCAGGTCTCTGTCCTGAACTTGTTCTTGGGTGGCGTTGAGGTATGTGATCGTGATGAGAACATATCGTAAGTTAATGCTACTAGCTTTTCCTGTCTGTGGTCAAGTCGCCTCCCAGGCACTTCACTAAAAACGAAGACGACTCGAGCATGGAGATGTCAAAGGACGAGTCTTCATTAGTTGCCGCTGGTGATCATGAGGCTCAGGCTAACGGGGGCCCTCCTTGTGAAGAAGAGCAGCAGATCGACCAGTTCGTGTTCGAGGATAGTTCTATCAAGAACGTGTCGGCCTTAATTGAAGAATCCAAGGACGATGTACCTGAATGTGCTCCAAAGATTTCCGAGGAGGAAAGAGCTGCGCCGGTCGAACTCAACGCTGAACCCGAGAAGACTGGTTCCAAGAAGGTCAAGATAGCGTCCCCTGAGCCGCAAGTGTCCAAGCCGGTTGTCGAAGCACGCTCTTCCGAGCCAGCAGTCAAGGCTCCTGAGGAGCCCAAGACGGTTGCCAAGGTCGTTGCCGAGCCGTCGCTAAAGCGATTTGATGCTCCTACTCGAAAGTGAGGCTTGTTAGACCTCGAGTCGTTTTCTGCTGTGTCCAGCAGAGGTAGACGCTTCCTTTCAGACTAAACGCTGAGAAGACGAAAGATGTGGTTGCCGAGGAGAACGACATATCGGACAAAATTCGGAGCGTCCCTGTTGCTCCTAAGAAGACATCCTTCTTTGGGAGGTTGTGCGGCAGCAAGAAATAACTGTGGAGACGGCGTCGATCAACTGCTTCTGCGGATGGGTCAACTGCTGGGGCTTTGCTTTGTCACTTCATATCATCTATCGAGACTGTGATCTTGGTTATTGCATGTTAGCATGAGTCGGAGTACACTATTTCTCCTAATTAGATGTTCAGAAGGGTTCTTGGCGGGCTTGCTATGTAAGCTGTGGCGCGCAATGCGTCATGGCTACGAGGTTGAGCACGCTCTAATCTATCATAGGTAGAAACTCTCCTATTGGACTCCGGCATCCCTTACTGCTTTGTGATATCTCATGTCTTACTAACATTGCTGGGTCCGGTATAGCTGGTGGATCCCGTAAGGAATGCTTCGTCTCAATTCCCTTTGCTTCTTGTTGATCAATTGAGGTGCTGAGGGATCGATTGGTTGTGAACATCGTGTTACTTCTTGTATCTTGTTGCTTCAGCTTTTGACGTACCTTCGAGATGACCATGAGTGTCCAACAACCCTCGGAGCAAATCTATGAGCATGACGTTGACTTCAACGGTGGTGCCTATGGCGAGGCTCCTATGGTGAGTTTCCCCTTTGGCGCGCTCACTGGTACTTTTCGTTCTCTTTCAGGGAACATGGCGTTCAATGGCCATCGCACCTCCGTTGCCTTCTGCCAGAGACATTGTCTCCATGGATTTCCAGGAAGCTTTTGTACGCAAGTGCCTTTACCCGAGTCAGAGTTTCCTCGTATCTGAAGGCTTCGTCGAAGAGGAAGAAAAGCAGTCAGAAAAGCAAGATGAGTAAGTTTACCATGAGTCTCGCTAGTCAGGACTTGTTGGATTTTTTTCTGCCCTAGGGTTGCTATAGTGAAGATACGCACTCCGAGGCGTCCCAGCGAACCGCAGCCGGACTATTTTGGTCATCTCCTGGGGCATCCCATGTGTACCGACGAGGATGATGAGGAAGAGACTCCAGATGTTCGTGTCGCGGATCAGCCTGAAGTGAAGGTTGCTGCCACCGATAGTCACGAAGAGGCAGACGAAGATGTACGCGTTGAAGACCCGGAGTCTGTCGTAGCTGTGGAGCGGGTGGAGACGCCTGAAGTCAAGGATGAGATCGTCATGATATGCCCTGAGAGTCAGCCGGTTCCATCTGAGTCGGAAAAGGACCACGAGATCTCCGAGAAATCGACAGAGGATGATGATGTTGACTATTTTGGGCATATCATGGGACATCCCATGAATCATAGTGGTTCCCAGCGCAAGATCAAGTCACCGAAGGTGAAGGAAGAAGCTCCCAAGGTTGAAGAGGTCGACTCGCAGGAGAGTCAGGGCTCCGTCTTGGGCCTCTTTTTAGGAGGGGTCGAAGTCTGTGACCGAGAAGAAAACATCGGGTGAGTCGAGATTGGTTGTACTTGTTATCGCAACTATTGGGTGGAAGTCCTACCGTTTTCAGGCAATTCGCTGCTCGACCCAAGGAAGACTCCGGTGACTCCGGTGTTGTAGAGGGGGAGGCGGAGGATCATGCTGCGCTTGAGGCTGACGAGTGCAATGCGCCCGAATCCGAGGCTGTTGAGAAGGCTCCCGAGGTTGTGGATTCTCCCAAGACCAGAGTTGTTCAAGATGCGGTGAAGTCTCATATGGCTCAAGAATGTTCTGTGCCACCCTCACCGGAAGTTACTGCTTGCATTAAGCAAGAGATCAATGCTCCGGCCTTTGCACGACGTCCCTCTCGTGAACCAGAGGTTGTACCGGCTCGCTCTAGCATCGAGGTCAATCAGTAAGTCTCTGCCGTTCGACGCTGCAGCTCGTCATGTCTGTATGCTTCGTATCATATCTTTACCTTCAGGACTGTCAAAGCTGAGCGGCTCGGGGCCGGGGCGAATTCCACCAGAATCACGACCAAGAAGAAGTCTTTCTTCGCCGGACTCTGCGGCAGCCGGAGTCATGACTGAGCATACGAGGCTCTACGGACTCACAGAGACTGTGATCTCAGTATGTCCACGTGATGCATGCCAAACCGTGTATAGTACACTATCAATTAATGTCGACGCTATCATCGTTACCATGTGATGGCATACTCGCTGATGATTCTTCATGGAATCAGATGTCTCGCTGGAGAGCAAGTATTTCTTTATCACTGATTTATTTTGATCCGCTACTGACTGTATGAGTACACTGACTCCTGTGAGAGGGTCGTCCATCAATCTGAGGAATTTGAGTTGGTCAATTAGCGATATACTAGGGATAGCATGGAGGGAATAACAATTTTGTGTTTGGGTTCTGTTCATGATACTGCTTGGTAAACAGAGGGGTGGTTTTCCCCCATCTGTAGTTTGTGATACTGCATAGTTTGCACTTAGTGATGTTTTTTTTGAGTCTCATCCCAGTGAATTTCTGACTGTTAATACTCGTCAGGTATCCCTATTTACATCGTCGGGTTCCGAGCTTGGTTGCGCTACTCAAATTTGTTTTTGGATCTAGACCAGGATTTTGTAAATCGCGGGGACTAGAACTTCTGATCCCCGCAATTTACTTAGCAGTGGAGTGTGTTGTGGTGCCTGTGTTGTGACCGTTTCACATTGGCTTCGCTGCGTCCCGGCAGGCGCAGCGAGATGTACTAGCATGAAGCTTTCATGATCAAGTTGCCTATCAGTCTAACCTGTTTTTGTAGCTTTGGTTCCACGTTAGCTTTAACATCATGGCCACAAGTGTTGAAGTTCCCAACCACATCGATGTTGATCATCAAGCCGGGTCATACAATGAAGCTAATACGTTGAGCCCGATGGCGCAGTTTGCCGATGCTCCCATGGTGAGTTCTTCATTTTGTGGCTCTTGTTCACGTTGCTTCATTGGTTCGTTGATAGGCCTTATGGCAGTCGGTGCCTATCGCCCCGTCTCTCCCTTCTGCGGAGAACTTTGTTCCTCCTGATTTTACCGACAATTTCGTCCAGAAGTGTCTTCACCCGAGCAAGACTTTCCTGACAGCGGAAGGATTCGAACCCGAGGAGAATGAGTGAGTGTTAATTGAGAACTGTGCTTGCTGTTATGATATCATCATGTCATGCGACGTTTGCCTATGTAGGTCCAAAGATGAAGCACCGAAGGAAGAGAAGGTTGAGAGCGAGGAGAAAGTAACCAAGATCCGCATCCCCAAAGCCCCTCGGGAGCCCCAACCTGACTACTTTGGCCATCTTTTTGGTCACCCGTTGAGTGCCGATGAAGATGATGACGAGGCGGACGACGAGGAGAGTTCCGAGGCTGACAAGAGGCAACTCGTCACTAAGGACGGAAATGTTGACGCTAAGGACGATGATGTCGCCGGAGACACTGGTGATGTTGTAGCTAAGGCCAGCGATGTTGAAGAGGTTCATGATGAGGTGCGCAAGGACGACTGTGAGAAGCCCAAGGATGAAGATGTTATTGTGGCTAAGGTGGTCGAGGCCAAAGAGAAACCGTCAATCGCAGCTAGTAGCCCTGTTGAGAGAGTTTCTTGGGCGGACAACTCCGCTAAGGTCGAAGATGCCAAAAAAGATGACGAGCCTGAGGAGTCTGATGATGGCGATGATGATGTCGACTATTTCGGCCACATTATGGGTCATCCTATGAACCGAGGGTCTGGCAGCCATAAAACGAAGAAGCAACGCCCTCCAGCGCCGAAGGAGGACTCCCCCGCCAAGCCCTTCCCTAAGACCGAAGTTGAATCCCAGGAATCGCAGGGGTCCGTTCTCGGATTGTTCTTGGGAGGCATCGAGGTATGTGATAGAGAGGAGAACATCGGGTAGGTTGATTGTTGGGAGCTCGTAATTTATTCGCCTTTGTTTTCAGCCAATTCACTTCTCGTGGAGGGGATCCTGTAGACACCGCTGACATTGAGGCCGAGGTTGTCGAGGAGGAAGTGGCACCAGTGACTACGGATGAGTTGAAGGAGCCTGAAGTGTCTGCAGCGGAGGGGAGCAGAACTCCTCCTGCTACTCCTGTGAACGCTCCTGGAACTCCCGCTGCTGACGAGGATGAAATTGAGGCTACCCCGGTGCCGGAGATAGTCGACATTCGGGCTGAGCCACCCGTGGAAAGCAAACAGTAAAATCCATATGGTCATCGTAGAAAATTAAACTGCATTTTCTATTTTTAGGAGTCCCGAGAAGAGGAATAACGAGGCGATCGGTTCATCTAGCAGCGCGAAAGAGCCGACAAAGAAGAGTCGATCATTCCTCGGGAACTTGTGCGGCGGCAAGACCATGGACTAATTCGTTGGGTTTTCATCGTCCACAAAAGTGTTCCATGAGGCTGTGACTTTACGGGGTTATGCACGTCTACCGCAGTACATTATTTATCAATTAATCTCTGTGTGCTCAGTGATCGTTAGTAGAGTTAACCTAAAAAATATTTTGCTTTTGTGTTTATGAGTTTCCTTGGTGGATGCGGAATGGATCTTGCTACTATGAATTATCCTATTCATCCAAACCACCAGATAAACAGCGTCTGTTCAATCAGGGTCTGAGCTAGTGTAGTGTTGTTGATCATAGCTTAGCAGTGGAGTTTTGGTCACTGTCATACAAGATAGAATACCCGGCGCCTCGTGAGTCACGAGTCGTGACCCTGAAGAGAGAGAGGTTTGGAACTGCAGTTGTTACACCGGGGTGCCCTGTTAGTGGAGGCTTAGTGCAACTAAGGATGCTAGGTGAAGACATCGGTCCCAACTGTAGTAGTTGGAGTCGGAGTCGTTACAGTATGCAGTATGTCGTTACAGTACAGTATGCGGATATATCCCGGTTTTTTCCTGTTGACAACAGTCCTTGCCGTGATGAACGAGACGATTTGAAAGGCTAAAACTGATCTCTCGTGAGCTGATGTGCATCGATGCGAGTCTGACTGTTGTCGACGTTGGACTTCAAACTCAAACACACAGACGTTTCAGGGAGGAAGAAACTGCTGGAGCAGCATTGATTTGTCGTTCTGTTCTAAACAAGCTCGCGACCTTCGACTCGAAGTTGAATTTTTCGAGACGCCGTACAGCCCTTTATCGCGAATTATCTCGAGTACCTAAAGGACTCACTGCTCTTCAACAGGGGCGTAGGAGGATCCTCGTGGGACTCACGAATCGCCACTTCATGAGAAGCGAAGCTGAGCGGGAACTCACCTGCTTGGGGATGATGGACACAGCACCGAGCCAGCCAAGCTCCCGCAGTCTATTTCGCGCTGCGGTACTGCTAATATCAGTGGTGAGGAGAGGTGGATTCGCAGTAACTCGGTCGGTGACCTTCATATACTTGAACCCTTCCGGCCACTCGGACTCTGGCTTAGAGTCAGGCCTGATTTTGATGTGGTGACTGCACCAACAACAATTGTGACACGCTCTCCTCACCGTGGCAAAACTATGAATTCATTTTCAGCTATCAGTTCGGATCCATGGTCCCAGTCGAGTAACGTTGATGGCAAGTCGCTGCCGATGACGAAGCGGAACGTGATGTTGGGATAGCGCTCTCGGAGGCGACGCATGAGGGAAACCGTGGGAATGAAAGAGCCATTGGCCACCTGAGAACCGTCAGTGGAAAATACTCCTACAGAACTAACTCACTTCAATGTCGCAACATTTGACTGGAAACTCGTCAGGCATGACTGCCTCTATGGCGACCTGAGTCATCCGCAGTCGTGTCGCCGCATCAACGCGAGTATCCTTGTCGGGTCTGTTGCCACATGGAATCATCCACGCTTCGTCGGCACAACCAAGCTGAACCACCTGACCAGAGTCAAGACCACGTCGGGAGCGCGACCGATTCTAAATGCAGTATGGAAGGGCCATGCAGTGCGAGAAATCTCCTACACCTGTTGACACTGACCTGTGACGCCACCATGAGATGAGCAAAAGTAGGAGGATCAAACGAGCCACCTATGACTGCCACTGTCTTCCGGGGGTGTGTCGTTGCTGCACTAGCATTTACGTTGGTCATCCAGTGATAAGCGATTCGATATTAACTGATATGTGACAAGACCCAGAAAGCATAATCCACCACTTGAGGAAATACCACTAGTTGTGACTCGCTTCCAGGCTCAACTTTTGGCACTAAGTCCGGCAATGACGCCCGTAACGGTAGAAAATGCACTCGTTTATAGCTGTCATTACCACCTATAGATAATCGTGATGAATGCGGTTCAATTTGCTCGATACTTCTCGAGATACGACTAGATATGATTTCGTGTTATGAACTTGCGCCTGGAGTCTGTGGAAGTTGTAGCTGCGTTGTCGAAGCACCACGACGGATGATCGATTCCGAAAATGCAACTAGGCTCGCCGGTTGGAGTGAGCCTCTTCTCCCCTCGCCGTTTTCTTACAACAAAGTACACAACAGTACTGGTACTGGTGTTCATGAAACCAACAAGATACTAACTTACAGTCCAGGTTGTCTCAACCGATACCTCCGGGGAGGTTCCTTGTAGTATCAACAAGTACTGTACATATTTACTGCGACTTGCACTACTCACACAGGAGGAGAGTCACGAGCATGAAGATTTGCTTGCACCACAGCCCGCCTCGACTACAGAGTCGAGAGTGTTTGGTTGGAGAAACAACGCTATAGAGAGCTTAGTTGAGTGATGGTGAATCTTGCGCTGTTTACGAAAGATGTACGTACACCTCTGATTTTGCCCTCGACAGCAACGTTCTGTCCCACATGAGCATCCTGTGAGCCCCATCCTATTCGTGCTAGTATTATACCTCATCGAAGAAAGCTGGTAGTGTGGATGAGATTGCGCCGCTCACTGATGAAGGAAGGGACTTCGCTATAGGCTTTACGTTGACCGTGTGTGAAGCCTTGAGTCACTAGTCTATCCCTTCATCTTTTTGCCTTTTCTGCCCATGGGTGGGACAGTAGTGCTTAACTCCAAATTGTGGAACTATGAAGCATAATCTTCGCTGCTACAGGTTCACGAAAATAGAGGGCAGATAAATATCTCGCTCGCCATGACGATCGATAGCTAAATGCACCGTGTTCGGCCTGAGTAAAGCTCTAACACGAGTGAAGACAACATCACCCTGTCGACACCATGAGTAAGCTCTCTATCGACAACCTGAAGACTGCTATTGCTGCCATCCTGGAGGCCTCTCAGGAGAAGCCCAGGAACTTCTTGGAGACTGTTGAGCTCCAGGTAATAGGAACTACTAGGGTTCACAGGAATTGCGTGTGTCGTGGTGGTGGTGGGAAGAACGGATGATGCCTTCAGAAACTTGAATTCCGATGCTTGCCCTTGGGCTTGTGCATGTTGGATAAACTTCACTGACGTTCGCCTTTACCGTTTGAATGGATTCTTCTCCATTCAGTGTAGATGGTTGTTGCTTATGTCGCTTCTGTTGTTATCAGGTCGGACTCAAGGATTACGATACCCAGCGCGATAAGCGTTTCTCTGGTACCGTCAAGCTTCCCCACGTCCCCCGCCCTAACATGAAGATCTGCGTCTTGGGTGACGCCGTCCATTGTGACGAGGCCTCCAAGCTCGGCGTTGACTTCATGAGCGTCGATGACCTTAAGAAACTCAACAAGAACAAGAAGCTCGTGAAGAAGCTTGCCAACAAGTATGATGCCTTCCTTGCTTCCCAGGTGTTGATCCCCCAGATCCCCCGTTTATTGGGACCTGGTCTTAACAAGGCCGGTAAGTTCCCTACCCTTATCACCCACAACGACGATATGTCCAAGAAGATTCACGACATGAAGTCCAACGTTAAGTTCCAGCTTAAGAAGGTGCTTTGCATGGGTGTTGCCATTGGCAACGTCGGCATGTCCGCTGATGAGCTCAAGCAGAACTCTTTGATGAGCATCAACTTCCTCGTCTCCCTTCTTAAGAAGAACTGGAACAACGTGAAGACTCTTCACATCAAGTCTACTATGGGCCCCGTTCAGCGTATCTACGGTTAAGCTGTAACGTGGCAGGGTGAGAGGCAGGCAGATAACGGGTCGTTGTTATTAGCAGTCTTCGGTGCACCAGTCACTGAGGCCTCATACTACTGATGGCCCTATACTGGGAGATGTTTGTTCGTCACCAGACCGAAGAACTCCGTTGATTTGCGTTGTAACACGGTAGTAGCAAACTGTGTGGGTCTAACCCGTGAAGGGCGGATATGAGGAAAAACAATTCAACCACCTTGTCTGATCGCCGGCCTTCGTGGTCGGATGACGACAAAACTCTGTCATGCATCACCAACTGATCCGCTCTAGTGCTCAATGGGAGAGGAATTTATAGCAAGTCTGCTAGGGTGATACTGTTGTACGAGGTCTAGGGTATTGTTAGGTTGTAGTTGCTCCATGTCGGGTTCAATCAGAGCGGCATCCTCACTATTGCTGATGAGCATGGCTGGTCTCGGGCATTCGAAGTCTATCATGGATCAACGCTTCTACTGCTATCTAGTGTTGTTGTGTTGATGTGAGGTCAGGCTAATCTAGCCAGCATGCGGGTATCGCTACGGGTAGAGCTACTCGTCCTCCTCTGGTCGGGATAGCCTCATAACGGCAGGATCGCCTGTGATGACGTGTCGTTGTTACTGTCGATCTGTCTGTAGTATGTATGCCGCAGTGGTGATGGGCTAATATAACTGGAGTTCTCCCTGATATGCATAGGTTACTTCTGAGTGGTTTAGCGGTGGTTAATGTTGACCGTACCAGCCTGAGCAAGAGTGCCAATCACGGCACGAATTGAACAAAAATGGTCTTTTTGTCGTTTTGTTACTCCAGAGTGGAAGTGCTGTCGCTTGTTACAAGAGTGGTAGAGAGAAAGGGTGTGAATTCGCATTTCTCTCGAATCTTCGACTTGATATTGTCTAGTGCTGTCCAGTGGCCTCGGTGTAACGATGACTTCGCCATTGCCGGAACAGGAAGGGCCGAAACGCAGACTGATGTATGCCTTCGAGCTGGCGGATTTGATAGGTGCGAAAATGACACCAGAAATGATGTACGTTGAAGGCGACCTTGGCAAAATGCAAAGTGGACAGTAGGCATGTAGGTATGAGCGGTGGATGGTGCGACGAGAGAATCCGGAGGCAGCATTCAGGAGCCGCTCTATGGTGAGCGAGCCAAGGGAGCGTTACGCCTTGCCTCTTATCACCAAGAAAGGGCGTGTTGGAACTAGGTGATAGTGTCACTGTGGATGTGGAGCTGTCGGCCTGTACAGTTATACTGGAGGAATGCACAGAGGTAAGGTTGCTCGGAAGAGAAAGAACATGAAGAAGTTGCGGCGAGAGTTGCCTCCTGGCGAGCCGGTTTCTGTTGCGGTCCAGTAAGCCTACTCAAGTCGATTATTTTGCTTGCATTCATCGTACTCTGAGCTGCCGTTCTACTCACACGATGTGTCCTTGGGATGGTAGGACACCTCGGTGGTGGCGGATGCCTCCAATTGGAGAGCTCGTTACACCTGCGTGTCGGAAAGAGACGAAGCCCACCTGTTCTAGGTAGGCTTTTCTTGAACTGCTGTTCTGCAGGCACTTGGCTGTTTTCGGATTCAACCGTTATAGCTCGACGCATCGGGGTTTGTATTTGATCTGGTGGTTGCCAGGACAGCTCGGTCGGAGAGAAAGTCCCCAATTGGAGAGAAGACAGCGTTGCGTAAATCTAGGTGGGACTGCATTACTCTCACACGGGGCTATTGCTGTGCGTAGGGCAACACTCGATGATGAACTTCCGAGAATTCCCAGAGCCTACAAGGGGTATCGATGGACCTCAGAGTGCGATTGTGAGGTCGCTCGTTCAGGTCTAGTCGCGGACCATGCGGCTTCCTCGGACCATTGAAACCTACGTGTCCTCGTATTCCCAAGGACAGAGAGGAGCGGAAGAGGGAAGGAACCGAAGCCATGAGTAACGCGCTTGTGAGCATCGCACGTTGCATTGAATATCCGTCTCAGGAATGCCGCGGAGGTTGCAGAGGCGGCGGCGAGCCAATCGACTTACGTCTTGTAATAGTCTCTGTCACGTTGGTCCAATGGTGGGGCTTACTAGGTCGGCCGGACTTTGTCAAGATGGGTCAGCAGCGAGGGAAGACTACCTCCTTTGAAGACTGGTTGAAGATTCAGCGAGAGGTTGAAGCTAGGTAGGTGCTTCTGAACACTGTATCGCTGTAGTGTAGCGGAGTCACTGCGTGTGTTGGGCGTTTTAGGGAAGCGGAGGAGAGGGCGGCGACAGAAGCTGCTGCTGCACTGGAGGCTGCTGCTGCTGAACCGGATTTGGCCCCGCAAAGGCCTCGGTACTACTGCGCAAAGTCTGTGCTGGGGGCTTGCTCCCAAGCAGGGTATTCTCATGGCACATTTAGGCGGTCTACTGTTTTTAAGGAGAGCCGGTCTGTCGAAGGATCCGTTGACTTCACGACTCGTCCTTCTGTTGTCAAGCTCCTACGTACTAGGTTGTGGCAGCCACATCAGGTTGACCAATGTGAGTTAATTCTGAATCGATTTGGCGGGATTGGAAACTCATCCACGATTTGATGTGTTCTGGAACTTTTATCACGCGGTTGGTTATCATCTGGCTGTCGCGCTTCAGGGTCGATTGAGAAGCGCGAGGAGTCAAGGGAGAGTTCGGAGTCTAGCAGTTCTGAGTCTTCAACGCAGAGTGTTCGCGTGGCCCCGCGACCGAGGATGCCCCGTCGGGCGGCAGGGCTCATGTAGCGATGCGGAGCGGCCTATGACTATGCGGTGTAAAGCGTTCGTTGTAGTCTCAGCAAGGAACCCCATCGCTGGTATGTTCGGCCGACGTACGATGTGCTACCGACCGTTTTTATGGATATGGTCACCGAAGAGGAGAGCCGATTGAGACGACTGGCTAAGGTTAGCAAGGAGGGTGCGCTGTCGTCGCATCGAGCTCATCTGCTGAGCGACTTGGATGGATTTTGTGTCCATCCGGTGTAGACTTGACCTTTTGTGTACACTGTGAATGAGTAGGATGTCCTCAGAAATACGGCATGAGTATACTCGATGTGGAGAAGGTGAAAGCGGAGCTTGAAAGCTATGATGTGGACGGCTCGGGTACCATCGACAAGGTGAGCAACAGTCTGCAGTCTCGATGGCCTATTGCTGTACTTACTTGCCAGGGGGAGTTCTATTGCTTTATTCGGAACATCTTTGGAGCCAAGGACAAGTACGATATCCCCGAGAAAATATTGGAGGTAGCAACTTGTCACTCAACTCGGACTGGTGTATGGGTGAGATGCACTATCAGGAATTCTGGAAGATGTTGAATGCTGGCGACTCGGGAGAAGTCACCTTGGAACAGTTCCTCGCCTTCTTTTGGAAGTACTTCTGGACGAGGGGCTTAGACACTCCCGGAGCTCAGATCAGTATTGTGAGTCCGACTGGTGTTAAATTTGATGGAGTCGCTCTGATTTTGTTCCGATGCTTCTTAGCTTGATTGTATAGGGCGGGTGCCGACGTGGTCAGAGGAGCGGATCGTGGAGATCGCCTTTGGTGAGGCTAGCTTCTATTTATGCATTGTGCTGTGCATTGAGAAATGCTGCTCTGACTGCTACTTCAGGCAACTTGCTCCAGACGCTCGCGAGAGGCTTGGAGGTTGAGGACTCCGGGAACGCAGGAGGTAGGCAGCTACTGTGCGGTTGCTGACGTACTCGTTGTTGAATTCACTCCAGATAAGGAGTGTGTTGAGCCTGAGCCGGCGAGCAAGAAATTGATCAGAGCCGTTCTATTGAGGATACTGGGGAAGTGACTGCGGAGGTACACGTCGTGCGGTTACAGTTTACCATGAGTCTCATTAGCGTGTTGAGAAAACTGTCTTGCGTTGGTTGTGAATATATGCTTTGTAGAGGACCCGGGTTCGAATCTTCCATCCGTCATTTCTAACCAAGGGGCTCAGCACTATCACTCGACTGTGAAGGCGAGGGGGCGGCGCTGTATAGTTGTCACGACTTTGCTGTTCTTGGCATTTGGATTGCCACTCTTAACTCCATCCACTCCTTCGCACCTTCGAGATGCATGTTAACGATGATAAAGTCGGCGCTCGTTGTGGCGACTTTGCGGATTGCGTTGTAGTTATTGCTGCCGATTGATTGATTGAGAGACTACTGCAGGGTCCACCCTGGGGATGGGCCTCCTGTCCCGGCAATTGTGCTATACTGACCATCAGAGGGTTAGATGATTGGTCTATAGAACCAGGTTGGTCGTAGAGGCTAGATTGACGTCGCACCGAGAATAGGGGTGGTCTACAGCTTCTTGGGAATCGGTTGGAGAGAACATGACATCTCCAGTAGAGAAGCCTACGCGGTTCTACACGGCCTCTCGGCCGTGGATGTCTCCTGCGAGGCAAGGGAAGGGACATACAACGACCTTGGTTAACGGTAAATTATCAAAATCTATTAGTGCGGTGTGCGCAGGCTGGTGGTAGGCCAAGCATCATCATCGAATCGAACATCTCCGAGGACCCCAAGACCTTCACCCGAGAATGCTGTGCAGTCACAGGGTGAGGGTAGCGCTCGTATCTTGAATGCTTTTTGAAAGTTATGGTATCAGAATTCCTGGGTAGGTGCAGGTAGGTGGGCAATGTTGTGCCTTGAAATTGCTACCGACTCTGATTGAGACCTTGATATCGAACGCTGAGAGAGTTGATGGTATATATAGGCTCGAATGATAGCACTACGATACAATACATAGGGAAGTCCTCAGTCGTGTTGCAGGTGTGTCGACACCTCGACGCTCGGTCGAGAAGTGCGTGGTCGAAGTCGCTCGACTGAAGCAACGGAGGGAAGCCAGGAGACGAAAGTCCGCCGAGAAACGTCTCGAGAGGGATCAGGTCGGCTACCTTCACGAGCACTGTATGAGCTAGACTACCACAGGAAGAAGAGACTCTAAAGGCTGCTGGGTATGCCTGTTGCGATGTCCAGTTCGAGCGGATGATACGAGAGTAAGAACACATCGTATTGTAGCGCCGAATAACAGTTCGCCTCAGGTTCAGAGCAACCTCCTTGAGGAACGGCTGCAGCTCGACGGCTCATCGTAGGGAAGGCCGGTCACGTTGTGAACGTTCTCTGTTGGTTGATTAGATAATACTGACGGGCGAATACGAGTGGTGGTGCGGAAACGGCCACTGTTCGAGTATGAGAAGAAGGTGGGGGCCTGCCTGTTGTTGTGTGTGTACAGCATACGGGTGCTGGCAGCCGAGTGGTGGTAAGCCGGGTCAGCTCGATATAGTTTCCATGAGCAATCCGAGAGTACTGGTACACGAGTGTAAAGTGAAGGTCGATGGAATAACCAAGTGGGTCTAGTCGTATCAGCGCGGTGGCTGCTCGTAGTAGTGCAGATTCCTCGAAAGTCACGAGTTTGCATTCGATCGGACGTATTCGGAGCGCTGTGGCACGGGCGAGGTATGATTGCAAGAGGACTCTCCTCGACTAAGTCTTCATCATTGTAGTTGTACAGGACCTGCATAGAAGGTCCGACTGAGGAAGTTCTACGGGATGGTGGCCGGTGAGGCCCATGGGGTAGCTTGGGAGGGTCCCCTTCTCGCGACAGGTTCACTGTGTTCGCGTACGGCCAGACAGGATCAGGGAAAACGTACACGATGGTGGGGATGGAGGCGAGATTAGTCACGAAGATCTTTGGGGAAGGCAGGGATAGAAAAAGCGTAAGAAAGGCTCCTTGGGGAGCCGTACTTCCTGATGGTCCTACCTTAGGTGCACGTATCGTTCTACGAGATATACGGCGGCCGGGCGTATGATCTCCTCAATCGTCGGAATAGACTGAGGGTAACTATCAAGAATAGGTCTGTGAGATGCTTAGGCTACGTAGGTCCTCGAGGACTCCAGCCAGGAGGTGCAAATTCCCAAGTTGCTGGTGCGTCGGGCCACAACAATCGACGAACTCTCGGCCATACTGTGTGAGACGAGTGACTGTTAGCACTGGCCTGCTACGGTTGTGTAGATGCGGGTAATTCAGCGAGGACGACCTTTGCGACCACCTCTAACAAGGACTCGTCCCGAAGCCACGCTGTATGTGTTATCTCCACAACATCGAAGCGTGGGCCTGAGGCTAGGATCACCCTTGTTGATCTAGCTGTAGGGTGTAGGATTCGCATAGAGAATTCTATGGTGATTTGCTATGATTAAATACCATTACGAACCTACAGTGTACTGAGATGGTTCTATCAACGGGGAATGAGTGGCCCGCCACGTGTTCGTGTGAGTGTTGGAGGATGAGGAGGCGCGTTGATGGTATCAGGGCTCGGAGCGGGCGTATGACTCACAGTCCCACCGACTGGAGAGGCGAATCGAAGGAGCGGAAATCAATAAGAGTCTACTAGCCCTGAAGGAGTGCGTCCGTGCTTGCGACTCCGGCAGGGCCCATGTACCGTTCCGGGCGAGCAAACTCACAATGGTGAATTCGCACCCATATGGACCAGAGCCTAGCCCCGTGTAGGTTCTCCGTGACGCCTTCCTGCATGAGGGTGCTAGGATGGTGATGATAGCATGCATCAAGCCCGGCCAGCGCAGTGGCGACCACACATTGAACACACTCCGGTGCTGGGGTTGGCCATGGGCTGAGTCTGACATCTATTAGTTCCATTTACAGTTATGCGGCTCGCCTGAAGCGGTCGTTCGCTGTACCCGATTTGGATGATGCCGCGCCGCTGGACAGCGCACTTGCTCCTCGCGATGTTGAGTCTCTCGAGAAGGTCTTTCTCAGCGGAGTTGCGAGGAAAACTTCACGGGGTAGATCACCAACGCCTCCCAACCGAATGCCTGTACCGGTGCTGCAATGAGCATAGGGCACCCCGACTCTTGCTCGCCAGGCCACTCCCCGGTTAAACGATGTCGAGCCCGGTGAGACCTTCCACCGATGGACGAGTTCGCGGTCACCCAGCTTTGGAAGACACACCCCGTCACGGGTGAGAAACCGTCTGTGGATCCTGAATAAGTTCTCAAGATCTTCTCGATATCTCACTTGTGTTAGTCTTCGAGTACATCTTCTGCCCGATCGTCATCCGAGGAGACTTTGTCTGGGGCCGACCTCACTGAGATCAGCATCTCAGCAGAAGATAGGTTGGGACATAGTAATCTAATTTTACCTCTATATATCTCACCGGATCGAAGGATTTATGTGGGTCATTTAGACATCTTCCGATGTAGTCTAGCTGGTTAGGATTCGTGGCTCTCACCCACGCGACCGGGGTTCGAGTCCCCGCATCGGAACTTTTTCTCGGAAATTCATGTGCTCTCGCTGCTCTTCATATCATCTTGGTCAAGCTTATTTCGTATCTCTGTAGGTACTCATCGAGCAACGAGTGGAGAGTATCTGAGCTCCGGGGAGCGAACGACACTTCCTGAGTACTACAGGTACAGACTCTCGACTCGACGTGATCGACCCCAACTCTACCCTCCACATCTCGAGGGATGAATTTTCTTAGCCCGCGACTTCACATTCCCATTCTAGGCTGGAATCTCTCCCCGACTCCGAACCTACGGCTTCTTCTGACGGATCGGCGCCTGAGGAGGCGTTGGAAGAGGCTTCGATAGTCGCTGGAGAAGCCACGCCTATGACCGTGGATGAGGTCATGGAGGAACACCTGAAGGCTATTCAAGGCGATGCCGCCTTGCTTGCCGCAGAGACTGCACTTTTAGCAAAGGTGACTACCCTGGCACCCCACACAAAAGACAGGGAATTTGAATGTTCTATGGCTTAGACAAAAAGAGAAGACGGTTTGAGAGGTTATGTTGACGAGGCTCGGCAGATATGTGAGAGGAAAGTACTGTTCTTCACCATCCCTCATGCACTCTCTCTCTGTGAAGGGTGCGCGTCATCCTAGTGTCAGGTTGACCTGTACAAAAGCCTCTGGCGAGACCTGAGTAGTCTCGCCCGTACTATCGAGGCTCAGCCTGGTCAGCTCTGAGTCAATGTCGTGTGGTAATATCATTCCATTCAGAGTGATAATATTTTGCGATCATACTTCATGTTTCTTCTTTTCAGGGTAATGTTGAAATATCTTCGATTCAACGTTTTCAGAGCTGTGTCGTATGCGGCTGGTCCCCAGTAGTGAACATCTACTTGGACAGAAATGCAGCTGAGTCGTGGCATGTTCGATGTTCTCGAGATGTCTACTTGATACTGACGTATTTTTGCTGGTCCTGGCGTCGCGTTCGTCTCAATGATGATAGGTATTGGAGGATGTTACTCTGTAGTTACCACCGTTCGGCCCTTCACCGGTACCTAGCGTACCAGGTTCCATATTCAGTTCGCTCATTGCTGACATTCATTTAAAACATGCCTTCTGCGTTGGTTGCGGTTGCTAACGGCTCAGAAGAGATCGAGTTCAACGCTACAGTCGATGTGCTGGTAAGAGGGGGGAGGTATCGGGCAGGATCACAGCCTCAGCTCGCCCGTTCTACCACCTCCAATCGCGCGTGTATGCCAGGCCCGAGGTGGCTGTGATGTCACAGTAGCTTGTCCTGGACACGACTGCAACGTGAAGCTGAGTAGGGGCGTATGTGTCATGGCGGACATGACTCTCGAGCAGGTGGGGTATCTCATCAGCTCCTCCCTTGGTGTCGGATGGTCCGTCACCTCAGGCCTCTGGCATGCAGTTCGATATGATCGCTTGCCCCGGTGGTATGCCTGGTGCTAAGCACCTTGGAAGCGATGCTTTCCTTTCTAAGATGCTCAAGGTAACCCATCGCAGGTCTACTGGGCAATAAGCTAAGTATATCGTCAGAATCAACACAAGAAGGGGAAGTGGGTAGCTGCCATATGTGCCTCTCCGGCTGTTGTCCTCGCGCCTAACGGTATCTTAGACGACGTAATTGTTAGGCTCGGTCACAGACTCTGGGGTGTCATTGATATCCCCAGGTTGAGCAGTGCACATGCTACGACGCGCCCGTGTTCCGCGATGTCATCGTGAAGAAGCTCAGTCCCGAGCGCGTAGTTGTCTCGAACAAGGTGAGCAGTCCGCCCAATTGGCCTCACTTGAGCTGTATATCTTTTGTTCAGGTCATCACTAGCATCGGACCAGGTTCCGCCATCGAGTTCGGTCTAGAGTGCGTGGCTCAGCTCCAGGGTCGTGACAAGGCGGTAAGTGCTCGGCATAGGGTTATGTTTCCATTGAATGGTTCATAGGTATCTGTTGCTAAGGCTTTGCTCGTGACTCCGGATGTTGTTCAGCGTCTACAGGCTGCTGGGAAGAACTAGGGAAGGAGGCCTCTAATCTCCACCGACTTGTGCGGACCTCAGCGAATCTTATATTGCTTATGCGATTCAAATTTTATCATTCCATGAATTGTGTTGAGTTGATTCCGTTATGGCTTCATGCCCCTGTAACTCCAGCATCCAGCTGACTCTCTCGTGAACAACAAAGTTGCTACTTGAATGTGTGTAGGTACAGCGTTGAAACCCGAAAATAGAATAGAAAAGAAGATATGGCGGAGATTGATATCTGACGATTGTCTTTTATTCATGCCTCAATTGACCAGCCAATATCGTTTCTTCATCGGGTCGCACCGCAAGGTTAGATCAAATTGGGGAGCGAAAACCATGAGATCCGAGCTTCCAATCTTCTTCTGATGAGCAGACCAGGACTGTCCCAAAGAACTCCGGCGAATTGTCACGAAGTTTATGGTACTTCCCTAGTATAAGTTAGTACGTCGAGGCTAAGAATTTTAACCACTTTTCGACTTCTCACTAACTCCGAAGAGTAAGGCCCTGAAATTTTGGAGGTTATATCATGTGGAGCATTAGAGCACACCTCCTTGAGCTGCCCTCCTTGAGGGGACTGTGTACGAGAGATATGCTAAGGATTTGTGGAGGGGTGTGGAAGTGGTTATTCTCGAAGTGTTATAGAGCGGAAGAAGCGGGAACTCCATGGAGCTCCAGAACAATAGTGAGCGGCTGACCTTCGTGAATTTTTAGTGAGCTAGCTGTGAGGGGCTAGCCTCAGTCTGTATCAGTCTGCTATGAGTGGCTGGCCAGGCCAGCCTGGCAATTTTTTGCTCGTGTGGGCGGTTCAGACATTGTTGCCGATTGCTCAGTTTCTCGCTCCTGATAAACAATGTGCCCACTCGTCGTCAGCGCGCAAAGCATAAAACTATGTAAGGTTCATAAGTAACAAGCTGGGAGTCATAACTTTAGACTTTTTCAACAAATTTAGGTGAGTATGGATAAACCAAGCAGGTGGGTGCTTAGGTTACCACAGGTGCTTGGAGTTACAGATAAAGCTCGGATTTGCACGCCCTGTATCGATTTACAGCGTGAGCTTGGGAATCCCAAGTTGGGATTGGCCATGGTAGCCTCGTTCATGTTCACTCTTCGTGTCGAAGGTGCACCGCTCTTTTATGCGAAGTTGAATTCTTAGGACGAACTGCGTCAATCTGACCACATTGTTGACCATGGATATAGTTATGCACTTGAATTGCTGAAGTAGAAGGCGATCCCCTCGACCCGTTCAGTATGATCATTTACCATGCGGATACTGTAACGCAGAGCAGGTAAGTAGTTCAGTTACGGTGATTTAGATAAATAATCTTTTGAAAATTTTAATATTACCAGAGATGCGAACGCATAAAACGTACCGATGCATGATGAAAGCTGCACTCACGGTTCGTAAGATGATCCTACTCCTTAACGATCGAAACTCATGTATCAAAAACATCAACGGAAAGATAATCGAATATCTGACAAGCGACTTGATAGTGTAAACCACTGGGATTGAGTAACCAGTGATTTGATGTCGCAAAGACACGTGGCGGGGAATGTGTCCGGATAGGCTAAACGCCGAGGGGAAGATAATAAAATCACACGGTTACCGCACCACGGCATCCAACATGATCACGTAGTGACGACATCGTTCGAAGAAGAACGCCCGAGGCAGAGTGTCGAGACACGAGCTTCGGGAACGATCTGCAACCGTTCGATATCACCGAAGCAGAGTGAACCATGGGATTCGGATCGGGATTAGGAAAATACTGACGATTCAAAATTATCTGCCAACCATTGGCGCATTGCCTTCCAGCGACTGACAGAAAAATGACCTAGTTCTATATCGTAATTGTTAGGTTGCGCGAGGGGAGAGGGAAAGTTTTCCACACGTGCACGTCCCTAATAGTGAAGCCAAAAAGATGTACGTCCGAACTGACGCAGATCTTAATCTCGAGCGGATCCGTGGGGAATTCGCGATCAACGAATAAAGGCCCAGCAGTGATGAGGTCGCCGTTCGAAACAACCCTATTGATAGCAGCGCTTCCCGCTAAGTTGAGAGTCGGGAGGATCAACTGACCTAGAAACCACTGACGACGACCACTCGTTACGTAAACTGGAGTGGGCAGCAACATAAGAACGGCAGGGAATTGAACGCCAGACACTTCGATAGACGATCGGGATTCATAGCATTTGTATTCAGGTCCTAGGGCAAGGCATGGGGCCTCCCTGCCGATGTGTAGATCTCGAATCGACCATGTAGACTGCTCGACCGTCATTCTGGCTATATAAGGAACCGCGACGAACTGTAAGAGAAGTCTGGCTACCATCACCAGACAGGAAATTGTCCATATGAAGGAGCCAATCGGAAGACGACAAAATAATGATGACTGCTTCTTCTTGTGTAAAGGGACTGGTCGCATTCAAAGCCAGACTGAAGCAAAGCTCCTTGAATCAGTGCCCGAGTTCGCTAGGCTGAAGGAGGGGTGGTCACTGGCCACTGGCCAGTAGTAGCAAGGGGAGTTCACGCGTGAAAGTTGTGAGTTCCCGCACAAAGCCGTCTGGCACACGCGTCCCGAGGGTGATGGCATCCACAACCGTTGGCCTTCTGAGCAGTCAGGCTGGAGGTGCAGTAATAGATCGCTTCACTCCCAATTGAACGGGGCGGGATTGCCTCGTATATTCATACTCTTCGTGCCGAAGGTGCACCGCTCTTCTATGCGAAGTCGAAATCTTAGGACGAGCTGCGTCAATCGGACCACATGGTTGACCATTGATATAGTTATGCACTTGAATTGCTGGAGTAGAAGGCGATCCCCTCGACCCGTTCAGTATGATCATTTACCATGCGGATACTGTAACGCAGAGCAGGTAAGTAGTTCAGTTACGGTGATTTAGATGAATAATCCTTTGAAATTTCAAATATTACCAGAGATGCGAACGCATAAAACATACCGATGCATGATGAAAGCTGCACTCACAGTTCGTCAGATAATCCTACCCCATAACGATTAAAAGTATCAAAAATATCAACGGAAAGATACTTGAGTATCTGACAAGCGACTTAATAGTAAAAACCACTGGGATTGAGTAATCCTAACCAGCGATTTACGTCGCAAAGGCACGTGGCGGGGAATGGTGCCTGGATAAGTTGAACGCCGAGGGGAAGATAATAAAATCACACGGTTACCGCAGCACGGCATCCAGCATGATCACGTAGTGACGACATCGTTCGAAGACGAACGCCCGAGGAGTGGAGACATATCGAGATACAAGCCTTCGGAACGATCTGCAACCGTGTGATATCACCGACGGAGAGTGAACCATGGGGTTCGAACCGGGATTAATGAGGCCGCCGTTCGAGACAACCCTATTGATAGAACCGTTTCTCGCTAAGCTGAGAGTCGGAAGGATCAACTGACCTAGAAACCACTGACGACAACCACTCTTTACGTAAACTGAGGTGGGCTGCAACGTGAAAACCGCAGGGAATTGAACGGCAGACACCTCGATAGACGATCGGCCTTCATAGCATTTGTATTCTGGTCCTAGGGCAAGGCATGGAGTCTCCCCTCCCCCTGATGTGCACGTCTCGAATTGACCATGTAGACTGCTCGACCGTCATTCTGGCTAGACAGGGAACTGCGACGAACTGTAAGAGAAGTCTGGCTACCATCACCAGACAGGAAATCGTCCACATGAAGGAGCCAATCGGAAGACGACACCATAATGATGGCTGCTTCTCCTCGTATGACGCGGCTGTTCGCATTCAAATCCGGACTGAAACAAAGCTCCATAAATTAGTGCCCGAGTTCGCTAGGCTGGGAGTGTGGCCAGTGACGGTGAGAGGAGTTCACGCGTAGGAGTTGTGAGTTGTCGCACAAAGCTGTTGGGCCCGCGCGTGCCGAGGTTGAGGGCATCCACGATTGTGCGCCGTGCGAGCAGTCATCCTGGGAGAGCACTCATCCTGGGAGAGCAGTCGTAGGTCGCTCAGTTTCAATTGAACGGATTGTCGATCAATTTTGATGATCTTTTCCACACTCCTGAGTGGAATCAGCGATATTATACGTCCGCTGAACACTCTGGTCACGCTTTACAGTTTAACGGAACTTCAATGATGCAGATGTTGAGGCTATGAACAATTTTCGGCCATGCTCCGACTTGATGTTATATCTGCGGCTAAGTTATCGACTGGGCCGCTTAGCCTGGCTGCAGTTGCTTCTCATCACTGCTCAGTTTGGGTGGAATCAACAATCTCTTTTATGGCACGGGTGTTGTTTGGTGACGCTTCTTGGATTGAACTAAGAAAGCCATCTACTAGAGGGGGAATCCTAAGATTGATGACTTTTATTTTACTATCGCTGGTTTCCACTGGTAAACTAGCATTAACAAATAAGGTTGCGATATTGCTGGACTGTTAAGTCGAAAAGTGGTCGAGGCGGAGTATCGCGCGGAGGGTCCTGCCACGAAGGAGTGGGATGAAAACAAAACACGACTCACTGGGGGAATTGCGGATCTACAGAGGAAGGCCGCTAACCAGGACAACTCAATGCGGCTCGGAAAGAGCGAGAAAGCATGGCGATGGGGTTGGTCTACACGCTTTACAATCTGTATGGGAAATCTAGAGAAGACGCTGGAAGTTCCAATGGAAAGTTCAAGCTGACGAGTACAAGGTTGATCTGTGCTGAACGGAAACAGATGGCCGGAAAGACATAGTGAATTTATCTGAGAACTAACTGTGACGAATTTGCATTCAGCCAATCGCCCATGGAAGGTGGAGGCGCAGGGCTACGACGGAAGTAAAGAAGGAAGTGGCGAGGAGCTAGAGCAACTAAGGTTGGTCGTTTGTCCTGTCAAGAGCATTCCTGACTTGTGGCCAGAAGAGCAAAGAATCTTCTGGATGCGGAATTGTCCGCAGTGGATGCGAATGCGCAGGAAAAACTTGAGCAGGAACGCTGTTCTCGCTGTCAGGTGAGATCAAGACACTTTCCTTTCGGTGCTGTATGATTCCACAGGATTCATCGATCATGTCGAGTGTCTGTGAAAAAATATGCGAATTGTAGATGAGGAGCGATGAGGCTATACGCACGTTGGAAGACAGAGTGCGAAGAAGGCAGAAGAGGAAGGACAAAGTGGTTGAGGGGCTCAAACCGAAACTGTCCAAAAACGGAGTCTTAGCTGAGGAGCTCGGAGGAATCATCTCACGACAACGAGAGGAGATACGATCATTGCCGATATCCGGCATGGACTCGAGACTGTCTCGTAAAGTGAAACCATCACATCTGTCTCACTGGGATGGATCTGATGCATCGGTGTGGTGTCGGGTTCAAGGAAATACAAAAGGGAAAGAAAATCATTGACACTCCTGCGTCAGAGGTTTTCCTTGATGCCCTGATTCCTAACTGATGAACGCGAGGACCTATTGGTCTCGAAGCGACCTAGAAAGAGGCTTACTTCCAAACTTGACAGGAGAAATACGCAGGCGCCATGATTAACAGAAAGAGGCGATTTTACTATTGTGTGAGAGGATGGTGCGTTCAGTGTTTTGATCGAAGTACTGGTGTGTCCCACTATCAAGGAAAACTCAAGGAATCATGTGTCCATGAAACTACTGTCAAATAGCTGCATATCTACCAGTATCCACCTGTAGTCTCATTAAAATTGAATTTAACGTGCAAAATGTATCTCATTCGTACCTAGAGTAACGGTATGTTACTGTCGGCGGATTAGCCAGACGAACGGTAGCAACCGTAAAATGACCAGAGCGAATCACCTGTGCTGTATTGTAGACGATGAATTCGTTGTAGAGAAGAGATGCAGCTTCTCCTTCTATGTCGGCTTCCACATTCACTAGTTCAGTGGCGTCAATAAGGGGGCCCATGGGGACGCTCACCTCAGACGATGACGGTAGCTGATTGACAAAATGACTAACACGAATGGCACCACTATTGCTGTGGTCCCACCTTGGTCTCTCGAGCGGCATCCGGAGCCGACTTCCCCATTCCCCACGTGCTGTGTGCCTTAGCCTTCCGGCAAGACTTCTTAGCCTCATATTCTGCTGCCACTCGTTTGTACTGATCGCCTGCAGAACCTCTCACGATGAAGCTACGGACAAGATGCCGAAAGCTCACCCAACGCCACTTCGCAGAGCACAAGTACACCATACGGGGACTCCTTGTTGGCGAAACAGTAGTTGGCTGATTTCGAAGAACAATCTGAATGCAAACGCACAAGCAGATATTGTTGACTACATCAAACGACACCTGCAAAGTAAAGGCCCTTGCCGAACATATAGCCAGTAACGGGTGCCTCCTTGGGCGCTATCTTGAGGCCCTTGCTGAGGATCGACACCCAGTTGGTAAGACGACTCCCGTGCCAAAGGAGCCTACGGTTGTGCGAACAGACCGGGTAACTGAATAATAGCATGTACACGATGATCTGAGGGTTCGACCGAGCACCTGTCGAATCGGGCCCACTCCTCCTCTCGTCTGACTTCTAGCAGCGATACGATCTCCAGGCTGTAACCATCGTGAGTGGGAGCATGAGTCGTTACCATACACTCTTTAATGACATCGAAGGTGGGACTAAAACCCCGCCTGTAATCAACGAGGGCAGCACCATCGGGTACCTCTCGGTTGGGACCACATCGAGCGTAACACCAAGGGCGTCGAACTGGCGATCCAGCACGTGGCCATGCCCAGTCGCTGCTCTATCGCGTGCATCAGTGAAGTCCACGATGGATAGAAGGTCCGTCACATCGTCCACCTGGCAGCACTCGAGTGACTGTCAAAGGAGCCCCCGACTTACCGCTTTTTCGACTTTCTTCAAAGTGTTCAACTTCGCCTTGGCCGCTGCAGCCGTACTCTTGGATATCGTGTGCGGCACCAAGGAGTAAAACCTGCGACCAACAGCAAGTCCCCACCAAAATGCACGCCCTGACCCACCGATTCGTCGCGTCTCGGATCCTGAGGTCAAAGCCGTGAGTGGCGCGCTTGGTCGCCTCGTCCAAGCGTAGCAAACTCGACAGCTCAGAGAGGACCTGAGTGACCAGCAGTGACATTTCCGATGGGATGAGCATCACCTCGAGACCGCGTCTGAGCTGTGCAGCACTGAGGGCTCCGAGGGGCATCTTCCTCATGTCGATATGCAGCACCTTGGACATGTGCTCCTCGATGACCTTCTCGTCGAATATCAACGACACGAACGACCTCACAGCCGGAACCAGTGTGCATAGTACACCAGCCTTGTCATCTGATATCAGGCCGCCTCAGCAGTGACCAGCAATGGGACTTACGTTCCTCAGCGACGGCTTGGGTGGTTCTACGCTTGCTCGAGTCCGAGGTAGTCCCCATGATCTCTACCATGTTGTATCTACATGGGCATGCTCGGAATCGTCAGATTCAAAGACAACCACCCTACCTCCCAGGTCGCTGCTCAAAGCTGTCGCGCTCTCGCCAGTCGGTACCAGTGAGCTCAGTGAACTTCGTCAGGAATGTGTCGATGGCCTAATGAACGATTACGTTTTATGTAGAACTCTATCAAGGGAACCGACCTCCTGCCGAGCCGCCTTGCCCGAACCACATCGAACCGTCATAGCGTCATTGGCCTTGCTGTCGCTACCACCTACTCGTCCCCACTTCCGTAGAACAGCGTAGCGATTGCGAGACGACCCATGCACGAGGACCTGGCGAGACAAATTTCTCTCACAGCAAACGATCCCAAAGGGCCACCTGAATCTTATAGAACTTATTGACGTTAGTCGAGGTGTCTGTCTTGGTGCACATAACATGGTACACATTGTTCGCATTATCAACGTAGACCTGGCAGGCTACCCTCACCGAAACAACAGCTGTAGAAGAGTTCCCACTTGAGCATCCCGGCCGACCGCCGCATCCACGTCCTCATCAACCTCGAGCGCCGGGCTGCCCTCCTCTGGCGGCAAGCGGCGCTTCTTCCCTACAACAGTGATCATCATCACCCAGCGAGGGAGGATATCATATTTCTTGAAGATAACATTTTAAAAAAAATAGTTTTTTTTAAATGATCGTAATTTTCATTTAAAGTATTTGCAAATTGAAAATATGCACATGGTCAACTACATGTGTGCTTATTCGTCTCTGAACATTTCCACTCGAACTCGTATGTAAACTCCTATAATTAGTGACGAAACCCCTGAGATCAGCTGAGGAGACAAAACATATATTCCAACACTGTCATCCAGTGTTGGAATATATGCTCTTTTTCCCCAGCTGAGCTCAGGAGTTTTCTCACTAATAGTAGGGATTTACATACAAATTTGGGTAGGAGTGCAGAAATCAACAACAGTCTCCCAAAATTCCCTCAAATTTTCCATATTGTCACCGACATATGGAGCTGACCATTTGCATATCTTCCCAAACTGCTGGCATCACCAAAGCAGGCAACCATCAGAGCACCGCCTACTTAGACGTTTCTTCTCCGGAGGTTTCTCTTCGGTGCCAACCAACTTCTTGCCTAATCCTCCATCGACCTTCCACAACTTCAAGTGCTTCCGTTGCCTCAGTTTGGCTCCCCGCATTTTCGGTCGGGCGGCTTCGAGCGACTCACGCTTGGTAGGCGCCTCGACGATTTCACAACTCTCAACTTTGAGCTCGGAGTCGCGCTCAAATTTCACATCTTTTCCACCGAAGATCCACCAGCCCGACGTAGGGGGGTCTTCAGAGTCGCCTTTGCAGTAGCCCAGATGACCAGAATTGTCATCGAGCTTCTCATGGAATTTCCACTTGGAGCTTTTCGCCGAGTAAAAGCAGTAAACTGACTTGACCACGTGCTTGAAGGCTGGACGATCATTATGGAGTTTCTCCAGCATTTTATAATCGCCATTCACCTTGCTGTTCTTAGACTCGGTCCTGCGACCCGTCACCCGCAGTCCCCGAGTCACCCGTGGCCCAGGCGTATCAATTTCACCACACTCTGTTGTTTCGTCACAGAGAGCGTCGATGAACTCCACCATGACGATGGGGATGCCGTGTTGGAGCGCACCATCGTAAGCAAGCCCGTGGGGGTCTGCGTAGAGCTCCTCCTCGCTGATGACCACATGAGTAGTCCGGGCTGGGTCGAAGGTCTCCAGCACGTGCCCACCATGGTCCTTTATCAACGTGCGCAGTCGACTGGCCTCGTCTGCATCGACACCTTCTAACACGAAGTACATGTTCCTTGCAACTGGACCGCCCTCCTCGTCCTCGGAGCCAGAGTCAAGCACATCGCTGACCACGGCGGCCTTCTGGAATGACGGCTCGACCCCAGTGAGCTTGGAAAGGATCTTCCGGCACTCAGGAGGGATATCAAGGCTAGCAAACGCCTTATGGCGCTGCAGCTCAGCTGGTATTCGGAGCCGGCGGTAGCGTTTGAGCTTTTCCATTGTGATCACGTCACCCGTGGGAGCCGAGAACTTCGGGCACGCTGAGGTCTTCCGAACCCGCGGCAACATTTCCCGGTAACGGAACTTGAAGTCGCATCTAGTGGACGCAGAGAAGTACCCTTGGCACCTGTCCGATGCCACTGGGCGTGCGCTTCCATCTGCTGCTGCTGCTGAGCTCACCTGATATCCTCACCCTCCTGAGACAGAGACCGGTTACCACACGTTGGGCAAGGTGGGAGCAATCCGAAGAGAATCTGATCGGCCACTATATAAGCCAATTTTGGAGCTGGCCATTTGTCTTGGAAGAATATACCGTTGTCGGTGAGTACCTGAAAGAGAATACTGCAAGCCGATCACACGGCACTTCCAACCTGTCTAAGGATCTTGGCGTTGCCCGCGGACTGCAGATGCAAAGTCGCCTCCGCCCTGTAAGTGATGTGGGTGGCTGCTCGGAGGATGTCAGGGTTCTTGGCGTCGGGGGCATCCAAATCCAACAACTTGGCTAGTCTAAGTATGTCGCTCCACCTAAGGGCAAATGCGACTCTGATGAGCAGAGGCGTTGAGCGTCACTTAAGGCGCTGCCAATGAGTGAGCTCATCGAGACTCTCCAGGCCGTAGCCGACGGCACACGAGTCGTGAACCCATTGAATATCGAAGCCGTCATGGAACGGAGACTGCACCTTCTTGCCAACCTTCACCTACAGGGCGATGCTCAGGGATAGGACCAATGCCCGGAGAAATGCCCTCACCTTGCCTTGAACCAGCAACCCTTGGCATCTCTTACACGAGGCCCTACTTGTGGGAGCATATTCAACGATAAAGGGTTCCGGAAGGGCTGGCCTGGCTGTGGTGCTCCCGACAGAGGACCGCTTAGGCATGATCGAAGGCTACTGCTATTCTAGCCTTTTGCCGTCATGAAGTCGTTATTCCCAACACAAGGATTGCCATTGAGAAACAATAGTCACATTAAACTGTTAACACAGTAAACTTAACGTGTTCACTAGAAGGGCCTCTCAGCTGTTCCTCGCATCTCCGTCACGATGGACCGAGAGACCGCCGCCCGGCTGTTCAACCTCAACGGCGGAGACACTCGTGAATCTCGAGTAGGGAAATGGATGTATTGGGTAGGAGGCGAGCGGCTGTCGGGCACATCTAGTGGCTCCCTGGTCGTCGGGGTGGACGGCCTCAGAATGGCCGTGGACTGGTTCATGTGGTGAGCCAGAAGCATGTTGCTTGTTACACACAGGCACACTTTCACTGCTGTGACGATGAGGTACTCGACTGTTAGGGTCACCAGAACGACCACGGAGGACCCTGTCGATGCCAGAGCGAAGCGGATGGTCAAGCCAGTGAGGCTGTTGACAAGGGTGGCCACTACGAAACAGACGAACCATCGTGCCCAAGGCGTATAGGACAACACCACCCATACGGCCCCGAGGGTCAGAGCTAGGAGGTCTCCCAGGGGAGGGACCATGAGCTGGACCACAAAGACCACCGGCGATATGCCCAAATACCACGTGAGCTGCATGGCTGTGATGGTGGCATACATGAAGAGAAGGACTATAACCGTCGCCTGCAGTGCCACACGGGACATGGTCACCACACGCTCATTAGGTCGACGGTTGCTCAGCGAGATTCTTACTGGCCACCACAGCATTCGAGCCAGACCAGCCGAGCCGGTAGAGGTGTTGGTACTATGCCACCACCGGAAGGAGTACTCGTGGACATCAACTTCGTCCAGAGTGAACTCTGTGGACAAGTCCAGAGGAGAGGTCGGGCTCACAGTGGGGTTGTCCGACCGAAGGACGAATAGGAGGCTGTCCGTTGTATCCGGTCGAGTCAAGGCGTCGTCAGCGGCGACCAAGACCAGACCAAGCTGACAAGGTTTACAAAAACCAGGAAAGCGAGAGCGGCTTGTGCCAGCGGCGATAGTGCGCTCCACGGAAGTCATCTGCTGGAAGGAACTATATTCAGCAAGGAAGGGATCCGCAGGAGTCACGCTATCGACAGACGCCGCGGTCGCTTGAGGCTGACCATCTTCCCGAGTCGGCAGCGGATCAACACTATAGTCGGGTATGATCACGACCAAGGCCTGAACTCCACCAGGGACCAAGAATGTAGCACTCGCTCGGCGTACTCCTGTACAGATGGATATGAGCTCAGCAGGTGGCACCAGGCCGTCGTGGAAGATCATGGGTAGAAATATGTCGTTGACATGGGCAACGAAGGCCGTCCAACCCGTGACGTCTTGCGGCAGCACCGCGAGGGCGCTGGCCATGGGGTCCCAGCTGGGATACGGCAACCGCAGAGGAGACATGTAAGAGCCATCCCCAGCGAGCCTTAGCAGAGCCGGCAGCTTCGGGTTGGATTCTCAATGCTCCACCCGCACGCTCATGTCGAGCACGTCCACGTAGCCCTTGGTGAAGGACCCATCGCGGCCACCATCACAGCCAAAACGCATGGTGTAGATGCGACCACCTCGCTGGGAAGGACTCGGCGCCCATAGAGGCTCCTTCCCGGACTCGCTGAACACTGCCTTGCACATTGCTCGGGCCCGCTCTTCCTGCTGAGAGCGTCTTAAGTACCGCCACAGAGGATAACATACTATGCTGAGTACAAGGCTCGTCCACCGACCCCAGATATTCACCATTGGAGAGGATGCCCACCTGCCCTGCTCGTTGATGGAGGCACTGAAGGTACTCCAGTAGCGCCGATTGACCAACTCGGCGACGGGTCGCGGGAGGTCCACCACCGAGGAAGGCAGCTCGATGGGGTCCCGTGGGGTGTTACTGCCACTGAGGTAAAGCCGGACAACGTGGCGAGGGATGTCCTCAGCTGTCATAGTCTTCCATTCGTCCGAATCAACCACCTCCTCGGAACCATAGAGCGATCGCTTACGTATCTCTGAGGAAGCAATAGCTGCCAGAAGGGCGAACAACACCACCACGAGGAGTGTGAAGGCTCCCGGCACACCACCAATGAAGGACAAGGTGTACTGCCATGGGTTTAGGCAGGCCGGATTCTGGGACACGTCCGGGTAACCCGGCAGGCAAGCATAAGGACAGTCAGGGCCATCCACCCCTTCCTTGGTGTAGTTGCTGACCCCTTGAGGGGCATTGTCACACACGTCACATTGGGGACCACCAGAGCCGCTCCAAGTGCCTCCAGGGCAAGGGACGCATAGTGGCCCGTAGTGGCCCGCTGGACACAGAAGGATCTGCCCAACGCGGCCCGGCTGATAACCGCTCACGTTGAGCTCACCAGTGAATGTATCGGCCCCCACTTCCGAACCGAGCCAGCCGATCCCGATATAGCCACCACCGCCGTCACCGCCCTTGAGGACCGGTGGGCCACTACCGTTGCCAGCAGCAGCGCTAATGACCCCTGAGCCAGCGAGGGAGGCGTTGGTCAGGATGAAGACCGAGCCACCAGCGCCACCACCGCTGCCCGAGGTGTCCCCTACCGTCCAGCCACCACGAGCCCCTGCTGAGGACACATAACCATCGATGCGTATCTGTGCCGCCGAAATCCATATCACGCCTCCGCCCGAGCCGCCCTCCTCCCCACCACCCCCCGAGGCGCTTGCTGAGGGGATGACTCCAGTCTCGAGGGGGTCTTGCTCATCGTGTGCCAGCCCCTGGTTGCCACTGCACCCTGGACCACCAGAACCAACATGAGCCCCGCCACCTCCCCCACAGTGACCATCCCTACCACCACCACCTCCACCACGGCCTTCCCCTGCCGGGCAGCCTCGACCCTTCGAGGTTATTCCACCCTTGGAAGGCAACTCAAGAGCTCCCTTGGGCGAGCACACCATGACCACTGGGCCACTGACCACAACAGTGCTCGTGAACCTGATCCCGCCCGACTCGCTGGCAACAACCACCCTTGTCGGCATCAATCTGCCCAGCCTCTCCGAACTGGCCTTGCAAAAGTCAGGCGGGTTCTCGATCCATAGCTTTCGCTGCCCACAGTAAGTGCCAGGCCCTAAAGACATGTTGCCAACAATGACAACATCCCCCTCCGCGGTCCGGAAGTCACTCACAGCAGAGGCCCCATGGACCTCCCCCAGTCTGAGCCCTCGACCAGCAGATACCATCACAGTACGACCCTCCACGCTGATGACCACATTGGACAAACTAATAGGACCAGCCGCGTTGACCGGTAGGACCGCGTCATCTGCGACGTCTGAGCCCAGCGATGAACTACCCCCGATAATGATCGAGCCACCAGCATCAACATCACCTTGTGTGGATATTTTCATACCCCCCGGGCCACAACCCATCACACTGTGCTTCTCCACAATGACGTTGCCACCGTTGGTGCCCGTTGCCGATGCTGCCGAGATACTCAGCGATCCCTCTGTGGTGATCGAGGAGGCCTTGGCCAACTTCAGACCGACGGTACCAACAGACAGGACCATGCTCGACAACGGGCTACCGGGCGGCCCTGACAACTTCGCTCCGCCCGAGATTGATAAGCCTTGATCGGCAGCAATAGCCACCTCTGCCCGGCCAGTAGCACCACCACCATCAAGGCAAGATGGTGCCTTACAACACCTGCACACCACCATTGCCGTCATCATTGCCACAGAGCCTGACCGTTATGTTACCTTCTAAGACCACCTCACGGACCGACCGGACCTGCCGAGGCAACACGGTTGTCTGACCGCACCTCACCGGGCCTCCTTTGACTGTGAGCAATGCCCCACCAGAGCCCTTCAAGTAGACAGTACCAGGACTACCACAGAGGCAATCCAGTAGATTCTCCCCCTGTCCCCCCTGGGCTTGAGCATCCTCCACAGACACAGTACCGTTCTCACTTGTCATGAGAATTCGGCCTCCACCACCACACCCAACCGCCCCACCACAGGCCCCTCCAACAGCATGTACCTTCCCAGCCCTAACTCCCAGTGCGCCACTGCCCAAGACCGCGCCCCCACTACCTCCACCGCACTTCACCCTAGCATCTGCTCTCCCGCCGTTTGCCTCAATTCGACCCTCCAAGGCAACATAGCCTTCGTCACTGACAAGAGCTACTCTACCTCCTCCCCTACACTCAGCAGCAGTGCCCTCCCCCACCAAGTCCTCCGACATCTTCGTGAAGTCAATACCACGTATCCGATCCCCTCGATCACAGAGCCCCAGGGCCCCTCCCGCTCCTCCTAGACTGCCACCCGAGGCGGTATCCTCCCGAGCCACAGAGTCGTCAAAGACAGTAGCTGTCACATTCAGGAGGGAGGCCTCATCCAGAGTGACGTTGCCCCGACGGGCCACAACCTCCAGTACCTGCAAAACTCTCAACCGTGCTCAAGCACGAGCCCTGCTCCTCACCGAGCAATCAGAGATCGTCGAATTAGTGAACCCGACGGCCGCATTGGCTGCCACCACTATCAGAGTGTCCGAGCACTTCCAAGTCGCATTCACAAACCTCACAGAGCCATTGCCCTCATAGACAAGCTGAGCCCCACTGGGTAGGATGGGCCGGGTCGAATTAAGGAGGCATGCCCCATCCAATACCACATCACAGTCAATTGATGTAGCATTGGCGCCCAAGCCGACGGAGATGGACAGCAACAGCAGCAGTAGCATTGGGTGTTCAAAAAGTCTAAGAATTTCACTAAGGCATTCCCCCATAACCCGACCACGGCAAGACGAAGGCAACCACAGTGCGCATGTTCGTGGACTAAGCATAGGCCACTTTAGGGTCGCGTTCGAGGAGCTCTTGCGTGAGGACCTCGTAGTTGATCTCGCCCGTCTTACCGGGATCACATTTGGACACGGCGAAGTCGATAAAGACGTCCGCAGCCTCTCCCTCCATCTTCTCTCCTAGTACCTATGCAACACTCCCAGTGGGGTTCGGAAGAGCAGTAAGCCACTACCTGCAGTACACGGCGTAGTTCTTCCACTCGTATCAGCCCTCTGCCGTCCGGATCAAATGCTCGAAACGCCTCCATCAAGACCTGACGCCCCCTCAACGAGAACTGGTTTTGGAAAGCAAACTACTACTACCTCCTCCTTCATCGGGTCCTTGAAATGGTCTGACTCGCATATACGAAGGAACGTATCCAAGTCGAAGTGCTGAATACCATCAGGATCCCACTCCTCCACTATTGACTCGATCTCGGCCTGAACCGGGCAATGGTCAAGTCGTGAGAGTCCTCAGTGGGTCTACTTCAGTCGGGTTTTGGCCAACACTGCGAAGAAGGGCACACAGTTGAGAGTAGTTGATTACACCGAGCTTCTGCTTGTCGAAGATCTAGCAATACGATGCACTCTGGCTCAAGGCGACTAGATTCACCTCGAAAGCCTCCTTAAAAGCAGCAAGCTGATTCGCTGTGAGCTGATAGTCGCCCTCGGCAGGTTCGGCCGACATCAAATTCACAATCTCTTCACCACCCCATTGACGTTACCAACGCAACGTTCACAGTCTGATAACGTGAGAGAACAGCGAAAGGACGACTGCATGAAAACACACCGCCAGCCCCTTCACGCTTAGCTTGGTCATGTGCTTGCCCACCAGGGCGTCCGTTTTTCAACACCGAATCGTAAGGCGATGATATAATGCTGTTCCCCCGTCCAAGGTTCTGTCGGGCAAAGGACCTCTTGCCTCGCCAAGCGAAAGCAACTCCGTAACCGTGGCGATCCCCAGTCCCTCATTCCCTCAGGAGGTGCCGGTATCCGGCCATGAGCTTCATGAAGCGACCCGGCGCTTCTGAGTGAATTAGCGTGATGGGTAGTAGGCAATCCTCAATTATGCGTTTATAACAATAGCGCTCGCCATTCTAATCGATTAACATATTTTGAAAAATGCGTGGCCGTCACTCTCACGATGATAGTTGTATATAATGAAGCGTGTTGATGGCATACTAGCTCTAGGGTGAGTAGTATATCGTCGAGCCCTAAGTCTTTAATCTGGGACTGTTGAAACTCTCTCCAATAGGAGTCGCTTGCTTGAACCCGAGTCGGGCGGGCTGACCTCATGAGAGACTCTTGCTATCCAAAAGTCTCACATGGAGACTCGAACAAGCAGGAACTAACTCGGGGCATAGCCGAAGTGCCACCTTCTTTCCAACACTGAGCTTAGTATACTGCTAGATGGTCTCTAATAAAAAGCATTTCACTTCATTAGCTCTACAGCGCAAAGATACTAGCGACGCCGTCCAGGCCGAGGAAACTAAAGTTGTGTTCATCATGGAGCGACAAGTTCTTTGGAATGGAAGCTCACTGGAATACATCAGTTTAATAATTTTCTAATACTCTCCTCGAAGCCGCCTTATGTCGCCCCTAACTGACGAAGAACGCCAACTCTACGAGTACTTGAACACCGCAGAGTCTAACCAGCAGCATCTCTTTGCTGGAGTAAATGATGTGGAAAACAACGAAGGTAGGTTCATTGCCGCTACGGCTGTCAGCTCACTGTGTGTCAATACAGGTGCTCGGAAGCTCCTAAATCAGTTGGTGGCTGCAGACCACACGACTGCAGGAGGCCTTAAGGACTATATCCAGCGTGGACAGAGGTTGTTGAAAGAGTCCAGCGAGGGAGTAAATCCCTTCGAAGGCTGCAAGGTGGAGATTCCCCAAGGAGAGAAGCTCGAAGCTGGTAAGCAGCAGCACATGGGAGCATTTCATCTCGATGAGTCGTTGCTCAGGGACTCAGCAGTTCTCTGAGATGGAGCAGGCCGGTATGGACTCTCTCAAGGGTCTCTGTTTTTGCCTTGTTGCTGGTGGCTTGGGCGAGAGGCTCGGATTCCCCGGAATCAAGGTGAGTACCACTCCTCCGTCACATTATGGCCGTCCTTATACGTGCTTTAGGTGGCGCTACCTGTTGAGACGCTAACCAACATGTGCTACTTGGAGTGGTTCTGCAGAAACATCCTCGAGATGCAGCGAGTCGCCCGCGAGAGGTCTGGTGACGAGACACTTACTCTACCACTCGCCATTATGTGCTCAGCAGACACCTACCAAGGTTGGCCTTTCCACCACCATACAGCTTAGCGGAGTCTACTTTCAGGCACCACCGACTTGCTGGAGAAACACGACAACTTTGGTATGGTTGATGGCCAGATCACGCTTATGCTACAAGACAAGGTGAACTGCAATACCACGCCTTGCTATCATCAGCGCTCCTCTGTGCAGGTGCCTGGTTTCATCAACTCGAGTGGCAAGATCGGCGTTAAGAAGGAAGATCGTTGGACGGCCGAGATGAAGCCTCATGGCCATGGAGACGTAACCCAGGTGTTGGCTGCCATTCTATGATCGTACTCTCCGACGACAGGTCCATACTCTTCTGTTGAAGACAGGCCTCGCCCAGAAGTGGGTTGAGGAAGGCCGCACTCATATTGTTTTCTTCCAGGACACCAACGCCCTGTCCATGCGTGCTGTAAGTACTTAGTGTCCCTTGAATGAAACACTTTTCTTATGTAGATGTGCGCCCTTCTGGGAGTCTCGAGGACCAATAAGTTCGATATGAACAGTCTCTGCGTAGGCCTTTCAGTGATAACAGTGTAGTTGAGATTCGCCTTTCTCGTCGTTAGGTTCCCCGTGTGCCCGGTGAGGCTGCCGGTGCTCTGTGTAACCTCTCATATCCAGATGGTCGCCAGCTCACCTGCAATGTCGAGTAAGTAGCACTCATCTTTGGACGCGCATAGGCTTACTCAGATACAACCAACTTGGTCCCCTACTCCAAGACCAGGGTGGTGACGTGGCAGGTCCCGACGGACTTTCACCGTAAGTTGAACACTCTCGTAAAGGGAGTATGTAATGATGTTTAGGTACCCCGGTAACATCAACTGTATCATGTTCGGTCTGTCTGCATATTATAAGACCTTGGAAGAATCTAAAGGAGTCGTCCCAGAGTTCGTGAATCCTAAGTAGGTGTTCTAGACCTCAGTCTGGACCATAGGTCGTCAACAGATACCAGCCGGGCAGTAGGACTGACTTCAAGTCGGCCACTCGTTTGGAATGTATGATGCAGGATTACGCTAGGCTCATGCACAATTGTGAGTTAGCCGCTTCGTGAGGTCTGTGACCATCTCTTCTCTTTTGAAGGCTCCGTTGGCTTCACTATGATGGAGCGTTGGCTGTGCTTCTCCTGTGTGAAGAACGCCACTGCTGATGCTGTTAAGAAGCTGCAGAGTGGTCTTCCGGCCGACTCGGCCTTCTCTGGGGAGGTCGAGTTCTGGGAACACAATACGAAGATGCTTCAGACAGCTGCTAGAGTCAATGGTGAGCTCGGTTGAAGCAGGCCTTGCCGTGTGATCATATGATATTGGGTTAGGGCAATCGTTCTCGATGAGTGAGCCCGTCAACATGGAGTTCCTCGGTCTTGCCCAGAAGGTCGGCCCACGTGTGGTTTTAGAGCCTGAGGTCGGCTGTTGCCTTGAAGAGATAAAGAAGATCGTTCATGGTCCCATCGTAAGTCGAAGAAGAACCGCTCCGTCGAGACATTGTTCATTCATAGGCCCTTAGCAGCGCTGAGTGCAGTCTCATTGTTGAAGGGCCCTGCAGCATCAAGAGACTTCAGCTCACCAGTGGCGCTGTTGTTGTCCATCGCGGTAAGTATGCTCTCCTTACTGTGTCTCTCTAGGGCGGGCCGTGTCAGATGCTGAAGTTGATTGCGATGTCCCCATCAATAACAAGGGATGGAAGTTCCAAGCTATCAAGGAAGGCGAAGAGGTAAGTTCACAGTTGTTGTGGTACAAGTGATTACCCTGATCAGGTTGATGCCGCTACGGCCATCCGCGGATTCTCCGTTGATAGAGTGGAAGAGAAAGACTTCTAAGATGTTTAATTTTTCGTGTACTCGGTACCCTAACATTTATCTGTACTCTTGGGAATAAATTTATGCTAAACTAAAAATAATCTCGTGTCAAGTATCATACCAAGCTCTCGGTCTTGTTTTGTTCGTAGTTATTGAGACCTGTCAATTGGCGGAAACGGTTGCTCGTGGTATCAATCATTTCGGAATGGTCTTGGAGCGAAATAACCACCCAGAAATGAGGCGGTCGTTTGTTCTGAACTGGTTTGGTTTGGTCTAGGCTTTTACTATTTTGATCCTGCTTACACATACTGCGCAATTTTCTCAACGCGAAGGTTCCTTTCGTGAAGTTGAAACAGACACCAATGGTTTCAAACCATAATTTGAAGTTCTTGTTCATGGAATCGCATTCCTTCATTATGAAATTAATGTTCTCATTCGCGAATGTGATTATTTCACTCGCTGAATTGGTGGCCTCAACCGTGGAGGGATAGAATGCCAAACGGCGATGATTAGTGACGATATGAAGTTGCTGAGAATCTGGGCAGCCGAGAACGGCTCGAGACAAAACAGCGAGGCCGGTCAGAACTCTAAGAGATAGAGAAGGCCGATGCGTTTTGTTCTCACGTTAAAAGAGCACAATAGAATCGGGGAATACTGTAGGAGGAACAATGTTGAACCGTGGTGGTTGCGGACCATCAGCGACAGGGTTATTGAAGATGAATAGTAAAAACTGGGAGGGTTCTGTAGACTTTTCCGGAGACACCTGTACACAATCCTTGATACTTAGGCTGATCTTTAGCTAGCTACTTAGTCTTGCTATATAGTGCTGTATTTACCTACTGGAAAAACTATTTTGTTGTGTTTATCATTTCTCCTAAGACCAAGACCAACCGGTTCCACATTTCAGCTTCCACTCACACAAAGACCCGGATGATGAGATTGAAATTCATCAATTATAAAAAAGCTCGAACTGTCAGCTCTGCTCACGCCAGTTTAACGTGGCCATCACTTCGAACGATCACAAACTTCCATGATACTAAGAATAAGAGGCAAACTAGAGGCACCAAGTTACCGTAGACGGCGGCCACCGTGGAGTCGCCGGAGCCCAGTTTCACGGTCCCCACGACAATGTGACGGCGCGACACCTGGCTCGTGTAGGAGGCGATAACATTCCCCCTAGCATCAACAATGGCTGAATCCCAGCCAGTATCAGCCTTTACGATGGGCATGCGATTCTCTATTGCCCTGAAGACGTAGGCCGCGATGTGATTCCTCATGGCAGACCAGTCCGAAGAAGGACTGAGGACAATTTCCACGCCTCGTCGCTTCAGAGTGGCGACAGACTCGGGAAAGTCCATGTCGTAGCATATGAGAGGGCCGACTCGCACCTTGGACTTTGTGTACCCGAGCCAGTCTGGGTGAATATCAAAGTCCCTGTACCCATATTGAGTGGGGTTTCGCTCGCCCAGTAATTGCACTGGGTTCATCTTGCCATAGTAACCCAAGACCTCCCCTGTAGGGCTGATGGTCACTGCCAGGTTGGATCTGTCCATGGTGTGCATCCCAATGGTCAGGAGAATTCCCAACTCTTTGGCTAGCGGAGCGAAGGTGTGGTTCACGGCCGCATCGAGCTGAGTTCGGTTTTCATAGGCTCCCACCCAGGCCTCGCTCCAGACAACCATCTTGGCATTGTTCTTGACCACCACTCGACGCGTCCACTCGATCTGTTCCTTCAACGACGCATTGCAAGGCAGGGCCTCTCCAAAGTGACTCCTGGTACCATTTTTACAGGTGAGTACGGCTGACGGCAATAACCCCCCAGGAGCAATAGCTGCTACTGTGGCCGTGCGGCCGGGACCAGCATCCAGAAGTGAGTACTGTACCACACTGACCCCAACCCATAAGGAGATGCCAAAGAACAAGCTTCTCAAGGTCTGTGATCTTCGATGCGGAGAGCTCGTAGATAGTACTTGAGCAATGCCCCCATTGACCGCACCAACGAAAAAGTTAAGACCGTGGCAGCCCACAAGGGAGATCGGCTGAATGAGGGAGGGCACGGCATACAGGGGGGTTGCCAGGTTGGGCATTGTGCCAGCAATTGCAATGATCAGGTATTCGAGACATGTCCAGAACGCGCCCACTACGATGGGGAAAAGGGCGGTGTCTTCAGATGCCCTGAAGAGCAGTCCCCAGAGGATGCCCATGGGACACCCTAGGGCAACCCCGAACACCAACGGAACCGCGATACTCCACGCATAGCCAGCCGAGGCGAGGGAAAACGACAGGACTGTCACCCACAGCGGAGCACCACGTTGGTGAGCAGTAATGACCGGTACTAAAGCCACGAAGCTGAGCGGCCAGAGCTCAAGGACCGGTCCAGTACTCAGCTGCACGGACCGGAGTGGCCACAGAAGAGCTGTTATTAAACTAACACACGTTGCTTTACTCGTCGATCTCATTCGTGAGAAACGCTGCCGTGACACAGTTCCTGGGCGACACTTCAACACAGCACTTATGCATCGGTAGAGGAAACTCGGGTGTGTAATCAACACAGTGCAGGCCGACGGTAAGATCAGCCAGGTAGACTAGATCAGCGGAAACAACAACAATTCTACAACGTTATCATCTCAACTTCTAACTCGCCTTCGACTACTCCATCTTCTTCAACTCAATGGGCTCCTCCTCCTTGGTAGTCTCGCCGGTATTACTACTGAGATCAGATGCAGAGACTGCTTGCTCCACGCAAACATCCAGCATTTTCTGGAGACGATCGAGGATGGTCCGGGGGTCCTCAACCATACCAGCAGCGATACAAGCGTTATCGAAAAGCTGAGTAACAGCAACCTTGGCGATGTCCTCCGACCGAGCCGCCTTTGATGCAGCCAGATCGCCTAACTTGCGTACGGTGGGATGGTCAGGGTTCAACTCGAGGGTCATAGGGATGGCCTAAGAAGGGAGATGCTATACCCTACACTACGGGGTATGTAGTACTACCTGTAGGGCATCGTTCTGGTCACCCTGGCCCGATTGGGCCATCATTTGCTTCATCATTCTCCTCATTTGGGGCGAAATCGCCGAAGTGACCACAGCGGGCGAGTTCACTAGACGGTCACTGAACTTCACGCCGTTGACACGCTCACCGAGGACCTCCTTCACGAAGGCCTCGAGCTCCTCTCGACTAGTCTCGAGCATCTCTTTCTTCTCAGCCTCGTCGTCATCGCTCATAAGAATCTCCTTCTCAATTTCCTCCTCACTGTCCACAGACACCAGACGCTTGCCCTTGAAATTCTCTATATAGCTCACGACAAATGCATCAATGTCCTCAGTGAGTAGCAACACGTTGACACCCTTATTCTCGAAGGCCTCCATGTAAGGCGATGCCAGGGCAGTCTTCCTATCCTTAGACTGGAGGTAGTAGATGTTGTTCTGTTCATCAGTCATAGAGTCGATATAGTCCTGGAGGCTCATGAACGCACCCGGGCTGCCGTTGCTCGACTCGAATCTCAGCAACTTGAGGATGAGGTCCTTATGGTTGCCGTTGTTGTTCTGTTGGTCCTCAAGGAGACCCGCCTTGAAATAGAAGCCATACTTCCTCCAGAAGGCATTGTACTTGTCAGCGTCGCGACGAGCTTGGTCAGCGAGGAATCTGATCGGACCCGTCGTTCAAGGACAAATCCGTATCAAATACGGTAATAACCATTTTCATGAAGTTGACTAGAATTTCAGTCCGTACGGTGAGACTACCTCAACATCCTCCTCACAACAGCTGTGCTGAGCTTCCTCATCAAGGCCGTATCCTGCATGTTCTCCCTAGAGATGTTCAAAGGCATATCCTCGCAGTCCACTACTCCTCTAACCCAATGGAGCCAGGCAGGGATGATCTCATTAGCGTGCTTCTTGATCAACACTCGGCGACAGTACAGTGACACCTACATATTACCACACTGAAATTCCCCCATATAAAAATACCCCGACTACCTGTACGTCGGCGTCCTGCTGGAACCAACGGTTAGGAGCTTCTTCGGGGATATAGAAAACCGACTTGATGGCGAGCGGAGCGTCAGTGTGATACATCAGCGAGTACATGGGCTCTCCGTAGGAGGAGCCAGAGAGGAAACGATAGAAATTAGTGTGTTCCTCCTCAGTGGCGCTAGTCCTCGTCCAAAGTGCCTCATTCTTGTTGATCTTAACCTTATCGCCCTTCTCCCCCTCAGCCATCTTGATGGGAAAGTCCACGAAATTGGAGAATTTTGCGGCAGCCTTTTTGACAGTCTCCGGCTTGCAGAAATCAGCAGCGTCCTCCTTCAAGTGGAGCACGATCTTAGTACCGCGGGGAAGGCCCTTCACAGGCTTTATGGTGAAACTGCCCTGACCATCGGACTCCCATACGTGGCCTTCGCCATCCTCAGCAGTATCGGCTGACCGAGAGAATACCTCCACCTTATCAGCGACCACAAAACTAGAGTAGAAACCAACACCAAACTGACCGATGATTTGGTTCGCAGTGTCACCCGAGGCATTGACCTTGTCTGACGTTATAAATTCTTTAGAACCGGACCTGGCGATCGTGCCAAGATTCTCAATGAGCTCGTTCTTGGTCATGCCGATACCAGAATCCTCTATAATGAAGAGCCTATGCTTCGGATCAATGGTGATGCTGATCTCAATGGGAGTGTCAGGATCCGCCAGAGACTTCACCTTACCAGCGGTCTTGAGGAACCGCAGCTTCTCACAAGCATCGGAGGCATTAGAAACCAGCTCGCGGATGAAGACCTCCTTGTCAGTGTACAACGACTTGGCAACAATGTCCAACAACTTGCGGGTCTCCGTTTTGAATTCATGAGTGGCAACAGCTGGATCGTCACCGGCAGCGCTGCTGAATGCGGCCATGAATGCAGTCGTCGGGGCTGCAGAAACCCAGGGCCTATAAAGGGACTCAGGCCACACAAAAGTAACGAACAACTCCCACTACCTCAATATCCGCCCACTCCCTATAGGTGCGGCTCGCCTTGCGCTCGTGGACGCCACATTGGCCAGACTCACGATCGACCTGTGGCTCATCTGTAGTCCTGTGTTAGACAACTTCGACAACATTATGAATCTGGGAGTAAACGAAACTGAAAGATATCGAAAGATACGATTCAGGTCCAAAATAGGCACACAAACTTCCAACACAACAGCCAAGTTCAAGGCCATTGATTGGTTCATATTTTCTTCCAACGATCCCTAGGAATCTCCATGGGATTATTATAAAAACATGCACGGCCGCCGACCAGTGGCCCGTGACTTTGGTACGGGCAGACTATGCGACGAGATTGCTACTGCGCACGGCAAAGCAATTGTCTCTACTAATTTTGCAATTGTCGCTGAAGGAGTGGTATGAGGCATTGACGACTAGCTGCTATCATCAACGTATGCATAACACGATCGTGTCGGCAACAACAGAGCTTCATTTTCAGGGTAAATACTAAAAGTCCTCATCCAAGGCGAAATCGGCACCGATGCTCTTTCGTCTCTCCTCCGCGTCCATGCTACTATTCTTGTGCGCGGCCGTACCCGCCATAACGCCACCCTTCTGATATTCACCTGACGACGGGTAGAATCAACGAAGTAAAAAACGATTCGAAATTTACCAACTCTCTTCTCGAAAAAGTTCGTTTTTCCTTGCAGAGAAATCATCTTCATCCAGTCAAAAGGATTCGTGGCGTTATACAATTTGGGATGCCCAAGAGCCTGAATTGACCTCCAGCAACAGAAGCCACAGCAGATGGCCCTACCACGAGAAGACGATCGGCCACAAACTCAATGTAGCGACACATGAGTTGGCTGTTCATACCGATTAGAGAGACAGGCAGTGATTCCGAGATGAATACTCTCTCGACCTCAACAGCGCCCTGAATAGATGCGAAGATAACACGAGAGAAAACTCGAGAAATTTACCCTGACAATCTCGTGAACCCGCTCGTCAGGAAGACGGGTGTACTTGAGCATGTTATACAGCAGGCAAGCAAAGTCGGCGTGCAAACCTACGCGATATCAAAAGAAATGCATCGAATTAGGGAAGGAAAGTTCTTTACCTTCATCACGAGAGATCAGCTCGTTGGAAAACGTCAGGCCGGGCATGAGTCCGCGCTTCTTGAGCCAGTAGATAGCACAGAAGGAACCCGAAAAGAGAATTCCCTCCACACAGGCGAATGCAATCTGAGCCAACGAGGTGCGCCGATCGATACGAATCGGTCTACCAATCTCTCAGCGAAACAGTTGTCGTCGTTGATCCACGAGAGCGCCCATTCGGCCTTCTTCCGAACGCTGGGCACGGTTTCAATAGCGCGAAAGATCTTATCTTTCTGCTCGGGATCTTTTATATAATTGTCAATTAGTAAGGAATACCTGCAATGTAGAAGAAATATCAAAGGCAGGTTGAAGTGGCCGCACGTCTCCGAGTGGATATTCTCCATCGCTATTTGGAAGCCGTAAAATGCACGGGCCTCAGGGCATTGAACTTCTCCAGAGAATTTGGCCGATAAATTCTCCAATACAATACCGTCACTAGCAGCGAAGAAGGCGAGTACCTAAGGAACAGCAAGCGTCTTACTTTTTTATGAGGAAAAACGAAGGTTACGTGGCTGATGAAGTGACGGTCGTTGTCCGACAGATTCTCCCAATCTCTGAGATCCTGACTAAGATCAATTTCCTCGGCCGTCCAGAAGGATGCCTCGTGCTTCTTGTACCTGAGAAGGCATACGAAGTCGGGAATGATAGTGTTGGAATGAGTGTAGTGAAGCTTACATCTCCCAGATGGCGAGATACTTGATAGGGAACATGACGTAACGATGAGGATTCTCCTTCAACAAGTCCTCCATCGGCTCCAGAGCCTTCATTTGTTCACTGAAAGTTGCCATTACGAAATGGGTTCAATGACGATGTTTGGCTGACAGACGATTGGGCTTGCTCGGGCAAAGTCTCTTCTCAAACCCAGGGGAAGTCAGAGAACCACTCTTGACAGTTTCATGTCTGCGCATGATCAGCAACCGCGCGCGCCCATCTGATCGATATTTCTCCAGACTCGTACGGGATGTTCAGCGGGATTCCTCTGCGTTGCTACCGCGATCTATGTATTAAGACCGCCTCACACGTCGATTGTAAAGGGGGAATTCTGTCACAGAGGCTTGAAGTGAAACTATGATTTACCTCGAGTAGCAGATATTATTGATAGAGCTTTTTGAATCTCTTGTGATGGCTTCGGTATCGGAACCAACAGCGCCGATTGTGGAGCAACCGACAGGCCCATCGCATGCTCCCTTCTCCTTGGGCATACTGGTCAAGGTGAAGACGATGCAGCAACAGAATGGGCTGAGGCATCAGGACTACCACCGCTATCGTCAGTACTGTTCGAGACGGCTTCATCGCATCCGGAAAGCTACCAAGCTCACCAACGGCCGCGAGAGGTAATGATGGGGGATTCGCGAGGGCGTGGGTAGCGTAATATCCTATCAATCTATATAATAATATCTTAAATAAAACCAAAAAATTTGGGATAGTGTATATGTTAGTTTCTAATAAATAATATACCGTAAAAGGCTGAAGAGTGGTGAAATACATCCACCATACGGTATGTGCTGTTGATGCTTTGCGTGGAGTATGACAACGCGGTGATGGCTTGTCCCTCTGTAGATTCAAGAAGTGTTCGATACCGGACGATTTCGATCTCGATAAGGTAGCCCCACATCGTGTATTATATACGGCATCTCGCAGTATAGGTGTTGGAAATTCCCCTGGTCTCGGCTGAGCGAGCCTGGGCCTATTCAGCTGAGCTCCTAGGTGTCTATGCTCAGTTCATAGAGGACAAGCCTGCCCTGAGGTCAGCCGACTCGCCCTTATTCGCTCAGTCATAATGATGATGATGATGCTCGAACAGATATCATGGAATCGGCAGGCTGCGCAAAGCAGTGAGATATGCACAGATTCTGCTCGCCATGTGCAGATTGCATTGTGACAGTCGTACGGTCATGGAGGCCGAGGCTTACGAGAACTTTATGTCGGGTAGTACTCGGGTTGTTGATTGTTTCCGTAACCATTGATTCTGAACTGTGCATATGCTAGTGATAAGAGTTTGTAGGTGTTCTCGAATTCAACTTGGAGAATTATCCAACAGCTCTGGAGAAGCTGTCAGTTGCCGAAGGTCTTTATAAGAAGCTCTCTGTTCTCTCCACGGGCGGGACCGAGAAAGAAGTGAAGTTGGAGAAAGCGTATTATGCCCAGATGTTAGACTCCGATATCGCACCGAAGCTCCGTCAGTGCCGGTAGCATGCCGAGCTGGATGGGCTGACTTTGTCCTCGACTTGGCCGTTGCATTTTAGGTACTACACTGATGAGGGCCATCCCGTCGTGCGGAGAAAGGAGAGCTCAGTTGTTGAGGAAGGGGCGAAGGTAGTTCAATGTTGGTATATATTTTCGCTTTCCTCAGCTGAGCTCAGCAGTTCCCTCACGAATCATGGAAGTTTACATTCAAATTCGGGTAGAAGTGTTTAGTAACCAATGAGAATTCCTCAGAGTTTTTATGTTGTCGCCAACACATGTGCATTTTTTCCGCACTGAGGTAGTCTATCGTCGATGTGAACGGAATCGTTTTTTCGCTGTTGGAATGAATTTTCTGATTTTGGTTTTGATGTAGGCAAGCAAGAACCAGGTGGCGATTCTACAGCAGATCGCTGCTGTGAAGGCTCGTGGAGACGCTCAAGGAGATGTGATGGTAAGGACGTAACCAAACGGGCTGGTTGGCTCTAATTGATAAGTCTTATTAAAATATGCGTAGCTACAGATCAGCATATTAACTAGCTCTCGCTCGTCCTTCAACACAACTCAGATCACTGGGAGATGGTCACGGTCGTCAGGGTTGTTCTTGTTAGTCCTTGGAGGAGTACTATGAGGCGACCGAGGACAGCATTTCGGCGGCAATTGATGGATGTTCGGAGATCGCTGGGTTGTGTCAGGAAGTTTTGTCGAAAGTAATTTTGCGAATTTTGCTGTTGTGAAGGATGAATGATTCAGATTCACTCGGAAATGGTAAAGCCTTCTGAAGAGGCTGGTGGGGTAGACTGGGCAGCCCATGAAGTTGAAGTGAGAAAGATCAGCGAGGACGTATCGGGCGAGCGCAGTTTGCTGTTGATATATGGACTACTCGCCAGGTAGTGGTCGGAGAACTGCTTTTATAGTCCCTGTCGACGTCGCTGAGGGCAGGTGTGGTTCGATTTGGTTGTTTTCTGCCGTGATGGTAGTGTTGGCTTTTCAGAATCCGGTCATTGAGTGCTTGGATTGGCACATCTAAGGCGAGAATAGTCGTTAAACCAGAAGAAGGGGTACGCCTGTGCGATATGCTGTTGGAGAACGTTGAGAAGGCAGAAAAGGAGGCGGTCAAAGATCTCAGGTGAGGAAGAAGACTCGTGAGATCGCCTGCACTGTTGTTTGGGGGCGCGCGACCAGACTGTGTATGGTGAGAACTGCGAGTCATCCGGGAACCCATATTGTTTTCGAATGGGAACTCATTTATCCTAGGGACATTTTTTTCACGTAATTACCAAAATTTGAACATTTTCTCCGTTGTTATCTCTCAGAGCTGAATATGTCCCTGGTTGAAGATAATCGTTCATTTCAGGTTGTACTTCCTCGCCCTTTCACATGCATCGGGTGGTAAGGTTCCCGAGGCGATTTCGTTGCTACAGCTGTTGGAGCAGCGCTCAGCCACTGAGCTCGAGGAGAGCAAGACTCGTCTAGCTAGGGCCGTACTGCGCTTGAGAGCCGACCTACTGCCAGCGGCTGCTGTGCAGTGGCGACTTAAGTAGGAGGATAGTGGGAAAATGATGGGTGGTTGCGAGTCGGCTTCGGACACCGGTCTCGAATCTATTGGCAACTTATTATGTGTTCTGATATAAATGATGTGGTGGCTACGATAGATTAACAACAAAGGAGTTACACTGATGTATTCTAGTATTAAGATTCGGTTGGCCTGAGCGTGGTATCGATCACTATGTGGATTAGATCATATCAGCGCGGAAAAATATGTATATGGTCAACTACATGTGTTGATGATGAACTGTGGATTCTGAGGATAATTCTGGAAAATTTTTGTTGGTTTTTGTAAATTCCTACTCCAAGTCGTGTATGCGAGACTGACTCTGGATCGCACGATGCAGAAATTCTGTTGTTCAGGTGTCTGTTGCACATGGTTGGAGAGAAAGGGACTCAGCCTATGGAGAGCACTTCTGCCGAGAGCACCAAGCTGTTCCCGCCGTCGTTGCAGCCTATGCCCTGCAAACCGTTGGTTATCGATATGGCCTTTGACTACATCGCTCCGCCTGACCTGTCTAGGGAAGTAGAGGAGCATAAGCCTCAGAAGCAAGCCGCGAGTACGGGTTTGCTCAGTCGCTTGGGAGGCTGGTGGGGTGGTAGCAGTCGCAGCTGATGGTGATGAGCATTTTGCTGTATTGCCCTGTTCATTGTTTCAACCTGCTCGAGTTCTGTGTTGAGGAGTATGCGCCACGGTCAATGGTTGGTGATTGTGGAATAATATGAGCACTCTGGTGATTGTCCTGGCTGATATGGACGGAGGGCTTGCTTTGGTCGGAAGGGGCATTCCCTTCAACCGGATAGTAGTTTTTTTTCGCAGTAGGTACTTAGGCGAATGTGGCTTTGGGTCATTTTTAACCGGTGATCGGCACTGATCGAGTTTGGCTATATCAAGGGCTTTTTGAACGAGGCCTGGCTCGTGTATTTCTGATGGGGTTCTTGTTCTGTCTTGAACGGTGTGGGGATATATGCACATGGTCAACTACATGTGTTGCTAGGAATATGGAAATTTCGAGGAAATTGTCGTTGATTTTTGTATACTCGTGTGATCTTTTCACAACATAGTCAAGAAACTTACGAGCTCAGTTGTGGAAACCACACATATATTCCCCCCTGGTCTTGAACCTCCAACAAGGGTAGGCGATTCCACTTGTGAAATGTTTGTGAGGGCGCCGCTGGTGAGAAGCCGTGGATGGAGAACAATGGTAACTACACGTATGGCTTTAAAAGCATTCCCTTTATCGTCGGCGGAGTGGTAATCGCATCACGCGGCCTCGTTTACACAGGGAGGAACATTCCCTATGCTGGTCTAGTCAGCGGCTGGGAGCTCGATACACCTACATGTGAAAGCCTTTGATTATTGTCTTGACGACGATTAACGTAATTTGATCACTGTTGAACCTTAATGAGATTAATTCCATAACTGATCGATTTTGAGTTGTCAAGTCCACATGTGTTGGTTAGATTGTTGATGGTGAGAGCATTTGGTCAGTGGCCATTCCTAGGATGAAACATGCCTCGGACCACAGTTCAACGAGTGGCTCTGTGAGCAGTAGTGCTGGCAGAGGGGAAAGGACTCGACAACGGAGGCGAAGTGTGGGAGGAAAGCGGTCGAGAAATGATGAGCGCTGTTATGTTTGCCACACGGTAGTGCTAGCTGGGGTGGGGTTCGGCATGTGGCCGCTAGCCTTGATGGGATTACGCCACAGTTCATAGAACGGCTCTTACAGCTGTCAAGTCCGACATATTGGGGATGCATGAGAAAATTTAGCGCATTTGGACACTAGTCAAACTCGAGTGTTTGCAGGAATAGTATTGACGCTCGAACCAGGCTAATTGTTCTGCAGCCAAATGACGAAATGTCGTTGTATATCTCTGAGTTGAAAAATCGATAAATGGTGAAGATGGAATCTGCCAACACCTGTATGGTATTCTTCATATCGTCGTGACTCGTCGAGGGTGGTCGTTCAACAGTCATTGGGAAGAGCTCGTCGAGAGCTTCGAAATTCTACCTGAGTTATGGTGATATTCACATATGCTATGACCCTACGAGGGATGGACTCAGTAGCAGCTGTGTATTTATTCGGTGGCAATGGTGGTCTCATTTGTAGGGAGGCCTTCTCATCCTATGTGATTCTTGCTCGGCTTCATATCACCCTAGCTGTATCGGTCTGGACAGGGAGATTGCTGAATCGATGCAGGATGGTTGGAGATGCCCAGTGAGTGCTCAGTCAGGAGTATGGTTGCGTGTGTAATACTGTATCGGGATGATACATTGAAACTTATGTTTCTCGACTGCTCCAGGCCGTTCGTGGCACCCGTTTCCTGTTGGTGTCTTACGCGTGGAGACAGCTGTCAGTCGTCGTGGTATATCTCAAGCATTCCACGTCAAAGTAGAATGCGCAGTGTTTATTACTAACTTTGAAGTTTTTTATCTGGCTACTGCTACGAACTTGTTGTTCGAACTACCTCACCAAACGCATAGGCGGGAATGGCATTTTTATAATGAATTGTACTTTCGTCGCTCAAGAGTGTGAGTGGTTCCCATCGGACCATCAACGGTATTATGGGCAGGCGTGCGTTTTGGTGACAGATCTGTGCAGCCGGGAACTCCGCCGAGGACCGAGAGGGCCGTCTAGTGAGGGTACTACGACGACAGGCCCCAGTGAAAAATCTATGGACGTCTCGTTCACCTATGCAAGCATTCAGCTTGGATAAGTATCTGTCAGCGCTGGTACTCAGGTAAGTGGTTTCAACATCACTATATGGGGAGGACTGGTTTTCCTCAGCTCTGATGAACCAATGCCAACAACGCCCGAGGCTTGTGTAGGAGGCATTAACGCTTATCCGCTGGTGAAGAGTGCGAGAGCTCGTGCATGTCGGAATGGCGTTGCGTACATGTTACTGCGCGAGGGATATATATAACTACGTGCATCGTCAGTTACGTGTCGAAGCTGTTCTTGGATGGTGGGATGAGGCGACGGGCGACCGACTGTGAGAGAAGTGAGCAGGAGTTGGTATGTCGGCTCTCGTGCCAAGGGTGGGAGTTTAGGTGACTTTCTTGAGTACGCCACAGATCTAGCATACTTATGCAGTAATATCTGTATCTACTCCTCGACCATGGCGGAGGAGATAGGGCAGTTGGGAAAGCAGCTGTTGAGGAGATGGACGGAGGTGCTTTGGGCTCCCGACTAGTCTGTGGGGGAGAATATGCATGTGGTCAACTTTTGGTGAGAATACGAAAAATCTGAGGGAATTCTTGTTGGTTTCTGTACACTCCTCTCCGAATTCACGTGCTAACTTCTATAACTTCGTGTAACTTCGTGATAACAAGAGGTGAACCTTCTGAGCTCAACTTTTGGTGACAATACGAAAAATCTGAGGAAATTCTTGTTGGTTTCTGTACACTTCTTCCTGAATTCACGCGTCAACCAGTGGCGGACCTCCTGAGCGAACATATATTCCGATACTACGACGACCAGCCGTTATTGTGCCTTTTTGATCCTACGTGCCTTTTTGATGATACTCATTGGTTTACCTGATGTGCTGTACTTCAGATGGCGAAGGAAGAGGTCAAAGCTATTTCGGTCGATCCTCATTGTGTCATGAGCTTTGCCGAGAGAGTGCTCGCGTGCAAGCGATTGGGGATGTCAGTCGATGATCCTCTCGAGACGATGCTGTGTCATGGCCGCTTTCTCACCTCTAGGTACGATGATCCGACCGAAGGTCTCTCGTGGGAACGTGATATTGCCACACTGCAAGAGGCCACTGAGGAGGTAGGCCTTGCTTCTGGCCTTGGGCGACCGTCGCTTTCAGGCCGATGTTGCTACTCTTGTATGCGGTAAGAAATGGTCATCCGGATCAAGTAGTGTTGCTCCTCTCGAGAAAGGTGATATTGATATTACTCTGTGAATGTTCATTCAGTACGTATCTTGTAGGCGAGTACCCGTCCCTCTGTAGCAACTGTGGTGAGGATCTCGGAGCCAGCAGGGTTGTGCGTTGGAAGCTCGGCCGCTGCCTCAGGTGCCATTGGCCGGTGACGAAGACGGTGCCGTAAGTCTCTGCTGGTGTGACTGCATCGATGCTTCCTGCAGTTACGGCGACTTGGTGGAGTCTTTGGTTTGGCCGTCGTTATATGCAGAAATTGGCGTACCATTTCTGGCCGATTCGGAAGTCGTGTTCGACACTCTGAGAGTGATCCGACGCTTGAGGCCGTATCGACATCCACAAGATATTGGTAGGGCACTCCGGACCGGTGTTGGTTCTGGCGCATATGTTCGCCGCCCTCCTCAACTGAACTTGGAAGTTTCCTCACTGATTATAGGAGTTTATATACGAAATACAGTAGAAATGTACAGAAAAAAATGAGAATTTTCCGAAATCGGCCACACACGTTGTCCCACACTGCTCCGCACTCCCTCACTGGTCGACCCCGACAGCTTAGTACCGTGCTTCTGGAAAGGATGATCGATGTTGGAGCTTTGTGCTTCTGCTCATCCCATAGATCGTTGCTTTCTTCAGGACTCAACGCCTGGAAATTGCAGGCGTACTTGATCACACACGTCTTGTACGTGTTGTCAGAGTGGGGAGCGCGGCTCTTGTCACCAACTACGTTACATTATGAGTATAACTTTATCAATGAAGCTTTGACCTTGTGGGGACACCGAGTCGCTTAGGTCTTCATCTCATCTATCTTCGCTAGGTGCATGGGTTCGATTGACGATCCTGAATTATGTGGTGAACTGGTTCAGTGCCTTCGGATATTCGAAGCAGGAGGTGAGGGGCGATCGGCGGCGTGGGCCAGGCGGCATCTTTAGGTGAACGAGAGAACATGTCGTTATCCCGCAGAATATCTGCTGGTGTTTGCTATCTCTTGTCTCGGCAGTCAGCGACTGAGCCTGGTAGGTTGAGAAGCATCGATCTATGTTCGTATGGGTTGTCGTTGGCAGGTCGATGGTCCCGAGGTAGCAATTGCGGAATTTATGTTGACTACCATACCACTATGTGTGTGTTGCTGGGTCTGGTGGAGCCTGGCATCCACTGGCACGCAGATGAATTGGTGACGGAGGAGCACACGCTGAGGGTGCAGGAATGGCTTTCCTTTATGGAAGATGAGGAACCGCACCCGTATGACCAGACGTGAGGAAGAGATGATTATCATCGCCTTGTATTGAGACCAGCGACTATGTGTTGGTGACGATCAATTCCCATTCGACTCGTCAGATTCGATGTCGTCGTTGCAGCCACAGAACGACCACGGCAAAAACACTTACGAACTGGGATTAAGCGCAAGATCGGCGATGGGCTCCTGGATGAAAATAACTTTATAGAGTATACTAAGATTGCAGTTGAACGGAAAAGGTCGTTAGTCTTGGCTGAAGCGAAGAAGAGGGACGGCCGTTCAAGTGAGGCATGCTCGGTAACTGTAACTGTGAGACTGTATTGAGAATCGAGGTTCACTGAAGGGGAAAGGCGGTGGATTCCAGAAGGATGAGAAATTGCCCGCTGATTGGACAGAGATGACCAAGTTGGAGCGACCAGCAGTCGAGGCGGCATCAGGTGGGGTTCGTCTGTGGTGGTCAGTAAGGTTGATGTCGTCAGTTACTTCAGTGCGAGGGAAGAAAGGTCGTGTGTCCTGCGCCATTTGCGGGTGTTCGTTCTCGCGTCTATGTGAAGCAATTCGGGTACACCGATGACGCCTGGTCATGGGATCGCTCATCACTGGTCCTGTGTTCTGGCTTAGTGCGTTCGGTGTCGATTGGCAGTTCATCGGGAGTGCTTACCAAGATCACAGCGGATGTCTGTCAAGAAAACCAAGTGGGTTGTTCAATGTTGTCCATTGTCGTTGGCGAGCTCATAGCTCGCCACAGCCTTTCCATCGATCGCTCTATGTCATAGAGTTTATGACCCATACCAGCGAATTCCATGGTTCTTTTCTAGGTACTGCTGCCCACTCTGTCTCATGCTTGACGCTGATGACACTGTTATCACTGATCTGCTGTACTGTTGCCTATGCAAGGGTCCTGTGATGAAGGGACAATATATTCTATCAGGTGAAATACTATAGATTTGCACGAGTGACTGCTATAGTGACAGGTTGTGTGTTCTCCTCAAAGGCCGAAGTTGAGCACAACAAGAACTTTGCCCATTGTCCATGCGCGATGCAGTGTATACTATCCGAAGTCGGTCTAGGACGAGTCGCGGCAGCAGCGGATCCACTCCTCAGGTTGATGGCATACATCTCGTGCATGATGCTCTCGATGGATCGGTTGAATTCGAAATACTGGAGCGGTTCGTGAACTCATCTGCTCTTCTATCCCCACAAAATGGGTAAGTTTTCCACGTGGAGTTATTCTACGGGAATTCGTTGCATAACGTAAGACGGTCTATGATCGGCCACAATGATGTGCTTGTCATTCTATCGGATATCCGTGCCTCAGTTGTGCATTCTTCAGTTACCAGAGATCATCTTCGTCGAGTGCTAGGTGTTGCTACTGTAGTCAGCCTCTGGAGCCCCCAGTAGAGGCCTGTGTTCTCTACTGTCCGAAAGAAGGATGTAACCGCGTTTGGCATGTTGGTTGTCATCCTCCCAGAGCCTTCCTTCTCTATGCTGATGAGCAGGATGCTCGGGCATTCCGCCAGCATGACTGTGGGGCGAAGCATTGACTTCCTCAGAGTCTCCAGTTTCGCCACCTTCCTATTGGTTGTGTTGACACGCGTCTCGCGTTATACTGGCTATACACTAAGATGCGTTTGGCTTCAAGTTTGATGTTAGCACCCTCCCCTGGCTCCACGCTCCCCACGATGTGTTCTTCCCTGTGCGCGCGCTGGATTCGTTCACTTTTCGCTCGCCTCAATGCGAGCACGCATACCGTGTCACATGTTGTTGTTCATTGAACAATGGCCGTAGTGATGCTGGGTCACTGATCTAAAGTCACCAGAAGCCCGTTATCCCTCAAGGATCATGTTCGATCTTGGAGAAGCTGTTGTACCATGGAGCTTGTCTGCAAGAGGTGATGTCCGCTCTTGGCCAGTCCCGTGGTTGGTGATGGTGGTGCCCTTGAAAGCTCTTGGACAGCTGTACCTCTAGCTCCTATCATGGGAGTTCTATTTGACTAGAACAAGTGTGTCTACCCGACTTGATAACAACGGTATCGGTTCATTGTTCCGAGTCGGAATTCCCGACAGGGCTACACTTCTAGCCACATATGTGGTTAGAACCACTGCGTCTACTTCATTCAGTGAGCACACTGTCAGCCTATGATTCTGATCAAGCTACATTTCTAGCCACATCTGTGGTTAGAACCACTGCGTCTACATCATTCAGCGATCATACTGTCAGCCTATGATTGTGGTCAAGCTACATTTCTAGCCACATATGTGGTTAGAACCACTGCGTCTACTTCATTCAGCGATCACGCTGTCAGCCTATGATTGTGGTAAAGCTACATTTCTAGCCACATATGTGGTTAGAACCACTGCGTCTACTTCATTCAGCGATCACACTGTCGGCTTATGATTCTGGTCAAGCTACAACTTGCTTCAGTGATCCCATTTTAGTACATAGGTGGTCAAGCTATATTTCTGGCCTCACATGTGGTTGGAACTGGCGCGTCTACTTCACCCAATGAGCTGACGGTGTCAGAGTGACGGACATCTTACTCTCCTCTTGAGGGCTAGTTCTACATCGACTAGCCAGTTTTTGATCGGTATCCTGCTGTGGATTCGTTCACTTTTTGCTCGCCTCAATGCGATTTTGCATTCCCTGTCACATGCTCCATGAGCAAGGACCATAATGATGGTGGACCACTGATCTGAGGTCGGTAGGTGCCCGTTATCCCTCAGGTTCATGCTCGATGTCGAAATCTCGATATTGAGGTCGTCCGCAAGAAGAAGTGTCCGCTCTTGACCAGTCCTTTGGTCGGTATTAGTGAGGATGTGCCCTTGGAAGCCCTTGTACCATTAAGCCCGACCATAAGAAAAAGAAGAAGAAGAAGAATTGTCCGCCTTAGGCCAGTTCTCTGGTCGGTATTAGTGATGCCATGCCCTTGTACCATTACGTCACACCGCAAGAAGAAGAAGAGGAAGTGTCCGCTCTTGGCCAGTTCTTTGGTCGGGATTAGTGATGCTGTGCCCTTGGAAGCCCTTGTGCCATTAAGCCTGCACGCAAGAAGAAGTGTTCGTTCTTGGCCAACCCTTTGGAAGAAGAAGTGTCCGCTATGTTGCTTTTCTGTGGAGACTATTCCGGGCTCACAGCTTTTCGAAAATGCGAATCAACTACCTCACTTTTTCCCTCTTCTCACTCATGCATTCCGTGTCCCAGTGTGATAGCGATGCATCAGTGAATGCCGCCCCGGTTACTGGTAAGCCGATTCGGAGATCTCCTTGGGACAACGTAACTGCAATTTGGCGCCCTTCCTGAAATTGAGCTATCCGCCTTGGAATTGTCGTAGTGTTGCATTCCTTATGAGGTTGTCGAAGTGAATCGGGTTGTGGGCTAGGGATGCTGTTTCAGGCGATGCTGAACAGAGGTTTCTCTCTGTTGCTAAAAATAATGAAGTAAGGATTTCCAAGAGCGAACCATTTGCAGCTGAAACAACCGAGGACATTTGGGTAGCGCTGTCATGCGGGATTAAGCCCATAAGCAAGCCGTTGGTATTTAGGGCGACATCCGCCTCCTTGCGAGCGACGATGGCCAAGGGACTTTCGGAAAGTGGTCCAACCCTGTAATAATCATATGTAAGTGGCCACCTCATGCTCCCCTGAAACACAGTTTTGGTGTTAGCGAGCGTCGTGGCCGCTGTTGCTCTGTTTTTCCTCGTTTGCTGTTGTGGATGCGGTAAGCATCATGAGGAGTGTGAACGATGAACTTTGCAGTTGTCAGGGTACATCGGTGGCCTCGGGAGTCTGGCCATTCTCCTTGCCCTCGGAGGATGGATACTGTACATAAAACTATACAAGAATTAGAATAGCAACTACCAATGAAAAATTGGAGAGGATTTTGTGAAAAATTTAGGCACTGTGCTTGAGTCGATTCCACGTTGGCAAACTCTAACGTTTTAGAGGTGCTCGTGGCTAATGAGTCTGCCTATAGTGACGTTCTAAGGTTGTAATTTCATCTAAATTGGAGTACGGTCGCTCACAGGCTCACTTCATTTCATCCTAACTAGAGTTTTTGCGTTGAAGTATTGCCGTCAGCGGTTGGGGATTGACAGGGAAGATATTTCCTGTGGAGATTTCACGTGAAACTTGTGTATCATTTGATTGTACTGTAGTACACACATGCCTGTAGACTCCAGTCTCGTCACTACTCACGAGGCAGTGGTTTCTCATGGTACTAAGGGGGCCTCTGTTTGGTGCGAGCAGTGGCTTTTCGACGAGTGCTATGAAGCTAGGAATCTCCGGGGCACCGCATTCGCAGGGTCTATTCTCAAAGCTATTTTCAGGTGACGAGTTTCTGCCGCCGAAGCGACTTAAAGCCTCGGAGGCGGGTACCGAAGATTCTGAATCGATCACGAGCGACACTGATGTCGACTACATCAATGCTTATCTAGATCATGTGCACCCCAGAGCAGGTAGTACTGGGATCGTCATCGAGCTGGGAAACCCGAAGAGGGTTCCTATAGCGATCGGAGATGTCCATACAAGCACATTCATTGTATACCTCGGGATTTTCTTGTTGGCGTATCATCGGTGAGTAGCATAGGAGCGTCTCTTGAGCTGACGATGATTTATATTTTGCTGGTTTACGTCGTAGCAGTAACCACCCTCTCAGGTCTGGAATGTCGGGTTATGGAGGGTAAGGGCCGGACATTGACCAGGTGAGCTAGTTGCTAGGGCTGTCACTCCGGCAAGCCTTGATCAGCAACAAGCACTATAATGTTGGTGATGTTATATTCGTGGAGTCTCCGCTGCATATAGTATGCGAGGAACCTGCCGACCCCGACTTCTCAAAAATCAAGAACCTCTGTGACGAAGAAGGGGATATGGTAGTCTGCGATGAGACTTTGATGATTGATGTGTGTGGGTGCTTAGGATTACGACCCGTTGTGGTACTGGTGTGCTGTGCGCTCGCTGACTGACGCGGACTTACCGGCCAATAGTAAGACGGAAGCTTCATAGTTGAAAGGGCTGTCAATAGAAACGTCAAGGATCTCGGAATAATGTGACAGGAGTTCAATTCGATCACGGGTCGTGATTCACAACTGAGCATGCTGTCACTGAGGCAGAGTTTCGCAACAGTAGTCGTGTTTTTACACTAGGCGGAGTCAATGTCACATAGGACGATAAATTACAATCGATGTTGAACGCCACCGTGAAAGTGTTGTCTGCTAGCACGTGCTATGCGAAGCCTTGATAGTACCCTTTCTCTACGGCACCAGCACTTCGGTCTGTTATATGATGATCGATTCGATTTCGTGTGTGTGCTCCTCGCTTATCGTCTCTTGATAGGTCACTTCACCACCGTAGAATCAGAGACTCAACGTCGGCTACTACTTCTGCACCGACCAGAGGTAGCAGGGTCGTCGCTGTGCTTGAGAGGGATGTCGGCTGATGTAGGCAACGGAGGTCTCAGAATCGATCAACCGAGTGGCCAGCGTTTGTGGACTCGAGGGGAAAGAGGAGCTGTTGGAGGACTTACTTCAAATATGGATTCATAACTGCTTGTAATTGTATACTCTACCATGAAGTTCGATCGTTTCTTTTCTAGTGAATACCAGGAGACGCCGATGGGCTACTCTACTTACTTTGCGCCGGCCTTCATGAGCCACAGTTGTTTGCCTAATGCAGGTAGGGTGTGTGAATATAATGTAGTAGGTTCATAGTGGTGTTGCATAATCTCAGACTGGGTTAATGATCCGGAAGGCAATTTTGTGCTCAAGTGCCGTAGGGTGATCAACACAGGTGAGCCGTGTGTATGGTACTGCATTATGTTGCATCTACATCTCTCTCCCTTCATTGACTGGGAGTATCCTTTCCCAATTACGCCCTTATGTAGACTACTCCTGTTGTAGATCGTCATAAGAACGAGAATCCCCAAGCTTTGGTTTTTGTATGACCACGTTTTCGGGTATGTCAGATTATTGGTCGCATAATTGTCGAGTAACATTGGAAGTATGTTGATGATCATTTCTATGCAGGCGATGAGGTATGTGTATCATATCTCTCCGAAGAAGCCCTGCTTGACACCACGAAGACCCGTGTGGACGACCTGAGCAGCACTAAAGGCTTCGTCTGCACTTGCCCTAGGTCAGTCCACTGCTGTCCTGAAGTCCAATAAGCCTCTACTAGATGCGACGCCGACGTTGACCCGTCTCGGGTGTTCGCCTGTCCCTCCTGCTCGGTGGGGGAGGTGGTCTTGCCATCGAAGGCTCCATTGATGTCTGACGATGAGGAAGCCATTGGTACTGGTGAGACCCGTGGTGTAGGTCATGCATTTGCTTCCTCAGATTCCTTCGACCCTCTTTCTTCGTGCTCCATGTGTGGTTGCGAACTGAGCCGGAATGGATTCAAGTCCTGCTTGAAAATTGAGTCGCGCATTGACGCAGTTTTGAAGAGCCTGGAGTCGAAGTAGGGTGTATATTACTGAGATTTATTAACCTGGTATTCAGATCGCTCACGAGGCATAATGCTGGTGAGTTGCTGTCCTCTTTGGATGTGAAACAGCTTCGGAAACTGTGCTCACTTGGTACTCATGATAAGCATGGACTGTCTGCTAAGCTGTAAGACCATTTCTGGCATGCTGGACTATGGTATAAAGTCATCTATTCCTGGTCGTGAGAATCTCCTTAGCGCATCGAGGACGGTGTCCAATAATTGCAGAGGAATCGATCTCCAATTCCTCTCAGATTGCACATACTAGCCGACTACTACGTATTCACGAAGGAGTACAGCGAGGCGATCGAGTGTGTGGATATCTTCATTGAATTCTGTGTAAGCTTCTCCTTGGTTGATGGGTAAACTTTCTCTCAAGCACCCCTCGACGATTGTACAGTAGCGTGCAGAGCTCCCATGCCATCTAGACCAACCCATAATCCACTTGCATTTTAGAATTGGTAGCTAATCTTCTCAGGAACGGGTTTACGATGGTCTCAATGGAGCACACGCCTGGGCTCTCGAGGAGAAGGGCGACATCTTGCTTGAGAAAGCCACGTGACATGTCGCGACTGGGGTGGTGAGCTCGGCATCGTTACGATCAGGTACAAAGTTTTGACCATCCGCGATATTACCAAGTTTCGCGATTTTTCGAGTCAATCTATACGGCGTATGTTTTTCCACAATGCCTTTACCCCTCAAGAGAAGTCCACATTGAGGTCCAGTGGAGTTCTTGAGGTGATTTATTCCATACCATCTATCGTTCACTTGCTGTCTCCAAGAACAGAAATGGGCTTAGGATCTATCTTCCTCTCAGAGCTATGAGAAAGCTGCAGATGAACTCAAGCTGTTGTTCGGTGACTGGCACGAGTATTACACGAAAGTATATGATAAAATTATAAAGGTCGGCCGACCCGATATGGTTTTTGCTTCTATTCTCTTCGGATGATCAGGTTGAGCGAAAACTGATTACTTTATGAAAATTTACTTCCAAGTCTATGCGTTCCGTGTTTGGAGATATAAATGCCGTGTTAGTTAGCAAGACACGGATCTGAGGGTTGTGATTGACTATCACTGTTAGTGGGGGGGGGGTCTTGGGGAGCTTTCAACCCCTGAGTATCATAGCACTAAGACACAGCGCTATCACGACAACAGCAACCATCACTGCGACTAGAAGAAAGGAGTTTGTCATTGAAAAAGTAAACTGATGTATTGAGGCTTCCTGTCACTAAGGGAGGAGCCTTCATTACGACTATTCTGAAACGGTCTGGGGACCCCTAGTGCACTATAGAGAGGAAATCTCCTCCTGGGTACCCTTGAACTCGCGATGAACTTGAATTTGAGTTGATCGGCCGTGTTCATGGCCGGAGAATTCGTTGTGGGTGGTGCTGAGTGGCGTCTCTCTCAATACCGTTCTCGAAGGTCTGCCGAGAGTCTAGAAAATGTCTGGGAAAATGGCTGGTTGTAGCCGGACAAGGGAGAGAGGCTACTATACGCGTCGCGGAGCGCCAGTCTCTGAGACGACGATGATGAGTCGGAATTTATAGCAACGTAGAACCATCAAGGATCCCTATGCTTCCTAATGGGATGGATAGCGATCAGTCGCTGTCCCGCTGGTCTCAGAGGGAGGAAGAAGCCCCAAGGCATCTTTGATTTGTGTAAACGAACGTAGAGGTGCTCTGAGTGGCGCTTTGCTCGGTCTTGTAGTTCACCGCTGTCGAGGTGATCATGGCGTTTGAATAATTGCCGATAACTTCTGCAGTTTCTGTAGACAACAGGTTGATGCTTTTGCCAAGGTATAATCACAGGACCAAGTTCACAACCCGCCGGTTCTCAACAATGAAACGACGAACTCGTTTGAAGCTAGACTCGGAGGATAACACCGGCGGCTTCCGGGACAACTGCCAGCCAGCTGATCTGCGATGTAGAATCTGCATGACTTACGTGGTCAGGCGACGACTCCTTCTCCAGCAAGAGCATCGACTCTTCGCTTGGCGCTCGTGAACAAGTTATGTTTCCATGAGATGTGTTAAACTTGTGTTATCACTGATAGACTATCGAACACTGGTTACGGAGTCGTTGACGACCCTTAGTATGATCGCTGGGAGTTCTCTGTATGGAAAATAGCGCTGCTCGATGGCTGCAGTCTCATATTTGGTGAGGAATAGCATACTTATTGTGGCAACCTCTGATCGTATCTGGCAGTTCATGAAGGTAGAGGAGGTGTACCAAATTCCGAACAAGAAACTGAGATTGACAAGTTCACGGAGTTCTTCAGCTGGGGAGATATTCTCCCTTCTATCCTGAGGGCTCATAGTGGAATGCCGCAAGTTCCTGGACGCTTGTGCGAAAAGCGAATGATGTCCTGTCGTAGACCGACACCAACTTGGACTCGGCTACTGCGATCACATCACTAACATGACCTTTCAGTGGAGGAGTTGGACAGAAGCAACATATTGGGTGTTTTTCGCAATGCGGAGTCCGCATGGATGAATGTTGTTGTTCGGTGTTGTGATACACGTTGGTAATACCAACGTGGTATTTCAAGAACCCCCGCACTATGAGAGTTGTCCGAGTGGCTTTTCATTCTCTTACACACTATCGACGCAAATACGGCTTATGTATTGACTGTAATACTTTTTCATGATTGACAACATCAACAACATCTTCCTGACCACAGCTCTCCTTCCTCGTGTCATCTCGGCTCACTGATGAAAAGCGATGGATCTCAGCTCTGGTACATTTTCATCTTCTTCCAAAACAGCAGCGAATCCCGTTCCCAAGATTAAGCTGTGGCGCCTCTCGTTAGGAGCGAATTCGAAGAAAGATATCATCAGGGTTGGACCATCGCGTCCGTCGTTGTAGCGACATTCGGCTGTAAGCTGACGCTCAGCTGATTCTTGTGGACCACAATTCAGTCCTGCTCCGTCGACTCCGAAGTGTTTTATTGATGCGAAGTCGAGCGTTAAAGGTGGCTGTAAAGAGCGGTAAAAGGTCTTTTCTGGAATGCTACTAATAAGCATCAAATCGGTCTTATGGAAATTGAAAATCGCATGATCATTGTGTAGAAAGAATCCATTGGAGTAGTGCCTAATGTAGTAGCTGCCAGCCCGAAGTATACCACAGTCCTCCCCGATTCTATGGTAGCTGTGCCCATTCTGAAAGTTGCACCCATGAGTGGAACGGTTTCTGGGAATGTATTTAAACAGCTGGTAGAAGTCCTGGTCAGTCAAGATTGCACAAGTTTTGTGGTCTTGGACGCCTTCCATACAATAAAAGTTACCAGAGCTAGCCGATACCAGGGATGTCGCACAGCAGTAATAGATGAGACGCTTCCAGACACCTGTCGAGAGATTGCATTTCGTGGTGGTCATCAGAGAACAACAGATTAGCTCTGCACACAGACCAGGTCAATACGACTGTGAGGAGTGGAAGCTCGGCGATAACGCACCTCATTCTGCTAGAAAGCACCGAGCTTTCTGGTTCCTCGAGTTATGGAAATTCCCATCGTTAAAATTGTGATGTGAGTGCCGCACGCCCCAAAAATGTCTTCCGCTCAACGATATGCCAAACGCTCGAACTTTTCCTCGGAACAGGAAATCACCGATCAATCCTTCTTCGAAGACTCAGACCAGACTCAAGAACTTGTTCATGAATGCCCTCCCCCGACACGTTGAGTCTCGCCACGGACATCATTTTTGTGTGTCAGTGTGCAGTCTCTGCCGTATGCTGGAGAAGATATGACTCAGAGAATAGTGAGTTTCTCGACAGGCTCAGATCAGTTGGTCTCTCTGCTTCCGTGAATAGTAGTAGATGTATCCAACGCTATGTGGTTCGTTAGTGGCGTCATCAGTTTCGTGCATCTTAACACTTCACTCTGGACACTGTGAGAAAGCGATGTCTTCTCATGATCGCTACCCTGGCCCCATAGAAGGACGATCACTGAGATTAGATTGTTGACAACAACTTGTTGTTCTCAACGGTCCCTTGTCGGATCCATCGGTCTCTCTCGTGAGGTTAATTACCTACACCGGGGTAAGTTGTGCATTCGCGACATTCGCTATGCTGACTATCAGCTCCAGCCGAGAGGCTTTCCGCTGTGGGTGCTCGAGATCGAAACAGACTGAAGGCTCCCTAGTAGGTAGTCACTTATTTTAACATCTTATCTCGGGACGAGAGCCTCCTAGGAGTTCACGTATCTCCAGTTCATCCTGTCGAACTCCGAATCGACTGCCACTCCCGAACTGAAATTCAAAGACGATTATATGATATAATTTATATCGCGCGTTGTTATCACGTCGCTGTATTTACCGAAGTAGTGCGCTCCTTCCACGAGCACCTGGTTGCTCTTACTCGCGGAGCGAGCGGAGATATATACTTCGATCCGGGTCATTCCGACCGTGCATGTGTACGAACTGATGGTAGCATTCAGTCGTCCATGCCTGCTTACTTTTGTCATAACAGGTGCATCCTGCAATGGTCACGAACAGTCATGAACAGCGTTGTGTTACTCGCCACGGTTAATGAATCCAACCAGTGAGAGATTCGGGCATACAGCACAATTTTGCGATACTCACTGGTGATTACAAACTTCAAAGGGCAGGAGATGTATTTTGCAAGATATTTCCCCAACAAATCTAAAGTTTCCCACACAATGTACCATAATCATCATTGTCCCATGTATTAAGAACTCGGCAAAGGATAATTGATCGAAAAAGTACTGCCTATTAGCAGCACTTGAGTAGATGTACTCCTCTAATAGGAGTGAGTATGAATCCAGTAGTATTTATGGAGTGCAGAACACCCATGAGTATATCTGAAGGCATGGACGACAAGAGTCGTCTTGAGAAATGGCGGACACAATTATATCACGAATGGCATCATATATCACTGATGGTTCTTGTTCCAAGCATCATCAGCATCATAACGAATATAGGTGGAGAAGTCACCATATGTGGGATCCATAATGGAGGTATAAATAGTGTGATTCGTAGAGACTCCGCTTAAAAAGGAGCAATCCATGACAACATCCCAGGTAGACTTTATATCATTAGTCTTACCATGCTCCTTCACACAGTTCTCAGCAACAGTACGTCTAGGATCAGAAATCGGATCGGCCTCCCAGCGATCGTAGTTGGTCTGCACCAAATACCAATTATCGGCCTCGCTGTAATCACCAGTCTGATTGTTCAAATATGCAGGCTCGTGTACCTCACCGTTCTGGTCAATGGCCAAACCATCTTCATCACGAGTAAGAACTACAGCTTTGAACTCATCACCAGTCCCAGCCATCGATAGGTACGCTGGAACAGCCATCGGACATTTGCTGAGGTACTCCACGGCAGGCTCAAAGTCGATAATACCCTGTTCAAAGATCATCTCATTGAACGTCTGAAGCGCAGAAGCTCTCCCTTCTTCGATATACTCGAATATATCCTGCTTGGTCGGAGTCTCTCTGTAAGTGGGATAATATCT